AAAAAGAAATAAACGAATCAGATGTAATATTTGTAAGAATTAAGCGTATCATGAATAAACTGCATTTTTATTTTCTTTTATAAATTCATTAACCTTGAACAGTAAGGAAACATGACTTTTTTTATATGCTTTAATTAAACTAGGTTTCATAGTTGCCCAATGAATAGATAAAAAAGAAAAATTATATCACATACAGTTAACAGAAGAGAGCGAAGACCTGAAAAACAGTACAAGATCATAGCTAAGATAGTTCCAATTGCGAACGTAAAAAGTAAATAAAAGAACGATAAAGTAATCGACAACGGAACTAAAGCGTAAAAACATTAGCGTGTCGTGCAACAAATAATGTAACCTGACGTAAGTTCAAAAACATAACCACCATCTTAAGAGTTTTCACACGCATATCACTTCTAAGAGATCGATAAAAAGCTCACTAATGAGCTAAAATCAACATATCTGGATCTGCCATGAGAACTTTCTCAGTGTCTCTAGTAAAACTATAGACAATTGAATTAGAGCAATTGTATTGAATTGTGATGAAAAAAAGGAATGATCGGGTCAATTAGTTCAACCATATGAAAGTTTTAAATTATAACAAAGAAAGCTCTATGAATAGCTTCCTGATGGGGAGTGAGTAAAAAAGAGAGAAAAAAACCGGAAAAGATTCAAACCAGAAAAGAAAAAATAAAGCTATAAAAAATTTGTCAACATAATAGAAAAGCAATTCGCTATTTGTCATTAAATAGAATTTTAAGTATGAGAGTTGGAGATCCAATGTTAGTCAAAATATGATTAGGAAAAGTTCTAAAAAAAGCTCAAGTATTAATTCCATTTACAAAGTATCGGAAATTCTTAACACACATTAAATGATAACTATCATTTAAAAAGAAGCGTTAGATCAGCAATGTCTATTTCAAATCCCGAAAGTTAGTAAACCGTGTTTATAAGGTTTAAGTAAACAAGTCATGTTTTACAGTATACTACAAGAGAATTATGCACTAGTTGATATCTTTATTTGAGTCTATTAGAAGAGTCTTGAAAGAACATCCGAAAAAGATATTGTAACTAATGCATCATTATCATCACCATTAGTATATAAATTAAATGAAAAGAGTAACTAAAATAAATTTCATTTAGGTTTTGAACGTGTCTATCCTCTTTTAATTCAATGTTCTCCATCAACAAATTATACACGTTTGGATGAAAATGGTGATAACTCTCGACAAATTATATCTGATGCAGTTAATTGTGAGAAATTACGTGATCAAGCATTTAATAAAATTTTTGAACATCATGTTACAATACAAATACGTTCATCATCTATAGGTTATTCATTAAATCGTAATCATATATATTGTCTTTTTTCTTCTGATCAATATGCTATAATATGTGCATCGAAATTAGTTAATGAACAACAACATCCACCATATAATCAACTAGTACAATCAAATGAAGATCTTAATCCATTATCAAGGTTTTATTTTGAACATTTTCTTATATTTCTTATTGATTATTCGCGTGGTGTTATATGTCAACAACTTGAATTTCAATTTGATCGTATTGGTTTAACAATATATAAGTCAACATTAGCTATATTATCAATTCAACATCAAAAATTACATTTATATCATATTGATGAAAAAAATGGAAAATTAATCGAATTGTTAACTGTAGGAAAATTCGCTCAAACAAAAGAAGAATTTTTATATAAATATAGTTTACCTAAACATTTATTAACAATGTCACCACGTTTATTAAATAAAAAAAATTTTAAAAGAAATTCATCATCAATGTTTGATAAATGGGAAGATAATGAAACTGGTGGTCAACAAAGAAAACGTGTTCGTGATCATTTCAGCGAAAATCAGAACAGTGATTCTTCATCATCACGTTTATTATCACATAATGGAAGTTCATTTGTTCGAGAAGAACTTCATCGACCATTTACTCCACCTCCAACTAGAATACCATTAAATAATACTGAGGAACAACAAACGAATTTCAATCCTATCGCCGAAACTAATAATTTACCTGCAAATTTAGCTCAATCGATATTTCAACGTGAAAATCGACCTATCAGACGAGATTTTCTTACGTATCCGGCTGGTGCAACATCATCAGGTAATTTACATAAACAGTCAATTTTTTAAAATTCAGTCTAATCTCTTGATCATTTGAATAAAAAAAAAGAGAAAACCTCATACAATGCAATAATTTCTTTAAAAAAATCTTTCATAAAAATTAATAATGGTCATCTGCATTGTTGGATATGAAAAATCGGTTAATAGATTTCATAAGATGCATATTAGGAGAACGCGACTATCAGTCGCAATATGGAAGCGGTCGCGTATTTGACAGAAGCGTGATCTCTATTTCACTTCCTACGTATCTCAATCTATGGGCATATGGTTCAATCATATGTAGTCATGTGAGATATGAAGAGTTATCTCATGGAATGGATTCGTAGATAATTTCGCTAGTAAACAGTAATTGACTATTGACATTCACATTTTGAATTTATCGAAACCTCATGAAAAGACGAAAATTATATTCATTATCGAATAGCAAAAACTGCAGCAAATAGAAACTACAAAATAAGAAAAAATTATAGAGAATGCTGAAAAAATTTGTAAAGCAACTACAACTTACTCACGTATACGACTCTATGGTCAATTGGACGAGTTCACTTAACATTCGTATTTATACTTAATGCTTCATGTCCTTAAATAGGTTGTTAGTTATTTCCAGAACTCCTCTTAGTTATTCCTCCATGCTGCTAAGATAATTTTTTTTGACGATTTTATTTGTGAGTGTTTTGCGACCAATTCTATATTGCGACTAATTTTCACAGCGATCAGTTGTCACTTCGATTAATTAATGTAGGTCCAGTTATCTTACTTAGTTAATTTTTTTAAAAGTTTTTTAACCAAAACTCAGTAAAATCTCTTTAAAATCTATTTCCGTCTTGTGTATTTTCGAAGAAATTTTTTCATTTATAATTATTTAGATTACGATCACGATATGTCGACTGTAGCTGATGACGATGATGACGACGACGATGATGATGATGATGATAATAATCAACCTATGAATCCAACACGCATAGAATATTCAACAGATCGAACAATAAATGATTCAAATGATGATTATTGGTCATTGATTCAAAATCAAATCTTACTGCCAATGAATGATAAACAATTATGTACATTAAAACAACGTTTATTAACCTATTTATATCATCGTGCTAAACAAAGTAATAAACAATTACGTTTTATTCATTCATTTAATGATTATTTAGCAAGTAAATTTTATAAAGTACAATTTTTAACGAACAATATTGTTTTGCTAAAATTTGCTCATGAAACAATTGTTAATAAACGACAACAAGAACAACACATGCATTATGCTTTATTTGTTGTTTATGACATTCAAACATCCACCATCCTTAATATATATGATGATTCATCGATTGAATTAGCTAGTATATTTGAAAAATATAATGATGATTTTCGTTATTCATCATCATATGGTTTAATTAATTATAAAGATTTAGAATTTTTCCCTCTATCAACCTATGCTGGTCGTCGTCAATTTGAACATATGTATTATAATTCAACATCAACCGGTGATTATGATTTAATAAAGCGTTTACTTATGCAATTACCATTACGTACAATAACACATACAATATCACCATATCTTGATTTAAATTTATATTCATATGATGATAAAATTGTTCATATCGATGATATGATAAAAACGTGTCCAAATAATCCCGTAAGATTTTTTTCACGTGATTGTCAAAGAATGAAATTTCAATTAACATTAACAAATCGTTCAATTATTTTACCTCAATTTATGGCAACAGATAATTCAACAGCAACAACAACGACAACAATTATTACACCAGCAATAACAAATCATAATAATAATCCAACAACAACAACAACAACAGCTAATGCTTTATTTATTCCGAATACTTTAAGTACTAATCGGCGCACCACATTAGCTACACTTTGGCATCCAATAGAACCATTCTGTATAACAATACAGCGTTGGCCAAGAGATCTTGATAATATACATAATTTTCATTTATATCGACCACCAAATTTACGATAAAACAATTCCTTTTTTTTCCTACTCTCTATGAGAGTCTTTTCTTTTGGCTTTCTTAAGTATATCGGTATGTGTAAAATAAAAATAATTTTTTTTGTTATTAGAAGTACGAAGGATTATGAAAGATTCAAGATTTTTTTTTCGTTCGCACTAATTGACTATTTTCATATAAGAGATAAGTGTATATCATAAAATTTTTTTCAGATAATAAATATAATATTTGCTTTTTACGTATCTGTTAGATGAGTGTTGATAGAAATCTACCAGCTTCACAACAGCCATCAGGTTGCTTCTCGTGTCATGCTCTTGGAATAGCATCAGCATCGGCATTAGGATATTATATGTTTTATCAAGCTAAGAAAGCGAATTCATCAACTCATCGCTTTACCTGTGCTTTTTTTGGACTAGGTAAGATATTAGCAGTTATGTACTGCTATAAAAAGTTTTTCTTATCAGTAAAAAAAAAAAAGTACATTATTAACGTTGTGTTTGAAATAGTTACAAGTGACATCGAATGGTTTCTTTTTACAACCGAATGTTTTGAAAAAACTAAAGGATGAATATATGTTCGCAGAAGACGGATACAAATGTTACCAGATAAATTAGTTTCATTAACATTAAAACAGCAAACTAATGTAGATAGCTACGGTTTGATTACTATTTCAACTGAGCGAATATCGTTTGCATCTTGGTTTTGAATATCAAATAAACAGAATCATCGTGAAGAATAAGTTTCAGTCTTTGTGTTTTTAGGAAGTATTAGAATTATTGATTTATACCCATTGTTATTACACAAGTAGTATTTGTAGAAACGTATTTATCGTTAACTGTTGGTCGTATGATTTGAGAAGATTCGTATTATAGCTTTTTTTGAATAACTATACATGATGCAAAATAAGATGCAAAAGTAATAGTAGACATGTTAAATCATATTTCTTTTAGATAAAAAAAATGCTGTACGAAAACCTTTTTTTACGAAAAAAGAGAGCGTTTTCTCCTCTTTCAAATCGTATATAACTTATTTTTATAACAGACTCATAAACAAAACGAAGCAAACAGAAAAGAGAAGAAACCTTAAAAAGAATCCATACTTTTTCTATGGAAGGGCCGCACAAACTGTCGACCTTTATATCTCTTTGATAAATAGGTTCTAAAAAGAATATTTGTTTATCATTCGATATGAAATTTTCTCCTCTTTCGAACGGTGTATGATTCATATTTTTCACATATCAGTAAGTGAAAATAGACAAGAAAAAAGAGAAACACTTTCGCAATAGATTTATAACTTATTTAAATTCGTTAAAAATCTCTTGTAAACAATTGATTACAATTAACTATCATTTTACAAGATGTTTGTAACGAGGTCATAAAAGTCGAAGTAAACACCGTTTGCGCAGATCTTTTAATGAGTGAGTCTACAAAGATCGTATCAATTGTCGTCTGACAAGATGTCTTTGATGAATTCATATAAAAATTATAAATTTATTTTGCGAAAGTTTCTCTTTCTTCCTTGTCTCTTATCATTTAAGCACGTGTGACGTATATAAATCATACACTGTTCGAAACAGAAGAAAAGTTCCTATGAGTCAATAAAAAAAACTTTTTTTACACATACAGCGAAATGTATTTCTTTTGTATTTTTATTTATGGGTGGCACTTTGTTGAGTAGTAGTATCTCAGGTCGATCAAAACGGAACACAATTACGATCCGTTTTTCGCCAGCAAACGATAAAGAAATGACTAGTTTTCGACCGTTTATTGTCCGTATTTTTCCTTAATACTTGATGCAATAATACGACGCCACCTTTTAGCCGAATGCGGTCGTATTTGTGCCGTTGTCTCACTATGATACGGTTGTATAACTGCGTCAAGTATTCTAATCGTATACAGTACGTTTATACGCTGTATTTTCACCGTAAACGATCGTACTGTTCGACCTGGGCTATTCTCTCCACTCTGTTGTGCCTTTCCGCTCTGCTGTAATTCTATTATTATTAATATTATTTTTCCGTTCCTATTCGATAACATATGATGTAGTTTTCGTTACTTTTCTTGTCTTCGTTCTATAGATTATTCTCTTTTGTCTTGATATTTCGCAGGTGATTTTTTCGTCTTGTGCATCATCACCTATTGAATGTTCCATTTTATGGACTTTTCCACTTGTTTCTTATATATATAGTAGTTCGTCTATTGCAACAAAGGACAAGAAGCAGACTATTTTAGTCGTTATTGTCATCTTACATTTCCGGTGAGGATTACAATTCACACACTTTATCTTTACTTTAATTTTTCAAAGTAAAATAAAGATAAAGCGATATCCCTATTCCTATTATATAATGCTTTGGCATATTCAAATGTTGTATGTTATGTGCTGCATTATACAGGATGCTGTTCATAGGAGTTAGTGTTGTCACTATTGTATGTACACTATTTTGGCCTATTCACCTGATTCTTTCTCATAGTATGTTACGATTCTATTAACACTTTACTATTTCCATCCTTCTTTCGTTATATTCACAGTTCAATCTTGTTACAATTGTTATCCATCGTCAATGAAGTTTTTTTCTTGAATAGTCCAAAATCTAGGTTTGTTCACTAGCCTACATATAGCTGTTGCTTTATGATGTACGAGGTAGCAAGGAAGCTTTGTTTAATAAACGTTAAGTATGTCTGATCTAATTCTATAAATAAACTTCTGAGTTATGTTCAAATTTTCAAAAAAGTAAATTTATCCATCAATCAAAATTTCTATCGCAGCATAGTGAACCATTAAAAACATCAACCAACAACTTATGGAAAATTATCAGGAAATTTCCTGGTAATTACCGAAATTTCTACTATTTCATGGGATAAAGCCTTCTTTTTATCATATGAATAGATATATTCATAGAATATACGAAAGAAAATTTCGAAAATTACTGAAATTTACTGGAAAGTAACGTACTTTGAAACAGTTCTTTTCGATCACTTTAATGGTAGTTATGATAATTTCCAAACTATCCAACAGGTATGCTATTTCTGTGGGAGTAATTCCTGAAATTGGATAATTTATGAGGGAAATTTACTCTTTTGGAAATCTGAACATTGCTGAAACTTCCATAGAGAACAACAAAGTATTACAGTTCTAACATTATACTTAGATGATTGCGTTGTTTTTTTTATCTATCTTAGATTCCTCTGCATCTTCCTTATTTTCAACATGGCATTTTTTGAAATGAATGCTTCTAAAAACGATACGTCATCGCATACATTTTGTGATAATCTATATACAAATATCGATACATCTCTTCCATCTTTACCAATTTCTGTGACAAAACTTGTTCGAACAACAAATTCAGCGCATCATTTAGATCTACAGCAGCATAATGCAGACGAAAAACGATCTCTACTAAGAAAATCTATTCGTTACGTAATGCGTACTTTTTACGATGTATTAAAATCACTTGTTGAATATAATTATTATTATGAATCTATCAATCTTCAAGATCTAGCTAATTGTTTATGTTTGAGTTCAAAAGAAGTTCATTCATATATAAAACAATGTAAACATGATAAATATATAAAAGAAGAACATCGTAGTAAATTAAAGGTTGGGTCATGAGGTAAACATAATCCGAATGAGTTGTATTATAAAGTTGATATTGCAAAATTTGTAAAAGGTCGTTAAATATCGTTTAATAGATATGCAATCTGCAATTGCAAATTTCGAACGATAAAAAATCTGTAAAGAAACAAATTATAAATGTGAAAAATATTTGAAAGAGTATACTGTATTTGAGATAAAACGATTATCTAAGAATGGCACAGGAGAATACTTGATATGTACAGCATGTAGTAGTATGGTAAATAAAAATAATCAAACAGAACAGATGAAAACTAGAAATGGACAAATAATAAATATGAGATTATTTAATGAACAAATGGCACCATTATTTGAAGTTCTTGAAAGAATTGTTGAAACAATGTCAAATGAACATTTAACAACAACTAAACATGATATTGAAGTTACTATTGAGAAAGATGATGATAAATACGTTTCAAATGCAGTTATTTATGATAACAATGTGGCATTAAAATCATTACCAGAATGATTTGTTCATTCAACCTTTTATACTGAACCTGATGATGATGAACTTGATCATACTAATTTATTATTGAATAATACTAAAACTGCATCAACTATTGTATTTCTATTACTGAATTTAGTAACATCGAATATAACTAATTCACAATCAACTTCTTGTTTTTCACAATCTTCTAATTTAAATACCGATGCGTTTGGAAGAATGAATAGAGACAATACGGATAGTTCTCGCTTTTATTAATCTAATGAATATTGATAATAACATTTAGATAAACTCTTTATGAATACTGGTTCCTTTTGTGTATTTTTAATTCAGAAGAGATTGATATATTTGTTTTTTGTGTATCTTGAGATGATTTTGTCTCTCTATGTTCTTTTTTTCAGGTTGTTTAATATTTGCTTCTCATCGTGTTTCGTCACTATTTAAAGATATGTAAGCTATTAGCTCTAAACATAATAATTAGTTTAACTATTTATTTCGATTAGATCACAACGAAGAATTACTGCTGATGGACGAATACAGAGGCGTCTTAAAGAACGACGATGATCAAGTTGAAAGCATTATGGCGCATAGTCATTCTTCTCTTGTTGTTTTTTTATTTTTATTTTTTGATAAGAATGTTCTTCCTGCGCTGTTCCAATTGATAATATTTTGTCATAAATAAAGGATAAAAGGAGAATCGTTGAAGTTTTGATTCATATTATTTATCGCATTCTTTTTAATAGAAAAAAAATGCTTGGCGATGATATTAAACAACAATTGGAATATCAAGCACAACAAACATTCCGGGCCGATGAACCTGTGAGTATTTTTTAGAAAGAAAATAAATAATTTAGTAGTTAAGAAATATTTCTTCATAAACATTAAGAAAAAGTTCAGTTAGAATTTTCAATGAAATCATTAGATATTCATGTGTTAGATTACTGTAATAGACTTTATATTAGACATTTAGTATTTTAACCAAATTTTAAGTTAATAAATTGATCAAATGACTCAATACTGTTCATATCAAATTTAAGTTTTGTGACAAATTAGAAAAACTAGTGAATAAAGTTTCCACATGAACATAAAAATTATTTTAATTTCATGATGAAACTACATGTTCTTCTTTATGCAAGTGAGGACTAACACGTTTTTAGTTTATTGTATTGAACTGTTCGACAACATTATTGAAACAAATATCTAATAGAACAACTTCGTTCGGTTTTGCTAATTAAATAGACTATTAATCGTTTCTACAGCTCAATTTATTCAATAGTTTCATTTCATTTCTTTAATTGTTGACTATCTGCAACCAGTTTAATATATATTCCTAATATAGTCATTTTCAAAGATTATGAGCCGATGGATCAAGTTTCGTCTCGACCAAACAAATTCGATTCAACATACACATCTAGATGCAAAAATATTTCTCATCGTCAAAATTCTATTTAAAAAGTTTAAGAAGTGTAAAAGAATTTTTTTTAATCTGTTTATAGTACTGCTACAAATTCGATTTGAATAAAATCAGTCGCATAATAGTAATTTAATTCTCACGTGCGAAACTTATTTCATCGTGTCAATTGAGTGTTTCTTCCAGTTTTTTTCTCCAGCTCTAATTATATTCTTATGAAAAAAAGATAAATAAAACAATGTGTCCAGTTTTTCTTCCAGTTATAACTGATCAGATCAAATCGGAAGAGAACTTTACTCTTTTTTTATATGCATGAGGCATTACATGTAAAAATATTGTTAATAGAGGTCGTGAAAAAACATATACTTTTATTATTTATACATTCAATTCTTTTTTTTTCAGAATATGATAGCAGATACCGGTGTTCAGCCTATCTTTCTTAAGAGTGAGCTACCATGGAGGTAAGTATTTTTACTCTATTTATTTATTTCTAGTCAAAAAGAAAAATATTTAGATTTGACAAAAATACAAAAATTAATCGTCTTGTTGTCTCAAATAATGTTTTTATTTTACATTTAAATGAGAAAACTTTACAACGACGGTGTCTTGATGAAACACCGAAAGATGCAAAAACTTCATCATTTTCAGGTTAAACCTAAAACACATATTTGCAAAAAAAAATGTGTATATGTATATGTATTAATTTATTTCTGAATAGAGGTTCAAATTCCAGACGCAATAAATAAAGTATTCCTTGATCCCTATGGTCGTTTAGTTATTGTATCAACACGTGATAAACGGGAGGTATACATTCTTGTATCATCAACAAATTCATTAAAATTAATTAAAAGACCAATACGATTTGGAAATGCCATATCATTTGGTCTTGTTTCTGTTTCGTGGTGCAATCGATTTTTACAACAACAAAATGATGTTGTTGCACTTCTTGCTGGTCAAGATGGAAATATATATGAAGTATTAATTCGATCCGATGGTGAATTAGCATGGTGCAATGAAGTTTATCCATCATTTAAATCTTTTATGGATATGAATAAAGATAGTGTTACTGGTATTTATTGTGATGTTAAATCTGCTTATGAAGATAATACAAATATATTTGTTGTTATTACTACACAAAAGTAAGATGATAACAAATGAGTTGAAATGAATTGGATTACATTTAAATGTATTTTTCTTCTCTCACATACCTTTCATAGAAAAAAAAGCATTTAAGTAAATGATAAAAGAAAGAGAATTTTGTTCTTTATTTAATGCATTCGCCTTCCAATATTAAAGTGTTTATGAGAAATAATAAACATCCCTCGCAAGTAGTCTTTGTCGTGATTTACACTGAATACTGAAAAACTGAAGTTCTTTAAATTATACTTCAGATGCAACGTTTTTATTTTTACATCATGAAAATGGAGAATTTTATTTTCTCCCCGAGACTATGTCACTGATGAATCAAAAAGTGCCATTTGATTAATGAAAGTCATGAAAAAAGTTACCAGATCTCAAACTTGTTGTAAAATTCAGTTCTTTACTTGAAACTTTTATTTCAAGTTTTGTAACTTAGTCAAAAAGATAAACAATTCCATGGAATTTTTGTTTTTCATTCAATTAGAAATCTAGTGAATTTTTTCATTAGTAATATTACGCTTTTCTTTTTTAGCCTGAAATGTCGCAGTGGGGATATACACTGTATCTTAATGTATTACTTGTTTTGCAAGAGAAAAAAATATTTTTTAAAATCTGGAGTATACGATTTTTTTGGAGCTCAAAATTCCCTATATTTTGGCGTAGAATTGAATATTTTTTATGAGCAGTAAATGAGAGAACAACTGCATTTATAATTATTCCAGTTTATTTATACTGGTCCACCTGTCATTTAAAAGTGAACTTTTGAATTAAACTTCATATTTTTTTCATATTAGAGCTTTGTATTATTTTGAACATGGAATTGATCCATCGCCTAAATCAGATTATTTTTCAACATTCTTTGCTTATTTTCGTGATGCTTCATTGTCTGATTTAAAACATCTGGAATTTCCAAGTGGTAATGCTCAAAGTGAAATTCAATTATTTGTGAAACGAAAATCATCTACAACACAATTATTACATAGACAATTTGCATGGATAACGGGTGCTGGTCTATTTTATACTGAAATAGATCCAGTTAATGTACAAAACTCTTTTATTCAACGTCATCGTATTATTGATTATTATATTGATAAAAGTCTTAAACAAAGAGATGAAGAACAACCACCAAAATCTGTTGCATTAACAGAATTTCATTGTCTTATGATGTTTCCTAATGAAAATCAAATACGTGCTGTATGCACTGTTAATAAAAAAATTGTTATGATTGATGGTTCTATGGCAGTAAGTCTTACTTTGATTTTTTTTTCAAGCATATCATGATTATGTAGTAATAAGAAATGAGATTAGGAATATCAACCAATCGCTATTGGCTATAAACTTTCGCTCGCACAATATGTTCAATTGCACAAAAATAATTAATTATTTTGTTAAGAAGTGTTTAAACATATTTACATGTCATTGAAATTCTTCGTTTAGATTAGAGATGTGCAAGGTTATCCTACTCGATCCTGTGGTGTAGACTAGGGTCAGGCCTAAAAACATTTTTCTCAGTCAGAATCTAGGGTACGAACAAAGCTTACTCTTTGCATCTCTAGTTTTGACATATGTACTACTTATGACATGTAGGTAGTATAGTCATCGTTGAGAATGCATTTTATTTCAATGCTACCTACTCGTGTAAACAAATAAAAATGAATAATAGTGTTGCTTGATACGATAATAAAAATGTATTGACCTTTGAGACTTTTAAGAATATACTCATTTCAATAAACAATTTTATCAGAAATACTTCAGCTATATTGGAATCTTTCAGCAATAAGTTTGCCCATAGAAAGTATACTTTCAAAACAGAAACTTTTGTTTATGCTGCAACTTAGGAAGTCTTCTAAACTGTAAAATCTACATTTAAAAAAATTTTGAAACTATTTTTTAGAGTGGTAGACCAGTTTGTTATGCACGTGATCAAATTCGTGATCAATTATGGGCATGTACTGATGAACATGTTCTTCGTTATACAATCAATGATGAACGTCGTGATGTCTGGCGTGTATTTATGCAAAAACAAGATTTTCAAAAAGCTTTTGAAACATGTATTGTAGTATGTTAATAAGTTTTAATAGTAAACAAAATAATATTTACAAAATTCAGGTAGATGATCCAGATGAAACAGCACGAAGACAACGTTCAATTAATTCTAAACATGCGGATTATTTATTTAATGAAAAAAAGTAAATATTTATTCGTTTGTATTCTATTATTAAATTTTTTTTTCTTCAATTATATAGATATACACTTAGTGCGAATATTTATGCTACATCAGATACATCATTTGAAGATGTAACATTAAAATTCTTTGCTTTAAGAGATAAAGAACCACTTCGAGAATATCTTCAAGCTGTTTTACAATATCAAAAACCATCAACAGTAAAAATTTCAAAAACAAATATAAACATAAATTATTTTTTTTTATTCAAATAGGATAGTACACAAATAACAATATTAACTTTATGGTTAACGGATTTATTTTTGAATGAACTTGATGAATTACGTCAAAAAGATTGTACAACAACAACTCAAACAACAACATCACCTAATACAAATAATAGATCCCCATTCAGTCTTCAGTCACATGAAGAATTTTTAGATGAAAATAGTCGAAAAGAAAAATTTGATGAAATTCGTCGAAAATTTCAATATTTTTTACGTAAATCAGAAATCCAGTCATGTCTTAAAGAACATCGTTCAGCTGTGTATGATCTATTAACAAGTCATGGTGATCTTGATGATTTAATTTTATTTGCTGAACATGTACAAGATTATGAACGTGTTATTCTACTTTATCTTGAACGTGAAGATTATGAAAAAGCATTAAAAACAGTTGAACCATTAGTATATATAGATTCCTTGTTTCATATGAATTTTATTTTATTTCATTTTATTTCAGGATAATTATCAACTTCTTTATAAATATTCACCAACATTAATTGAAAAATTACCTGAAAATCTTATATCTGTTTGGAAAAAGAAATATAGCGAACGTTTTGAACCTAAAGAACTATTACCAGCAATGATTGCTTATTCACGAGCATATCCGACAGTAAAAATGTTTTCATTTGCTTTCGTTTAGTTATTAATTGTTCTTTATTTAAGGGTAAAGCTGTATTGGATTTTTTGAAATTTTGTTTAACAAGAGGATGTATTGATAAATCAATTCATAATTATCTTCTTTCGGAATACGTCAAATTTGATTCTAGTCAAATAATGCCCTATTTAAGAAATCAAAAAGAAGTATAAACTATTATATAAATCAATAAAACATATATAGTTTTCTTAAAATTAGGATCCTCTTATAATAACGTATGATCCAAGATATGCATTACGTCTTTGTATTGATCATGATCTTAAACAAGAAAGTGTCTTTTTATATCGTTTATTAAATATGCATGAAGAAGCTGTTGATACAGCTTTACAAGTATAATTAGAGACACAAAAAAGTCAATACATTGATGAATCATTCTTTTTTTTTCAAATTGTAGGTGAATGTTAAATTAGCAAAAGAATGTGCATCAACGGCTCCAAGCAACGATGAACGAACGAAAAAATTATGGCTTAAAATTGGTAAGAAATGAAACCTTAAATGTAAAATATATTTGACTATAAAATTTGTTGAGTTGATAATATCGTCGTATTGTCTTTACACCCCATAGAACTAATGCCCATTTCAAAAAACGAAGCCGATGGCTATTTTTCAAATAAATCTGAAACGCTTCGTGCTATCGAGTTCCGATCATCAGCATTCGAAAGAGGCTTTCTTACTCAATTGATCCATAGAAACTTGTTTAAGTTCGGTTCATAANGTATCAAATTATATATATATGGCTGTTTGACACTCGAGCATTTTGTGGTACTAAAAGCTCACAAAACAGAATTAATCAGGGCTTTCTGTGCGAAATTTTTAATTCAATGAAAAGTTCGATTGGTTATCGATTATTTTTATGACTGAATCGACTTGGAATGAAGAGAGCAAGTATTTATGCACATGTGAGCATATTTTGAAAAGGAAAAAACAAGGTTTCCATATATAGATAGGCTAATATGTCGCACAATGGCTGTATAGCCCGCTTAGCGGTAAAATGCTTTTTTGATATGTAAAACGGAACCCAATCGAAATATAAATATAATATTCGTAATCAGCGCGCAAAACTGTATATAAATGATATGCTTCTGAGGATATTTGAAGAAAAAACGTTTTTTCGAATCCTGGGTGGTACCCTACGAGGCAAACACATTACTTTGGCAATTTTCAAAACTAAGTCGTAGGAAATACTTCTAGTGGTACCCTGACATCTGTCAGATCAATATAATTGCTTTAAATAGGAAATAAGAACGACGTGCGAGAAAGAAAAGAAAAGAATAATTCACATATAGCTGAGGGTAATTTTCAACGTAATCCACAAAAATGTGAATTAGCAAAAACGACTATTGATTATTTAGGCCACACAATTAGTGTTCATTGTATTAAACCATTGCAAGAACATATTGAAAAAATCTTAGCTATTCTACAACTAACAACATTAAATCAAGCTAGTGCTTTTATAGGTGCCATTGAGTGGTATCGCAAATTTATTAAAGATTATGCAAAATTAGCTGCACCAATATTAGCAGTTGCAAATTTAACTAAAAATAATAAATATAAATTTAAATGGGGTACACCACAACGAGAAGCTTTTGATCAATTAAAAACTGCTATAACGTCTGAACCATTATTTCTAACTTATCCTGATCCGGATGCACCTCTTATCTTATCAACTGATGCATCAGATTATTGTATTGGTGGTGTCTTATATCAAGAAATTAATGGTGAACGCAAAAATATTTATTTTTATTCACAAATGTTACCAAAACTTCAACGAAAGTGGCCAACAATAGAAAAAGAAGCATTGGCTATCTATTATTGTGTTACACGTATGAAATTATATTTATTAGCTCGTGAATTTGTTCTCCAAGCAGATCATTGTCCACTACGTGATATGCACAAAAAACCGTCCAACAATGGTCGAGTTGATCGTATATCATTAGTCTTACAACAATATAATATAAAAGAAATTCGTCACGTATCTGGTAAATGTAATTGCATGGCTGATTATTTAACTCGATATCCTCAACCATTAGAAGATGATGATGATTTTCTGGACTCAGATTTTGGTTTTATACCCTCAGAAAAAAATCCAGTCGACAAAAATATTAATTTTTGTTTGAAAATACCACGTTTAATTATTTTGTATAATATATCGTTCTCTAAAACATAAACACAACGTAATGGATTTTTATTAATTTCAAGAATCTTTTCCTGATATAACTTATCTTTCTGTTGAGCTTCGACAATTTTTGTGATGTCAAAATCATGACTTGCCTCTTGTTGAGGTGAATCATCTGGTAATACTACATGAGTTGAAGAATTGTCATTTTGAGTTGGTGGTATTTGATGTGCTTGTGCTTTGGCTTGATCTTGGGTTGTAACAGCACTAATAAAAGGTGAATTAATAAGATTGTCGAATGACGCAAATGTAAATCAAATCGATAAAAAAAAAGATCTATCACTTAAATATCGAACTATTTATATATATCAAGGATAGACACCTACGTCATCTGCTACTTTCTGTCTTCTAAAATTTAACATTTATTTCATTGGTTATATTGTTTTCCTTATTTCGTTAGTATTGTTTACTATTTTAGTACTATTATCACACCTATTTAATTATGTTATATACATTAGTATGATCATGTATTTATGATTATTATATATAGGTTCATTTGATGTATGCTTATTATTATTGCTATTAGATTATTATTATCTTGTTATCGTTATTATTATTTATATTGTTTATCTAATGTCTAATAATTCATCGAATATCAGCGGTTCAGGAACAATTTCCAAGAATAAACGTCGTCGAATAAAAAAAGAAGAAAAAGAAACTTATTATCAAGAATTATTTTCTCACAATCAACCACTTCATCGATATGATGTATACTTTATCAATACTTGTACAACACCGAACGAACTTCAAAGTTTAATTCAGTCTGCACAAAAAAACAAAACATTTTTCTTTCGACACTGAATCTGATTATGACACGAATGCCCCAGCGTTGATACAAATATTCTTTATAAACGACGTACATGAATATTCACCATTATTATTAATCGAAGTCAATCATCTTCCTTCTCCATCTTCAGTTACATTTTTATTGATGCAACAATTGTTTATTCATATATTTCGTTTAATACTCATGTCTACTGCTGGGGATGGTTAGTTGAAGAATTATTAAAATTTGTTCGTTTTAATATGTTTTCATATCCATTATTATCGATTATACATAATTCACAAGATATATTTCGTACATGATTTGACGAGTGGCTAATATTTCAATCTGTTAATGATAATGTTGATCAAAATGTTGATGATACACTGATTATTAATCCTCCAGCGTACGATCCGCTACTGTTTTTACCACCGGCTGTTATCAATGATATGAAAATTAGACGAAATGAGTCATGAATTATCCAAGATGCTACGGCTTACGTTCTGCAACAATATTTATCGAAAAAGTATACGTTACGCAAATGGTCAATCGGTTTAGATGAACGGTTATTAACAACAAATAAAAAAATATTCTTCACACCACCGTCGAAACATGATTATTTACGCGTCGAACGATTGCTTATCATTAGCTCAATTGATCGTATTCATCTATGAACCAAATCTTTCAAGTGCCAGACATTATTTTCAATATTCACCAGGCTCAGGCGAGTATCTTTTTTATAAAGAACAAAATATTTCTGAATTTTCTTTTACAAATTCTTCACGAGAGATTTTAGCATTTACTGATGAACAAACGAATCATTCGATGACTGTTCATGAAAAAAATGAACGTCATTCTATGGAAATTTCAAATGCCGTACCTCATCCTCAACAAACTCAAGATGATCAAATACAATCAATTAATCATTACTCAAAGTTGTTACATGATACATCTGTTACAAAATCAAAAATTAGTCACTGCCGATCTTTAAAAGCACGAAAAAGAAGAAATCAAAAAACAAGTATACGACATCGAAAGAATCGATACAATTACGGAATTAGTCGGCCAGTCAACACCAATATTAAAATAGTAAAACAAATCTTAAAAAGTTATATTATTAAATACACTAATATCAACATCGTACGTTCAACTTTATATATCGGATTAAAATCGTTACAACATCAAGATGAATATAAACAAGTATTACCATCAGATATTTTCTTTAATTCTATTTTTTTTCCTTTTTAAGTTTCTCTCTTTTCTATTTTTTTTCCTTTTTAAGTTTCTCTCTTTTCTATTTTTTTTCTCTTCTTCTTTTCTCTCTATGTTATTTACAATTTCAGTTATATGTTAAGTAACATTGTTAACCTCTAACTTTGTGTTATTATTTTTTTCTCTCTCTCTTCGTTCATTCTTTTGTAGGGGGGGGGGGGGTCACGATCGCCATCTATTATAGATGGACGATCCTCCTTCTTATTCTCTCTCTCTCTCTCTCTCTCCCTCTTCAGACAGAGAGTTGTTGTGTTTACCAGTGAGAGTGGTGTTCATGTTATAGATGATTTAGGTCTCGTTATATTATTTTAATAAAAAAAAGTACGGAACCTAACAATGCCCACTTCAAATTTTGATTGTTCACGACGAATTTTCTCTGCCAACTTCACTATATTTGGATGACTTATTGCGATGCGATTAACGAATGCCTTGTGCCAGCCTTCCACCGAATTATTGAATCGTGGTACCGTAGCGATAACAGGATCATAAACATTCCATAATTTATGATCGAGTTGCGGCTTCTTCCGACCACTCCATTAGAAAGTCGAGTATATTTAAAGTTTCTCAAGGATAGAGAAAAAAATTTACCACTTCTTCTTTTTTCATCAATCAATGTTTTCCCAAAATAATCGAGTAAATCGTCGGCATCATTGTCGCATTGCTGACAAATTAAGTCGAAGCCAGTTATAACTTGATCTAGTGGAACAAAAGCAAGAGCAATCAATTCTTTTACATTTAAACGAAAAGACTCATCCTCATTATATTTAGTTGTTAATCCTTTGCGTTGAACTTGTCACCATACCGCTTGTTTCTAAATCAGTCATAATTGGTTCAGGTTGGAAGTTGCCTCGTGCTAACACTTTTTTGAAGAATAAATTGTAATCTTGAGAACTTTTACCAATTAATAACCCATAGACGAGAGAAATAATTGCATTGGTCATCATCGCATGTAATGTGAAGAGTTGATAATAATCGTCGGGACACACCTTCATGAAAGAAAATGAGAAAGAAAAAGAGACACATTTAATTGATAGTTTAATTTGAATTTTCCGTCAGCGAACCAATGTTTGTTTTGCTTGGGAATAGATAAATTAGTTTTTGTTGTAAATATAATTAAATTCTTGTCTTCGTGCAAGATGAAATCTTGATCACGATAGGTCTTTCTTAATTTTTCTGGTAACCGACCATCGACGTCGACTGTTTCAATAGTACGTTGTCTTCGAATCATCAACATAAGTGCTTCATTGCTTGAACGTTCACCAGCGGCACTTAGTGGATATGTACGTAAGACCGAATGAAGAATTGAGCTGGTTGGTTCATCTGTTATCACAGCACGAACTTTAATATCATTTTTTAATTGGATAGCTGAAACACGATCGGGTTGTGAAGCATGGGAATGTGATGTTAGTTCTGCGAGAAATGCGTCCATGGATAAATTGGTATGACAACGAGCTTAATTGATAAATGATTTTCATTTGAATTAATTGATTGATGTTCAAAGTGAACTTACCTTTACAATCTCGATTCTGACATCGAAATATAAATTTCGTGGTTGTTGTACGCTCTACAGTATAGATATAACCTGCATGGAGAATCATTGGTTTTCCTTTTACAGAAAAGAGTTTTTCGATTTGAGACATTTTTCTGGAAAAGTACTGCTCAGTGAAAGTTGAGATCGAGAAGTGAAATGTTTTTTTTTTATTTGACCTGGTCCCATAATTAAGGACATTGGATCAGTGTTATCTTTAGTTTAGATTATGGTGCAATTCATTAACCAAGTGACAAATCTAATTATTCTTCATTCGCTTTAGCTCTATCACGACTGCATTAGAATAATATTTTTTATTGATCCGTTTTCCCAACTAATTATCTATCGTTATTGTACATATCTCTCTTGCAATTTATCATTTATTTTATATTATTTCCATTGATTACAGAAAAAAAAGAATTCATTAAGAGAGATGCAACAAGTAGATAGCGACAAATTGTTCTGCGACGAAGGGTGGTGCGACGAATTGTACTAGTGCCAAGGCAGCATACAGTTAAGCTATTATAAAACAAAATGTGCTAGGTTCAAATCTAATGTCCAGAAAAGATCATCACATGTTTGCACATACCTTTGGCATTAGCTTCTTTGTTTGGCTGATCTACGACTTTTCTGTCAAGTTCGAAGTTGAACACTCAGATATTTTGTGGAACTCACATATATTTTCGAAGAAAATAGTGAGTGTAAGTTTTAAGTTCGAGGTTTCGCGGCTCTCCTCCACTTACAGACAGGTCCCCATTACAGACCATAGCAACGAAAGAGAATATTACATATAGCCCTCCTCCCTATTATAGACCTTCACAATCAATAATAAAAGGTGTTAAATTTTTCCAAGTGTTTTTTTTTTGGAAAATTGATTCAGTTATAATTTTGAAAAATAATGAATATCATTATTTGTGACTTGATTAATATATATGACAGTGTGTAAGGTCTGCTGTAGATATTATAGGTATGTAAAACACACTTATTTGTCAATGAATTCAATGATTATAATAATAAGAATGATAAATTAGGAAAAACGAATTAAAAAAAATAAAAAAATAATGAGCGAATAGCAACAATGCAAATAAAAAATAGGGCGCCCATAGAAAAAAGTTTAAAAAACATTCTGTTCGAAATTAGAGAGATTCTTACTCTTGCGATTGATTTTCCTGCAAAACAACTATAGTCTAAGAGAGATTTTTCAGTTTACGCATCTTGTATCAGTTGAATGAGNCAGCAAACGATCATATCACGAAAACACATGTAACTCAGTAACGCATGAGTTTCAAGATGAAAATTTTTTTCACGTTATAGCTTTAGCTATTTACTATTTGTGACATGAAATCTACAATTTAAAACTTTAAATCAGAATGATTAATTGAACTTAGACTTCGATAATCCTAGTACATATAGAATCCTCTGAGGAAACAATCCGGTTTTTTATACTTTGAAATACTTTCGAGGTCTGTAGAGTACTACTTCCTGACAAATAATTTCTTACTTCCGATCGTGAAACAGAATGAAAAGGAATACACAATCATGTAATTGATTTGAATAATTACACGAGTATCTTTTTTCTTTCGTTTATATGTGATGGACGGATGATAGACAGAACAGACGGAATATAGAGAAAGAAAGAAACGAAGAAAAGAAACGTATAAATAAATGAGAAAATATGCTATCGATCATTTAATCCATTATTACCATTGACGTAACATGATGAATGTAAATGCACATAATGTCATTAAAATTCTTTCAAACTTGGTTTCAACAAATTTACCTATTAGCAGATCATCAAGAATCGGTTCTCCTCGAGACGAGGAAGTTGCTAAACAATTGTTTGATAATCTTATTTCTATAATCAATAGTACTCACTTTTATGTTGAAAACGAAACTTCTCTTGATCATACGTGTGATTTCGACGATGATGATAGTGAAGAAACCGATACAGATCCAAGTAAACCACCACAAAATGACCACTATGTTTATGATGACAATGAAAATGTTTCACTTCAATCGTTTAGTCTCGAATACATGCGAGAGGTCGTCAACTATTTCGACGAGAAAAATCCGAAAATGGAGTTGGAAGACTGCTCAGCATCGATTTAGAGCTGTTCCATATAGAGAATATATTTCTCGTTTTCGTCAGTATTTGGCAACGAACGGAAACAAAAGACAGAAGCTTGATACAATCGATGCATCTGTGTATGATTGTTTCGAAAAAGCTCGACAGAAGCGTTTGTCCGTGCACGATATCGATTTAACGCGTTGGGCGTTGCGAAAGGCGAAGGAAATATCACTGATTGATTTTGTTGCTTCAGAACATTGGCTGAGATGTTTTAAATACAGCCATAAAATTTGCAGTCGTAGAATTACTAAACTTGTTACAAAAAAAGATGTTGAAAATGAAGAACTTACTATTGAATCAGCTAATAATTTTGTGTCAAAAGTTGAAGTAGTAGCGAGAAAATATAATGCGAATAATGTTTTAAATACGGATCAAATCGGCATAGAACTCGAGATGCATTCGAACAGAACTTTAAGTTATGTAGGCGAGAAAGCAACTCTGGCTTCTATAAAATCTTTATATTCAAACACTCACTCTTATACAGTCCAACCCATGATAAGCATGGGTGGCAAGGTTATCGGTCCTCTTTTTCTTTGTTTAAAAGAGCCCACTGGCAAATTAAGTGATAATATTAAAAAAAAACTTGTTTCAGGCAAAAAATGTCGTAGTTACTTGTAGTACATCAGGCAAGTTAACGAAATCACTAGTGAAATATTGGAGGGATGCAGTGCTAGAACCAACTATAGGCTCAAAAAAATGCCTTCTTTTATCTGACTGTTGGAGAGCACAAGCAAATGAGACTCTGTATACAAAAATGAAAGATTGTATTCGACTAGAAATACCGAAAAAAACGACATCCATTATTCAACCACTCGAAGTCTATTTTAATAGACAATATAAAGCCATTGCTAGAAAAGTTCATGATCGTATTCGTCTTGACGAATTAGACATAAACATCAATGAGAGAAATAATATTGTCAGATTAAATTCTCTTATACATAATCAGCTATCTTCTAAAAAATTTGAAAATATGATTCGTTATGCCTGGTTTGCTTCTGGATATCTAAAAACAAATCCTGGCTCGTTCCATAATGTAAAACAAATATGTTTTTCACAAATGAACGACCAGTGTGAGATAAATAAATGTCACGATTATGCGTTTATAAAATGTAGTCACTGTGAGAAAACTCTATGCTTCAACCACTTCTTCGAACTATACCATATACATTAACGTTTATTTCCACTTTTTCTTTATTTTTTCCTTCTATGCAGCTGTCTTAACGTAAATGAGAGATCTTTTCTGAACTTATATTTAATCAAGCACATTTTATTGAGGCTCTTTTTTTCTCTTAAACTTTGGTTGGTTTTGCTCAATATTTGAACGACTTTATTAAAATTATTAAAAAACTAAAAAAAAAGACAAAAAAAAATGGAAATTACCAAAGAAACCTTTCCTCGTAGGAGGGCTCAACGTGCCGGAAAGGCGAAACGTTCTTATTCTCTTTGTTGAGAGAAACAAGAATGGCTAACATCCTACAAGCTAACGCTCTATCTTTTTTTATAATACCACCAGAACGTAAAAGTTTTGCTCTGAAATATCTCAATTAATTGTACCTTTACAAGCTGATAGAATATTTCAAATAGATCTTATGATGTAAAAAAAACGAATTTTCGTAAGAGGATTCTATATGTACTAGGATTATCGAGGTCTAAGTTCAATTAATCATTCTGATTTAAAGTTTTAAATTGTAGATTTCATGTCACAAATAGTAAATAGCTAAAGCTATAACGTGAAAAAAATTTTCATCTTGAAACTCATGCGTTACTGAGTTACATGTGTTTTCGTGATATGATCGTTTGCTGGATAGGAAAGTTAAAAACTTCATAACTATTGAAAGAAGCCGCATGGGCACAAATCCTCTTAGTCTTTTTCTTAGCATGATGACCCCTACATATGGGCAAAATATGAGCAAAATCGGCGTGGATCAGTTGGGACGGTTTCCTCGTCAGTGGCAATTATTAATGAAGATGATATTAGGTGTCTCGCTGGATTCCCGGATACATTTTAAAACTTTCTTTTTTTCGTCTTATATCTATTACCTTAACAGACACATTTGTTTTTTTTAAGCAGCTGTCCCTTTAGGACCATTAAGGTCAATGGGCTTAATTTCGCAAATAAATATAGCTATTGCTGATCATCTTATTGGTATTATAACAGAACAAATTGTATATAAAAATCAACATTTAGCTTTATTAAGACGTGAATGTAGTTTATCAAATGAATATTGTGTTACAACTGGACTTTATTCTGTTGTTGGTGCATGTGCATTTTTAGATGGAGTTAGTCTAATCATTGTTTCTCTTGTTGTTCTTATGAGTAAAGTTATTGATAGTTTATCTTATATTGTTCCCTTGAGAGTTTATATAGCATTAATAGCAAAATGGGTAGGAGATGCATTCAGTGAAAGAATTTACGAAGAAATTATTAAATTAAATGGTTATTCATATTTAGGTAACGAGAAATTAAAAGAAGAAATAAAGTTTTATTTTTCTATTTAGAAAATCATGAAACTTGTCGTTTTACTTTAAAAGTCGGGGAAGCAATACATTCGAATCATTTAAATGAAAATCTTCTATTAGTATTTATATATTAAGATAGTATGAAAATTCCATAAATTGATTCACTTATTCAACATCATTCATATTGAATTTATCCAGTTGTTATTAATGAACATTTTTCTTCTATTGTTAGACAAGTCAATAAAGAAATTTATTAGTTGCGCTTAAATCGCAAAAATGGAAAGCATTTACAGAAACAAAACCATCACTTAATCGAAAAGTAGACACCTGTCGTATCAATGTCAAATTGAATGACAACTCTCAGAAAAGTTTTTCTTCTCTTTTTCACAGAAGTTTTTTTTCTTATTTACATAAGTCATATCTTATTCTTTGCAATCTTTTTGACAAATATTTGAATTATATCTTTTTTCGAAGAACAATAAAAATTTATTTTCTTTTTGAACTTTCATATAAATAATATATTATCATGATGAATAGATTTGCCTTCGAGGAAAATAGTCTCTTAAGTTTTCATCAAAGTCTCTCATGTTGCCTGACAATGTAAGATCAATGATCTTTGAACAATTCATTCGTGTTGTGTCTCTTGTGAAATTGTTTGTTTCTTTTCCCAACGAATCGTGACATACATGAAGATGAACATTATCTAATAAACACATCTTTGTATTATTTAAAAATTCTTCAAGATAATCTTCATGAGTTTTAACAAGATCAATTTCAATAAGATGAGGATATTTAATTACTAGACATTGAAGATGATCATTTTGTTGCGGTTCATAATTATGTAAACCTAATTTTTTAATAAATGGAAACGATTCAGCAATTTGAAGAAAAAAAATCATGTTCAAATGGATGTTCATCACGTAATGAAATTCTACGAACACATTTGAATAATCTACCAGGAAAGTCATTTGTTATATTATGATAAAATGTCCATGTATATGGATATGAATAAATATGACAATAAAGTAAATTTGGTTGTGAAAAATAATCAACACTTGAAATAATTATATTATTAAAATTTTTAAATGTATTTTTAATATCTTCATTTGATGGTAAATTACGTGGATTATCGAGACGAACCAATGAACTAATATTAAATGTAAACTTGTTCAATCTTGGCATATGATTAATAAAGTCTTTTTTTAAAATATCACCATCAATAATTGAATCACTAATATTTAAAAACTGTAAACCAACTTCTTCTAAATTTGTCATTCTTTGGAAAAGTGGAAGAAGACCATTATCATAATAGTCCAATCATTTTTTTTATAGGTAATTAAAATACATTTTGAATTGATAAGTTTATTCTACAAAATAAAATGATAATTAGTGAACATTCATGTAAAAAAGGATATTAATGAGCAACTTACTGTTTTATGATTATCTGAAGGTAAATTATCAAGGCCACATATCGTTATATATAATTTAGTAAGTTGATTAAAACGATCATCAAGTATATAAAGACAATTATTAAGGCTATCCACCTGGACATGTAATTCCCACCGATTTGACGAAAATGAAATTGAAGTTATAGAATCAACTGCTAACTGTTGATGATCAACAAGTGAACTAAAATTTAAATATCTTAAATTCTTGAACATCCCAGGTCAACCATTCCGGCCGTCTGAAACGGCATCGGAAACGCCCTCAAACGGCTATAAAACGGCATAATGAGGCATCAATTTTCGCCGTATTTAGCCGTATTCCATCAGCTCGTTTTACGGGTCGTTTTTTTCGCTAGACAACGACCATCGTTTTTCACACTATTTTCACCGTTTTCCGAGCTGATGGAAAATGGTGCCGTGTTTCGACGTTTTGTGTCTTTTTTTATGCCGCTTACGGCCGTTTACGGGTCGTTTTCTTGAACCTGGGATCGTACAACATTGTTTAAATAAAAATTGAAATATTTTTCTATCTTCTAATATTTGATCGTCGTCAAATGAATCTAATGAATCTATTTGTGCCACAATTGGTTTTGCTTTGTTAATAAGCGTTTCAATTTGTTGTCCGAAATGTTCAAATAAAAAACTTGTATCTAAATAAACAAATAAATATTAAAAAATTTTATTAAATTATTTAGTTTTTATTTTGTTTCTCTTATCAAACCAATTTTAAATGATCTTCATTTAATTCCCTAATAGATTATGATGGAATAGAAGATAATATCTTACCAGCAAATAAATCAATTACTGTTTGTGATGAAAGATATAAAACAAGTGCCTTTAACTTTGAATAGTTTGTTGAAAGAAGAATACGTTCTGTAATTGATGATTCAAGATTAATCCATTGAATATTATCATAAAATTTAGGTAAAATTTCACAAATTCGATCAAATATAGTATCATTAAATGGAAATGATGAATCATTAGAAGATATTAATGTTAATTTTTTTCCAATAATGGCATTATTGATAATTGAATCAAATCGTTTATTAATATTGATGAAAGAATAAAGTATATCATGATGATGGAGATATATGAAAATAATCATAAGAATTTCGTTAGGTAAATCATTCAGTTGAGTACATGAATGTTCCATGTTTATCTTCACTAATGCTTCTTTTTTGCTTTGCGTATAGATGTATTGGTATGTATCCTCAACCGCTGAAACAAAGGCACAAATAAGTCAAGCAATGGGAAATGCGCTGATTGGTTCTCTGCTTCTTTTGACGAGACTAGATATAAGTTTGATGCAAGTAATTTATAGAGAAAATTATTCTCTATCGAACTACATTCTTAGATTTTTTTAAAAGTGGCAAGTAACGGGAGAAAACACATCGTTCAGGATGAGATTGTAGCGATCTCTTTATGGTGTATTTTGCTATTAGCGAGTAAAATCTTTAAACTTCAGCTTAGGCACGACAAATAAACACTTAGCCAGCTTCTTTATATCTACTTTGACCCGAAAATTCTCGATATGAACCTAGAAAAAAGTATTTAGACATGCGGCACCCTACAATGTATGCATTTGCTATTGATTCGATGAGTCATCATCGATGACCCATCAGTAGAGACCTGCATGATCACAATTTTTAGTCACGGTCACGGAGATTTCATGAGATTAGTGACGATCACGGTCACGAAGATTTTTTCAAAACTAGTCACGATCATGCGTGACCGTGACCGTAATCATTGTGCAGGTCTCTAGTTGCAATTTATATTAATCAATCTTATTGTTTCTATAGCATTGTTTTTTTTGTTGACTTTGCGGAACACACGTGTTCGAAGAAAATAATAGTGAGTGTAAGTTTTAAGTCGAAGTTTTGGAGCTCCCCATCCTCGTTACAGACTTCAGTTGTTGAAGAAAATAGGCTTCAGATTTTCTAATATTCTTTTGCAAACTGGATTAAGTTAAAATTTTGAAGAATAATGAATATAAGTTTTCATGCGTTATTTATATTTCACAAAAGTGCGTTAAATCTGCTATAGGTATGACCGATGTGTAAAACAGACTTGTTTGTCATTAAATTCGTTGATTATCACAATAACAATGTTAAATTAGTAAAAAAAAGAAGAATTACAAAAAGAAAAATTACGATCGAATTGAAAGCATGAAAATAAATAGTAGCTTGCATCGAAATAAATCTTTGTTCAAAATACAGAATAGTTTACGAGAGAATTTTCGCTCTACGTATTTGGTATTAGTTTAATGAGGCTAGAAAATATATGTGAGTTCTACATTTCAGCCACGTAGGGCTGCGCTAACAAGCTTTTAATTCAGATTTAATATTAAATATGAGCATAATAAAAAAGTAGATTTTTTTAAAATTTCTCAATTTAATTATAAACTAAGTCAGTTTTAGACATCTGCGTGACCATGACCATGATTACTTGGTCACGGTCACATCACAGTCACGAGCTATGTGGTCACAGTTACGGCCACGAAGATTTTTTCCAAAACTATTCATCGTCACGATCACTCGTCACCGTGGCCGTGACCGTAACCATTTTGCAGGTCACCACAGATCAGGCTGAAGATGATAAGATAAGGTTATTATAGCTGTATTAAAAGATGTCAGGAGGATCCTTCATTTGTCTTTAATATCAATCCAATATGATTTTTGTGCTTAATTTTAATTACATGAACATATATTTGTACATCGTCATGGTCGTTTTATAAAAATAACTCTATTGAATTGGTATATTCTGATACAGAAACAATTTGATGTTTAAACGTTTCTATTGGCATTGAGTGTTCTATGACAACAATAAGAATAACTTTTTAGAAATATTATTTGATGTATTTATTAATCTAAACGTTTTTCTATAACAAAATTCAGTAAAAAAATTGACATAAATCTTATTAAACATCAAGATGTCTTGAGATGTCGTAATTTTAAATTTTAATGAGGATCCAATAATCTACTGGAATTTCTGACAATGACAATCATTTGACAATCAAGATTTAAATTAGCTTGATAAGGCCCATATTTCATTTCAGGATTACGTCGTGCCTAATAACCTTTACCAAATGATTGACCAAGAGACAGATCAGTAATAGAACCTTCGAGGATATAAGCTTCCTCATGAAAAGTGTGTTATGGTATCATTACCAGTTTTGAATCCACATGACCATGTTTGTATATTAGTCTCAGGAGATAATTGTGTAATACAGATTTCTTTTGATTCATTTAATGGAAATGAAAGAAGATCAGGTTGATAAAATTCACGATCATTCATATAGATGTTTTGCGCCATTTATGTTAATAATGAGCGATAACTATTAATAATTATCCCACTATGAAAAATGGCGAATGTTATTGAAAAAAGAGTAAATATTAATGGACTATTATGTATGAGTGCTTCGTACTAAAATGTAGTCTGTAAAAGTGTGCACTGAATGAAACTAATGGAGTAGTTGAGTAAGCATTAGAAATTTGCTACATTTTCTTTATCCACTCTTAGTGTATATGTTTGTTACAGATCCCCGTCTCTGTAACGAAAATCAATGTTGGTAAAATCTTCATTGGTTCGATTCAGCCCAAATTCAATTTTATTCGAATTATCATCTCTCCTTTTCTTTTTCCTTTCACACATACATATGTTTTCATACATCAGAGAGAGAGAAATACATATAAGTGAAATACAAGGAGAGAGATGAACAAGTGACCTCTACTCCAGCCTAGACTGTTTTATATAATAAAGATGATGTCCAGTACCTTCTTTTATTAAAATGTCCTTAAATTTAGAACAGAAGAAAAGACTTATAATTTATTGAAATTGTCATGATCGGACAGAAAAGTAGAAGAGAAAAGAGGAAGGGAGAAAGAAGAGAAGAAAAGAAAAATCAGATCCATCGATCAATGTATGTAGAGTAGATAAAGTATATCCGAATGATGACTCATACACACAAGTTGAAGAAAAGAATAAAAAATATAGATGTATGTTAGAGCACTCTCCAGCAAAGTTAAATCTATTTAATATATATTTTGATGGAATCGGTTCCGAATGTTTGGGACCAAACCGAACCGAACCGGTCCCGTCACTGATCCACTTTCACCATCGTTATCAAGTTCCGATATTTAGTTGGGAGAAATTAACGACAACAGATACAATGATGATATGCTCATATTACCACAAATATTTGAAGATATATTCGTTCAATTAGAAAATGAAAAACATGTTATTCATACAACTTCTGTTATGAATGAAAATGATGGTACAACATCAATAAATAACTCAGTTATTAGATTTTATGAGTCTTGATATGATTGAAAATGAAAATATAAATGATAATGATATTTTAACGTCGTTAAATGATTTAATTACAGATATTATTAGTCATGATCCAATTCAAAGTGAAAAGTTCAATGAAAATGGTAATACAACACTATTTATTAATTCTATGTTAATATTTATGACAGTGATACAAGTCAGAATGAAAAGATAAGTAATAATGAAGCATGTTGTTCATCAACCTATTCACCAATTAATCGTCTACCTTGTATTAAAATATCATTACCTGGTATACAATTTATAACAGATTGGGAATTAAAATCTATTGATGCACAGAGATTATTATTAAAAGATAATGTTTGGTTGCCGAATGGTTCTATTGGTAAATCAAAGCCAAGTCGAACATCGTTTACAGAAACCAGGTCAACCTGGCTTCATGCTGTTTATTCAGAGCAAAAATATGAATTATTATGCATTTTCTATGCAAAAGAAGCCAAGTGTGAATCTCGATTAACAAAAAATCAAGAGTCGTTTATTTCTCATCTTCATTGGAAACTGCTATACACAAAGGCCTTCATGGTATTATTAACTATTGAAATCTTTTATCCGCCACTTAATGCATCAAGACTAAATCAATACTGCGTCGACAGATTTCGCAACTTGATGTATCAGTTTTTGTTAGATTAGTCTATATAATTGTGATATTGCAGTATTCGTCAAAATATGTAATATTTTTGCTAAGATCAAATTGATACTTGAATCCAACCTTTCCATAACTCTTAATCGTATTATTGTAGCTCATTATAAAGAGTTTTCATTCAAAGTTAGAGTCTCTTTCTTCCATCCGAAGCTCCTATTTTTATAAACAAACTATATTTCATCGCAGCTATTCTCCTAGGAATCAGAAAACATGACGAATCTGAACTTCACAAACGATCACTTATGAAATATGAATCAAAGTTACAATCTGAAGACCACGGTACAATTATAGAGCAATTAAATTCAAGAAAAATTAATACACAAAGAGCAAGTTGGGAATACTTACGTGCTGTTGCATGCTCATTTATTTTTTATTAGAGCAAGAATTTGCGTTTATGAATTTGAAAGATCTTATTAAACTAAAACAACTGAATCTTTCTGAACCAATCGTTCGATGGCTTTCTGCAGCTAACAAGAAAGAATTGTATTGGAGTGGAGAAAGTCGAGGTGACTGGCTTATTAGTGTACAAAAGTGGCTATGGAAAAAGCAATTAGAAGAATTAAAAGATGTCACCTATATTACCATTATTGCTGATGAAACCTGTAACAATACAGTGATAGAACAGTTTTGTATTTGTTTGCGTTATTTTAATCCTTCTACTGGAGAATTAGTTGAACGAATAGTGTATTTATGTGAAATTTATTCTCAAACAGGAGAAGTATTTGTTGTCATTTTTGCATCTTAAGTATTATTCTGTTTTTATAGGCAATATTTGATGTGATTAATCGGTTTTATTCGAATTAGAAAATAAATTCGGTAAAAAGTTTATTCTGATAGGTCAATGCTTCGATGGAGCTTGTACTACGATGCCAAGCTCAAGGACATATCAGATCCAGAATAAATGCGTTTGCTTTCTATGTTCACTGTAGAAGTCATTTAATTAATCTTTGTGTCAAAGATACATTACCAAAGAATTTTTCTAAATCACATGATTTAATCCATAGAACACTTGTCTTTTTCAATGAATCTGCACAACGGCTGAACATATTAAAAACATCACAAGTTATTCATGGAACAATTAAAGAAGGTAAAGCAAAACTTTTCCTGTTTTAACGAGGCAAAACAAATTTAGAAAGAACCCATGTGATTCGAACCGGAAAAAAGTCGACGGTATACCACCGGTAGAACGTTCGGTATAATGTGCGCTCTACCGGCGGTATACCGACACTATCAGGGTACGAATCTACTGATTCGTAGTCTTACGAATCTAAGAATAAATGTAAATTATCATAGATCGCAAATCGGTTTAGTGAATCTATTTATTGAAAATCCTCTTATTCTTTTATTTAGATATCGAAAATTTTTTTCAGGGAAATTTAACTGTTTCCGAGAAGAATTTAAATAACTTTTACATTTCCCTCAAAAACAACTTTCGATATATAAATAAAAAAATAAGAGGATTTTCAATAAATAGATTCACTAAACCTACTTACAATCTATGAAAATTTACTTTTATGCTTAGATTTGTAAGACTTCGAATCGTAGATATGATTAGCAATTGTTACTTTGTCTTTGTTTCGTCGTTTTGTTAAGTCGATCATTTTCGGATTGATCTAAATAAAAGAAAAAAAATTTACATAAAAAAATACTTTTTTCTTTTTATTGTTAATATTGCTCTAAACCAATGAAAAAAATTATTTTATAAATGAGTACTCACTTTTCATTGTGATCTTAAAATCGATCTAAATGAAAGAAGCACATAATTTACATAAATGCTTACTTGGCCTCTTGGAGTTGATATTACTCTAAATAAAAGAAAAATATTAAAATTTTATGTAATAAATACTTACTCTTCATGGTTATGTTGAGAATTATCTACATTAAAGAAACAAAAATAGTCACCTATATAGATAAATCGATGTGTATTTTGGCAGTGTTTTGACCGCCGATATACCGCAGTACCTAAGAAAACCGCCCTTACACCGTAGTACTTAATAAAACCGCCGGTATACCGCGGTACTCAATAAAACCGTCGGTATACCGGCGGTTTCTTCAAGTACTGCGGTATACCGACGGTAGTTCAAATAAATGTACGACATGGGAGATTATAGTATACAAAAACTCACCTTCGAAAGATCCTCTGTGGCTCATATCTTACTTTTTTTTTAAAGATTCTAAAGTTCCAAGTGCAAGTGATACTCGGTGGGTGTACCATTGTCAATTAGCTGATTTTGAATGGGTCCATATGATTTCCATTGTATCAGCTTTAATTCAAATAAATGAAAATAACAAAGATGGTTCTGATACAGCAAATGATTATGCAACAGGCTTTGCTGATGAAAAATTTATTTATGAAGTTGGAATTATGAAAGTCATACTAGGACACACTAAAGCGTTTTTAAAACAAACAGAAAGTCGCTCATTAACATTCGAAAAATTTCTACATGTTAAGATTCAACCATTGTTCGTATTAAAAAAAACGTTAGATGAATTTAATTATAATATTTATAAACAAAAAATTAAAGCTTTTCGTAATGTTTTACCAGTGATACAACAAACATTTCATTCAACAAGAATTGTAGTTCTATTGGTAACAACAGTTCTAATGATAATCATTTAGATATGGAAACTAATTGAAATAATTATGGTACAAAATTTATTGACTCTACACTTCAATCTATTAATGAACGTTTTGGAAACGATTCTCGTATTATTATCGATAATATTAAAATGTTTACGAAATTAAATAATTTTAGTAATGAGGAAATATTAAAAAATCCATTATTAAATTTACATTACAATCAGATTTACTATTAACCTTTTAACTGACGACATAAAGGAAAAAAGAAATTTTACAGAAAATCATCATAGTTGTTTATTTTCGATCTAGTTTTTCGTATTTATATAAGATAACGTTAAATCCTTTGTAAGGTATGGAAATCTTTGAAACAGTCGGTGATGCACAGACCAACATCGCATTCGGTACATTGGTAGCGAGTATCACGTCGTTCCTTAGNTTTTGAGATGTGCCGGAACTCGAATCAATGAGCAGATGCAGAGAAAAGTGTAAAATACTAAGGTCACCCTAAAAAACAGCCTTTTTGGCAGGTTCCGGAGGGTGTATCACTTGTATACTATGCCATTTTTCATAGGGAAGTCAGAAAGAGCTAATATTTTGGATTTATCTATGGTTTGACTAGACCTTTCATTTGAGATACCTAAATCGAAAATCAAAATTTTGTCGGCGGTCGGCTCCTGATAAAGTTGCTAAGTGCTCTCACGGACCCTCTCTTAAAACACAGACATCAGGAAATCTTGGAATATACGATTCGATGCATCTTCATTTCCTCTTTGCAACGGTGAAATTTGCGATTTTCTATCTTGTTTCTATCAAAAGTTATTCAAAAAAAAATACGAGCGGGTATTTTTTTAAAATGAGTATTAATAGAACCGGCACATTTAATAACGAAACAGATTTTATCGAAATTTTTTTATTATGATATTAGTTAAAGTATGATTGAATAGTATAGAAAAATAGAGCGTTCTTTTCTCTATCACACTATATAGAGAGAAAGTTTCTTTAAACTTTCTATAAGGAACTAAAGAACCACTCTCACTACTTTTGGACTGCTCTAAGTGCAAGTAATATATTTTATCTTTTACTAAGGAATATAAATACCAAACATAAAGATCATTGTACAATATCAAATAAACATTAAATGTTACTCGAACTGTAGAAAAATATTAGCTGGAACTATTGAAAATTCTATCAATTATAGTATGATTTCGATCAAAATGATAAAAGCATATTTGTTAAAGAAAGTATGAGAACTTCGCACTACTTTCACTATCGTGTTCTTGAACACTATAATCTATGCTGATTAGATAGATAAATATGAAATTTGAAGCATCTTGTAACGATACAAATAAATATGAACAATTACTGTACTCTCGATGTTTAAATATCAATGCATGACTTTAAACCTATACAGAATTTATTTTCTACAAAAAGAAAGTGTTGAACAAGATCCTATCTCCCAAATGACTAGTTTAAAAAAATATTTACTTTTATTTCTGCTAACAAAATCGTATTTCAAAAAATTTCACAAGCAACTTTGAAATGTCGAAATTATCGTTTGTTATAAATTCTACGTTATTTTAAAGTAAGCCGCATTAGCAATACTATGGTGAGTAAAAAACGCGCATATATTCCTTACTGACTTAAGAAAAAGATTCAATTCTTAGAGGTACGTTTTGGTCTTAGTTTTGAGAATTCATATCAACGATAGATGTCATAAATGTATATTGAATAGTGGTCATAAATGAATCGATGGTCTCACGTTTTAACCAATAAAAAGTGAATTATTTTAAAGAAAGAATGAAAAGTAAGCAACAAAAAGAAAAAGCTCGATCGATCGGTCGAGTGCATAAAGAAAGAAGAAATAAAAAAAAGAATTTCATTTGCTTCTCTTAGGAGTCGGTAATTTTCAAATGCTTGAAACTTTGAAGGAGAACAAGAAAAAGTGAGGAAGAGAGAAAAATTTCATATAATTCTCCACATTTCATTGTCGATCTGAATGTCTGAGACGCATGAAGAAAAATAATAATAAATAAAAATACTTTTCTTTTTTTGATATTCAGCATGTCGATTTATTAAATAATAGAAATATCATTTAAAATATGTCGACAACTGCTTATCGAAGTACTCATTCGTCAAGATCATTTACACGAAAACATATTCGAACATCATCCACCAGTGCTATTCTTCCAACCATGACAAATGATCGTACACGATTTCAATCACAAACAAATAATATTCCTCCACCAGTACCACGTATACGTGAATCATTATCAACTAATTCAATAACATCATCAAAAACTTCAACGTCAATAACTTCATCTCCCTCACTTCCATATCAATCACTATCATCATCGAACTCTTCAAATGAAAATTCAACAAATAAAATCTCTAAACAACCATATACGTTTAGTAATCCACCACGTGAACTTCAACGACAATCTATACAAAATATGAAATATTTACGTAGTAATCATTTACGTCAACGTGTTTCATCAGCACCAGATGAAAATTCCTCTCAAAATTCTCCACGTTCCATTATAAATCAACAAAAACCATCATCAGCGAATGAATCATCAACACCACGTTCACATGATGATAATCATATTCAACAATTACCAATAAATCATTTATTAAAACGTGATGAACAACAAAAAAGTTCATTAAATGCTTTAATTAAAGAACAAGAACGATCGAAAGTTCCTAAAGCCGTACAAAAACGACGAATTATTTTATTGTTTCGTCGTTTACCATCCTCAACATCACCATTAATATCACCAAGACAAGTACAAAATTCTTCACCAATTAAACCAGATATAATTTCAAACGATACTCATCAACAAGATAAAAAACTGAATGATGAAATTCAACATTTTACAAATAATACAGGTGAAAAATTTCTTATTTATATTTAGAAAATTTGGAATTATTTCTATTTATTTTAAAGTATTTCCATCACCAGGTTCATCCACTAATGATCCATTTCATGGTTTCGATCAAGCTGAAATAGCCGATTCAAAACAAATAGCTGCCATACTTGCTAATATACAATCATTAGATGAATGGATTCCTAATACGGTCAATGGGGGACGTTCTCCACGACATCAACAAAAAACTTTTGATCCAACAAAATATGAATATGTTGCGAAAAATTCTTTAGATACAACAACATTTAAACTTTCACCACGTACATTGAAACCTGATGAAGATTTAGCAGCTCGTTCACGGTTTTCACTAAATTATCGTTATGAAATGCTTTCAAGTGCTAATGCACAAATACCACCATTAATGGCATCAATTGTTACTGAAAATAATAATACTATTGGAAATGGTACTGGTAGTGAAAAAACTTTTACATTTAGATTAAATCCAACAACTACTATGAAGAAACAAAGTTCACTTGATGACATTGAACCAATACCATCTACTGTGGATGGTGAACAAGTCCAATTATGTTTTGATGAAATACTTAAATGCTTCTATGATCCAAATACAGGCACATATTATGAATTGACGTCTGCGTAAATAACTTATCAATGTTCCTCTTTCATTAAATTCTTAAACAATTCGTCTTCCAAAAAATATTATATTATACAACACATATTTCATTTCTCAAATTGCATTTTTCGTTGCTTTAGTTTTTGCACAATAATACTTATTTTTTTTTCGTTTTATTCTCTTTTTTTCCTTAGTGTATGATAACGTCCACTACATGTTACATATATTTTTTTTTCTTTCTGTACTCATTCGTTTTATCTATTTATCAGAATGTATTTCTAAAGACAAGAATGAAAACAACACAAAAAAATACTAAATAATGATTTATTTATTTCGTTTTACTTTTTTTGTTTCTTTCTTGTCTATCCAATACGATAAGAGAAAACAAAGCATAAATTCTAATCTCCCTTTCGGTTACTGCTCACTCGCTTGTTGTCGATGCTTATCGATCGTAAATCCCTTCTGTTTGTTTTGGCGATTGAACGACAACTCAATAGACACACACACATACATATATATATATATATATGTATATACATATTGAAAACGAGATAGATAGACTGATCTGTTACTAAATCGAATTTCTTTTTCTTTCGTAGTTTTAACTAAGAGCATTGATCGATTTGACATTTAAGATGATGCAAAAAATGAAAACGAATATGTTCATATTTGTTTAGTCCGAGAAATTATAAAAAAAAAGATAAACTGATGAAAAGAAAGTTTCTTTCTTTCTTTCGCGTACTTTGTCTCCGTCTTTAATTTGTATTATTTTTTTTCTTGTTGAGGTTCGTTATATTGACGTTATAAGTGCATCCTTTGTTTCCCCTTTGTCGCTCTCTTGAGAAGACAGAAAAATTCACGCACGACAAGAGAAAGTAGACATCATCAAGAGTTGTTGCGTGTGCAAGCGCAAACGAAAGAGAGTAAGTGCTGATGTGTTAACATGATTACACTTGTCTCTGTGCCGGGCAGCATCGACATTGAACGTTGCTGCCAACAACGATGTCGTACAAAAAGAAGAGAGAGAAGAAGACTGTTTAAGTTATATGCAGCCCGTTACGAAGAAGAATGGTCCAATTTCAAAGCAAAAGCAGCTGTTTGAAGCTCGCTTTTCAGATGCTTATCATTCGATTCTCGATGTAGTACGATGATGATTTAAGAATGGAAGAAAAAAAGAGGGACAGAGAAAAAGAGAATAGTCTTAGAACGAAGTGAACATCATCATTCTTTTTTCTTTGCTAGCTGTTTGTATCTGAATAAACAATCTTTAGAATTATTCATAAAAGATAACTTTTACATTTCTATCTTCTCAATTCTCAATAGCCACTAGCAACTTTTCCTTTCCTGTTTATCGTCAACCAATACGAGGGGGTGTCGTTAATCTGAAGAAGTACTGAACAGTTTCTTTCATTTCTAATTGTAACCATCTACGTTCCACCTTCTCTTTTTTCTTTATAAGTATATGCACATTTGGTGATCGCGTCTTATTGATATTTGTTGGCACTCGATGATGTCAAGGCTAAAGAATCTATCAATGCAAAATCACACTTGATTCATTCATTTCTCACTTGCATAAAACATTTGTCTTACCAAATGTTGATAGTATTTCTTTTTTCTCTTATATATAATGTAACATTCATGTTTACTTTTTATTTTAAGAATAAAATAAAATAAAATCTTCATATAATCATCGACATTTTAGATGTTAACTGCTGACATTAATAGCAATTCTAACAACGACATCTCATCATGTAAGTTAATCATTTCTTATCTTAGAAGACCGTTCTTAACCCCTTGGTTGAACATGGCAGGTCAAGGTTCTTAGTTTTTTTTTCGTAGATTCCATTTATCTATATTGAAAACACTATGTCATCAACAATAAATTCAACAAAAACTCGCTTTTCACCAACAAGAATGTTTCAAAAAAGAACTGGCAGTGAATCGCCACCTTCTCATTTAGCATTAACATCACCACCACCAATAAAACATTGGTATCAAACATGTCATGAAACAATATTATCATCTAATGGTAATAATCAATCAATTCAATTCAATTTATCAGGTGGTGCTGATAATGGTCAATTTATTTATTTTAATGAATCAATATCATTATTAAAAAGTAATCAAACATCATTTATTATAGTCAAAGGTGGTAAAATTGACTTAGATGAAATTATACTTGAAATCGATCAACATAAAGTTGCTGGTTGTACATTAGCTGATGTTAAATTACTTATTGAAACACTTTCTATTAATGGAAAACAAATTAAATTGAAAACTGTCAAATCGGGTATAATGTTTTTTTTAATCTTCCTATTGATAGATTTACAAGACGCTGCAAGGCACAAAATAGATCATTTCATTAAGTTGCTATGCACTCTCAAACTGCATTAGTCGTCTGAAAGAATAAATTGTTCTTTTTATCTTATTATTAATAGGAAAAAGGAATTATGACATTGCTCTATATGCGTGCGTCGTTGTTCATGCTGATCACTCATTTTGTCTATCAAAGAATGAGTGTGTCCTGTCATGTCTGTTTATCGAAAATATTTGTTACATACCGGCGTCTCCGTTCATTTTTCTTGTTGAAGAGGAGAAAAGAAAAGAAAGAAATAAAGGGCAGAGGTCATAACGAATACTGCATATACATAGATCGATATCCTTTTCCTTCACGGGTAAATGATTCGATAACAAGGTCAACCTGCAGTTTTTTTTCTTGTATTTATTCACTTCAGTAAAAGATCACATTGATATAATCCCATTTCAATCTGTTTTACATATATATACATCTCATGAGATAAAAGATAATAAAAATTCATGACAATAAATATGCTCAAACATCAGATAGATGAAGGTATTCTGGTTTCTTTTTTTTGTTCTTGTACATAGATGTATGTATTTATTATGAAAACAACAGTTGTTCGGGAGATATACTGATGAATGAACAACATAGATAATATTGACGTTCGTATGGAATTGATACTATTGAGAGAAGGAATCTATTTGTGTCTACTATATCCTTTCATTATTTTTTTCTTAGATTAACCGATCGACTGTGAGTGGAATTGAGAATGATACATAAGAGAAAGTCATAGAGAATGGTACTTAAGTGTTATGTAATCGTATATTATATAGAAATATAAGAAAGTAATAACAGTTTTGATTTCCTCTTATTTTCACAAGATAACTATAGGTTTATGAAGAATGCTCAGAAATAGACGAAAAAAAAACACTCAGATATATAACACACATACTTTCTTGTGATAATTTTTTCTGTTGTTGTTAGAAAAGAATCAAACTTTTTATATGCCTTCATTAGACTAAGCAATAAACTGAATGCCTATCACAGTTTGTGTCCACCGATGACGTCTGTTTATGTTCCATCTTTTCATGCTGTTCTCAGCTTAGTCGTAGTCGTCATGTTAGTTAGATTGAACTGTGTGATTCTACATCTTCCCTTGTTTTATTATCAGTAAAAGACCAATAATAGAACGCTGCCGTCGACCGTGTAAACAAGCCGTTGACAGAACAATCGGTACTGATGTTCACTACGTACCATCGTATAAGGCATCTCATTATTTTGTCTTTGCCTCTCTGAGTCCTCCTTTTTTTTCCATTCGCTTTTTGTCGATATCATCGTCACACGATTGCATTTTGTTACGTCATTTACGCTACTACTGTTCTCGCACGACATATACATACATCCTTACATATACATATATTGAGTTGAGCTGTGAGAGCTGATATTACACAGCTTCATCAGTAATAAATATCTATATCTATACCTATCTATCTATATATATACATTTCTTAACCAATGATTCGGATAAGACAATGTTAACAAATGCGAATATCATGGTTCATTCGTCTTATGATAATTTATCTTTAATATCTTCGACGTTAGGATCTGCAACAACGAATAGTAATCCTATATTTGAAGAATTACAAGGTCGAGGTCAAGTTTCTTGTTTATTTGTTGTTACATATATATATATATATAATTTTTTTTTACATAATTCTTTAATCATTATCTATTTAACACATTGTATTAATTGTTTCTTTCTAATTATCGAAACAGGTTTAACCAAAGATCTTCGCCAATTTCTTGATGCACGTTTTCAAAAGGGTTCAATTGATCATGACCTTCAACAAACAATACGCGACAATCTATATATGCGAACAGTTCCTTGTAAATATCTAAATTAGCCAGAATAACAATGACAAGTATATTTTTTTGTATGTAATCTTTATTTAGGTACAACTCGCCCACCACGACCAGGTGAAATAAATGGACAAGATTATACATTCTTAAGTACAAAAGATTTTCGTGCGTTAGAAAAAAGCGGTAATCTGCTTGAAAGTGGTGTCTATAAAGGCAAGTATTGAAGCTTTTCTTTTTTATGTTCTGTTATTTGTCAACTGGAAGAGATTCGTTACTTTTTCTAACCATTCTTATATTGTTTTGCAAATAGGGCATTATTACGGAACTCCACGACCACCAAAAGAACCCCTTTTAACCAACGGACAACATCCATATCTTTCTTCAACTTCAAATAATAATCTTTTACGACGTAGTAATTCAGCTAATGAAATGTTTCAACAACAGCGTACGATTGACAATGGAATAGACAATAATGGTAAAAAGAAAAAAAAATTAAATATTGTTTTCGATTTTCATATTTTGTTATCAAAGGTATGCATTATCAATATCCAAATAATGATCCGGAATTTTTCGTTGGTCATAGTCCTAATGACCAAATGTTTCATCAATCTAATGGTGAAAATCAAGCATTAACAAGTAAGGATTTATTTTTTCAAGATACAAATAAAAAACCGAAGACTTTCAAAATAAAAATAATAAACAATATCAAATACTTCTATATTCTTTAAAGGAATAGAAATTTTTTCTTGAAAACAAAACAAAAATAAAAATAAAATGTTTTTTTTTCTTTTCATTGGTAGCACGATCGATGATGAATGAGAATTCGACTTCATCAGCACCACATTTATCAGGTGAATTAATATCATGTTCATTACAAAAAAGCCAAAATGGTTTTGGTTTTACGATAATTGGTGGTAATGAAAAAGGTGAACATTTTCTTCAAATAAAGGATATTTTACCTGATGGACCAGCAGCACGAGATGGCAAACTTCGTCGAGGTAAATTTCATTTATTTCGTTTTTTTATTATTTAAGAATAAATCTTTCAAATATTTTTCTCTTAGGTGATATTCTTGTTTATGTTAATGATACCAATGTTTTGGGTTTTAGTCATACAGATGTTGTTCGCATATTTCAATCGCTATCAATTAATGATATTATTCGTTTAACTGTTTGTCGTGGTTATCCACTTGTTGTGAATTTTGATGATCCACAAATTGATGTTGTTTCATTAAATGGTGTTCATAATTCTGTATCCATTAATAATTTACCTAATGGTGGATACACAGAATATCAACCGGATTCTCATCATCATAATACTCCTCGCATTCATACAATTAAAATTCGGAAAGGTGATAGTGGTTTTGGTTTTACTGTTGCTGATAGTCCATTAGGACAACGAGTTAAAGCTATTGTTGATAAACAACGTTGCCAAGATCTATGTGAAAATGATTTATTATTATCGATTAATGGACAAGATTTAATTGGTAAACAACATGCTGATGTTGTTGATATACTGGTGAAATGTTCAAAAGATGTCGAAACAATTTTTGTTATACGACGAGGTAGCAATCATCATACCTTTCTTTTGTTTTGACCATGAAGTTCGTTTTTCCTGTCTTTTTTTTCTATTCGAACATATCCTTGATTGTCAATGAGGAAAAAACTATAAGAGAACTGTACCCACTAATATTAAAGAGAATGAAAGAAAAGGGTATTTATATTTGTAATAGAACATACGATTAATACCATCACTATAATATTACCTCTTCTGTATTGAAGTTTATATGCGAAAAAGTTTTGCTTGTTGACAGAGAAGCACGAGCAAAGAAAAAAAAACGACGATTTCTCTTTCTTCGTAGTATTCTTTTTCAATAGCATGCAGTATAAACGAAACAACAGAGAAAGTTATATATTCATTTGATATTTCGAACACATTCGGAAGAGCTTTTTCATTATTATTTTATAGTATACCACGATCGAGTCACAGGTAAATTTTATATATGTAGATACAAACATCTGCTCATAGGTGACAATTTGTTAATGCATTCATTTCCAACCTGACCTTTTGTCTTTCTTTCACATATGATAAAAAAATCAATGAGAACATTGTCTGTGCCCGTATTCATCTAACGTATATATGTATATATAGCTATACAGAATTTTTTTTCATTGACACATGCATATTGTACTTGAACGGAGAATGGACGAATGAACGGAGAAAAAAAAGGAAAATGAGAGTTCATTTGATATGATCATTTTTTGATTAGGTGTTGAGCGCTTTGAACAATAATTGTAAAAGTGAGAGAAAACGAGCAAGAGAAGGATCGAATGATTATTATTGTTTTGAGTCGTCTGTCTGATTTATGACGGCTGTTCGGAATGTTGTTGGCATGTCTCTTCCCTAAGGAATAGAAGAACATTCATCTATTCTGAACACATTATTATTACAAGAATAAAACAGACAGACTGATAGACAGCTTTGTATATATCAAAAGAGTTAGAATAATAACAATATGCTGAGATTTCGTGTTAAAAGAGCACCAAATAAAGGTATTGTTTTGCTTTGTTTTATTTTCATTCTTTTACATTTCATTAAAAATCTCAAAACTAATCAATATTCTTTTCTTTTTTATCCAGGTGATCCGGACGTCAATAATAATAATAATAATAATAACAATAACAACAATAATAATAATGCATTTGTATTAAATGGTACCAATCGTTTTGATAAACATAATCAGGTGTGTATTAAAAAATTGTATCTGAGAGAATGTTCATGAGAAAGAACAACAATTTTATCTATAGCTATATAATCGGCCGTCAAGTAGCGGCAAGCATGTTTCATTTTTGACAAGCAACACTGTGAATAAGGTGATTGAATATCATTTCAAATGACCTCGTATTTTTTTCCAATTGCATGTCTATTTTATTCCCCATCATTTATCTTTTCGCTCTCAATTTTCAAATGACAATTAATATATATAGATATATGTATGTGTAAATGTTCATATGCATGTCATATTGTTAACATTAACTTGATTGAAAAGGTCAATTAAAATACAATTCTAGAAAAAAAAAAACCAGAGAATAAATTATTGAATAACGATATTTAATATTTTATTCTCTTGTTTTCTTGAGTATGTATATCATAAAAATTGAAGTGTATTTTTATTACATCCTTTACTATGTATTTCAATATCAATTATTCCTTGAATTAAAGAATCCAATTTCATGTTCTAGGAAAATGATCAAATTGATACTCGATATCCATCATCAAAACTAAATGGTACTGAAAAAAACTCTTTTTTTCTCTTGATTAATTTTCATTTTAATCATATTTCTAGACAAACCTCGTAGTAAAACTCCAACACCATTTGGTTCAGCACCATTAGCTGATACATTACCATTACGTTCTCGAACGCCACTACCAACATCAACAACAATAACAACAAATAATCATCAACCAACACATTCAACAACAACTGATAATAATAATCCATACGATAATAATTTAAGTTTTCTTCTACCAAATAGTGTTGATACATCAACACCAATTATTGAAACAGAATTATCTCCAAATTCAATGAATACATTTAATCGTCAAACAGCTTGGTCACGTAGTGCACGTGACATACGAACAACAACAGCAACGTCAACAACAAATGGACATACTTCTATATTACGAAGTAAAACTCCTGGACCAGAATTTGGTACAACAATATCATCATCATATCGTGCAAATACATTAATGGGAATGAAACAACGAAGTAAAACACCAACAGCTAATGATTTTTCATCAAATAATTTACATAATAGGTTATTATAATAAAAAATTGAAGTTTTATTTGTATGTTTTGTTTCGTCTTTTAGTCGATCATTACAATCTGTTCATCCACAATATTTTGAATTAGTTGTTAATTTAACAATTTCACGTCCAAAGTAAAAATTTCTTGATCTACTTCGAATACATTAAATTCTTTTCTGTTTTCCTTGTTCTTGTTACAGTGATGGTTTTGGCTTAAGAATTGTTGGTGGTGAAGAAGAAAAGTCTCAAGTATCTGTTGGTCGTATTGTTCCTAATTCACCAGCATATATTGATGGTCGTCTTCGTAAAGGTGATGAAATTATTAAAATCGATGGTCATTCAACTATACGTGCATCACACGAAAGAGTTGTTCAATTAATGCAGCAAGCAAAAGAAAATCAACGTGTCAGTTTAATTGTTCGTCGTTATTTATATCCAAATAATAATCAGTTATCAAGTAAACAAAATAAATTTACATTGTTGATTTTTTATCTTGTTATGTTTTTTTTTTTAGATCAATATAATCAAACGGATATTGATCCATATTTGCCGAATGATTTTCGTACGAACTCATCAATTGATAATGGAATACGTTATGTGACATTACAAAAAATGAATGATAATCAAAGTTTTGGTTTTGTTATTATATCATCACAAAACAAGGCCGGTGCTACAGTTGGTTAGTATACAAATCAGATAATATCTTAATCTTTCTTTTTCATTGATTTTATTTATTCAAACAGATGACAATCGACATGAACAGATTGAAAATAGTGCTATTCATAAAGTTTGGATAGGTTAGATATGCATGTATGCATGTAGATTGAATTATATATAGAAACATGGAAAACTTCTTCTATTTCCTTCTTTTTGATTTATAGAAAAAGTTTTTAGAAAGGGGTCTGTCTTTGCATTAAATTGTTTTATGATACTAATAGATATATATATATATATAAGCATTGGAAGATTGAAAATAATGTGAAATCTATGAAGTATACTGTCTGTATCATAGATATCATATCAAAGATAATGCATCGGTACATGATATTTAATGAGGAATAGCAGTTGGTATCAATGCTTATGAGGATGAATTATAAGTTTCTGTTGCATATTGGTTTCTCTGCATGATTTTATGCTTGAAATTAAATAAGATTGAATTTTACTTTTAGTTTAGGATCACTCAAAGAGATATGTTATCATCTCTATTTTAGTTCACCTTATCTTTCTCATCGGCATTCTTAACATAGCATTCTGAATAACCGATCATACTGATTAGATCTTAATAGTCAAATATCTTTAATGAATATCGCTATTATTTACTATAACATTTGCCACTTAAATGAAAACCTAGAGAAAATCATACATCATTTTGTTTTTTATTAGTTATTTGGATTGATCACTTTTGATTTGAAACAAAAAAGTATTAAAAAAAATAAACATAATGAATACTTTTGATAGCATTCAAAGATTTCTATTTTTTAATGAAATATCTCATTCTCAACATCATTATATTCAAAAATAATCTTCAATTTTAGGCAAAATAATTCCAAATAGTCCGGCTGATCAATGTGGTCAACTTCATATTAATGATCGTATCTTAGCTGTAAACGGGGTTGATTTAACTCATATGTTACATACAGATGTTGTTAATCTAATAAAAGATTCTGGTCGAACAATCACACTCAAAATTGGTCCACCTATTCATTATGGTATATAAACAATAGATTATAAAATAATATTTTCTAAGTTATAGATTTTTTTTAAATAAAAGATGATCGATCTCAGGAAATTTCAAATCCATTTTCAACAATGTCTAATAATAATCTACCCAACGGTATTCGACCATCATCTTCATCACCAATGGTTATTGCTAATGGTACTACTCATCATTCATTATCAAATAATGCATATCATTCAACGAATAATGGAAATCATTCAATAAGAAATGCATTTTCACATAATCCCTTGAATATTCTTGAAAGGTATTTTGATTTAATAAGGAAATTTAAAGACGAAAAAAAACACATTTTTTTAAAAATTTTTCAAGAAATCAAAATCGTCCACCGTCAAGAGGGAATGGCGTTTTAAAATCTGTAAGTAATTATTCAATATATTTTAAACTTGATCATTTCCATTATTATTGTTTTTAGTCATCATTATCAGATGATTATTTTACTGCTGATCTTCAACGTCCATATCCGACTTCAAGTTTTGGATTTAGTATTCGTGGTGGACGAGAATTTTCTATTCCATTATTTATATTAAAATTAGCTGATAATGGACCGGCTGCACGAGATGGTCGAATGAAAGTAAATAAATAAAGAAATATTCTTTTGTAAAATGATTCTAATTTCTATTTCTCTCTCTATATATATATATCTATAGTCCGGCGATCAAATTATTGAAATTAATGGTCGTTCAACATATGGTATGACTCATAATGAAGCAATATCTTTAATTCGTGATGGTGGACTTTATGTTAGATTACTATTAAGAAAAACCAATGCACCCCCACCGAGTCTTGACGGTAAAATTTTTTTTGCTATTATTTGAATAATAATGTTTTTATTTTAGAAGTAAAAACAGCAATGGCACCAATGGGACATGGTGTAGATTATTATAATCCAGGTTTAAGTAGCCATTGGCAACCAAGTGGTTATGCATAAAAGGAAAAAAAAGCTAAAAAAAAAGATGTTTGCTTTGTACTTTGTCTCTCTCTCTCTCTCTATTTTTTATGTGAACTCTATATTTTTTCGTTTCGTGTTTAACATCATCATATATGTTCATTGTATATGCAATCAAATGTATTGGATCTAATTTTTGTTCGAATCTGAATTTGTGTAATGAATTTTTTTTCTCATTTTTTTTTGTTTTTCTTTTGCTGGAAGTTTTTTTTGTATATATCAATAACAATGATAAAAAACGAATATAAACAAAAGAAGAAGAAGAAAACTAACAAAATAAGATCATTTTCTGTCAGATGTTCAATTCAATCTTGCACAGTGTGTGTGTGTGCGTGTACGTATTTTCTGTCTTGATTATATTAATTTGTTTATGCCATTCATTGACATTCCTTTATTTGTTTATTACAGTCTGTGCAATCTTATCCACTATTTGTTTGATGTGCTTTTCTTAGATGTTTATGTAATGTTTATTTCTTTTCTTTATTGTTTTTGGAAATGAATATCAGAATTTCAGACAAATAAAACAAATTGTGCTTTATGATTGATTCGATGACAGTTTATATCTGGCCTACACAAACATATTCTTTATAATCAAGTGTTTTAGTTTCTTAGTCTAAAAAATATTCTATTGACTTTTTAGAGATATGAATGTGAGATAAAAGAAACCTTGATTGTGACCAATGTGAAATGTTTCCAAAAAGTCTGTATAAAAAAGTTATGTGAACATCTTTATATATGTCAAGGAATTTTATTGCTTTATTAATAATATGATAGTATATTCTTTTAAATTTAATATCCTATGATGTGATTTAAAACAAATGTTCAAAATCTTTGAAAAATATTGATGAAAATTTATTTTCGAACTAATGTAATTCATGATATCGATTCCTATTTTAAATTCAAACAAATGTGTAAATATGTCTAATACACATAGATTTTCACTTAATATTTACCGATAAAATATTTAAATGAAAATAGAATTACTCTGAGAAAAAATCGATTTCTTCTGATTCTTGATATTTTCTAACATTGATAGCAAAGTTTCAGAACTTCATCTTGATTTATTGAACCTTCTTCATGAAGTTGTTGGGAAAATCACACGTTGTCTAACTTCATCGGTAAATATTAAGTTATAATTTGACTTCCTTCTCTTTTTAGGAACAAGGAAGATTATTGCAATACTCCAGACTCTCCATATGGGCACATCGTCACAAGCAGCAAGAACTTCGTTGATTTTTCTTCCTCTAATTTTTGAAGTTCTTTCCAATTTTTGTCCATTTACTGATATATCGACTTTGCAAAGCTGGTACAACCCACGCCTGGTGTTTCTAGAGCAAATTCGACTTGCGTTTTCTTTTCACAATGATAGATAACTAAAATTTAAGCATGAACAAAACTATTGTCTATTTTCAAAAAGAAAAGTATCGTCCACTGTTTTTTGAATAACTCAAGAATGCAAACAACTAGGGATTTGAGATTTTCACCAATTGAAAGAGAAGACAGAGGAGCGTCTTTTTCTCCAATATTATTTAAGACAAAATCATTTTAAAGTCAGTCATTTCTCCAAAACATAACCAAAAACGCATGAAAATGATCCGTCATTCCGATGCAATTTTAGTTTTGACATTTGATATAGATAGAGAAGCTTCAAGTTTATTATTCGAGTGATTATCTTTCCATGTCCTAGTGTTGAACAAATAAAATCGTCTGTTCAATTGCATGAAAACTATGCATTTCTTTTAACCGTACGATACGAACAAGTAAAGGAAAATGTTGAGTAATCTGTTACTAAAAGCTGGAAAATGTCATCATCATCATTGTCAAGTAGTGATTCAAACTTCATTGATTGTTCAATTTTATCTGGTGATTTCTTTGACAATAAATTTTTCCGTTGAGATGTCAGTGATGTCATGAACTTCGTACTTGCTGGCACTGAATGCAGATAGTTGGAATTAGAAACCAGAGACCATCACAGGGTACTTTTTTCACGCCCTGTCCTGCTCTGAGGGCACGATATGACTACTAAATTGAGTTTCATTATTTCACGATCTAAAAAGTTGATAAAAATTACGTGGTTGCTTTGAAATTTAGTATTAAAATTTTATCCATGTAGGTTCGGAAAAATGTTACAATCAAGCTCAGTATACGATTAAAAAATCGCGTATTAAAAAGCAACACCCGTATTAAAACTGAAAGATAAATCTAATTTTAATGAAATTTTTCATGTGTGAAACTTGATTAAAGAGATCCTATTCAAATAAGATTATTCAATTTTTAACCGTCTTTAATCACGATACGAGTAAAACGTATGTTTCTGAATTATCAATTTGAAAACTCCATTTCTTTAAATGGATTTCTCATCTCTCTGCAACGGTAAGTGTAACACTAGATCAACCTTTGACATATGTCATACCTCGAAGTGCGATACTGATTGATACTAATTTATGAAAATCAATATACCGATAAGTTAAACTCCACTACTCTTCTTTCCCACAAAGGGGTGTTACTTTATTTGTATTTTTATTTATAATAACGGATAAATATAAATAAAATCTTTATCTTTATAAAATAGAAATAAAGAAGTTCTTGATATTTAAAACATTATGGTGTGGGTGTGACTGTAGCTGTGGGTTTGGATCTTCTCTTCGCCCACACCCACACCCGCATGTATTTTATAATTGCTGTTCAATATGACGTCATTACACACAATTCTATGTTTTCCGTATTCATTTTATTAATTTAAACAAAATATAAGAAAAAGTTACAACAAAGGAAAATAAATATGAAAATCTTCTGAATCTATATTTCTATGAGGACGTATATTCAATTGTTTCACTTTCATACAATTTAATCTTGTTCTTTCGTTTGTAAATTCTTTTGTAACAGTTATTAATTTATCGTAATTAACTGCTAATTTGGTAAGACAAGGTAGACGTGTTTTTTTATCATTAAGAAATTGGTCGACATAATCATAATGAGCAAATAGCAGATTAAGCGAAGTAAGATAAGGAAATTCAATAATTGTTGAATATAATTGATTATCATTTGAACTTAAATTACTTGATATCGATGTTTGTCGCTTGAGATTAATAATATGTAATAATTTAAGTAAAGGAAAAGACAAGGAAATTCGCATGAAAAATTCATGTTCGAATGAAATTCCATCATCTACTTCCAATCTTATAACATGATTGAAAATAATATTTGAAAATTTATTATCAATAAAAGGAAGATAATCAAACATGAATGGTAATGAAAATGCATGATATTTGATATCAGTATCTCGATACCTGATCATACAGTCCACCTGTTGATATATATTATTAGAAAAAGCTTTTAGAATATCATCTATGGATAAATGATCAATTGGTTGATACAATCGCATACATGTACAAAAACAAAAGTTAAATATATGAAGTCGTGACATATGAACAATAATTTCATCATAAATATGTTTACCATTAATAAATGTAGTTTGATTTGCAATAATAAGACGTAAATTTAATTGTTCAATATTTGGCATATGGCGTAAAAGAGGTAAAATATGATTATAATATGTATCACTAAAACAATCATATTGTAAATAAAAACATTTCAAATCAGGTAAATTATTCTAGAAAATATAAAACAATATATTATTATTCATTAAGAGAAGAAAAAAATCACACGGAATAATTCATTGAAAAGTAGTCCTATTAGTATTTCATTCATTTTTAATATATTTATTCAAATCTATCGTATATACCTCTTTTACAAATGATGACTAAAGAGTTATATTCTAGTTCTAAATATCCAACTGATAATAAATAATAAATAACGGGATAAATCGAAAATTTTAAGTTAAAATATTATTCATATAACAAAAATGGAATATTATTCGATAATCATGACTATCAACATAAGATAAATTATTAAAATCTTCATCGAATAATTTAACAATTTACAGCAAATAGAATTTACCTCCATAGAGTTTTTCTACATTTAATAATCTTTATTTCTTCTCATTTCTTACCCATGTTTTCTATTTTGTTTAATGTATTCCATCCTTTTTCATTTTTTTATACTCATCCTACTTGTGTTTTCATCGATTATAAAATAACAAAAATGGAAAATATTCAGGAACTAATTCAATAATTGACAAATGTTCAAGATTTTTGAAAAATCTCAATATATTTTTATATACATCTATTGTATAATGTTTCCATGATATTTCATTAAAATTATTTTCAAATACAAGAATAAGGTCTGTAATTTGTTATTGAAAAATATGTCGAAATGGTGATTTAACTAAATATATATATATACATAACGGGTTGCCCAGAGGAAATGGCGCGAATTGATTTCTTCTCTCAAAATCTATAATAGTTAAGCATGCAGTTCTAATAATATGATGATAAATAGCACTTGAAGAGTACATTCTATCTATATAAGAATAACTTTGATTGAAGTATCTATCTTAGAAAAAAAATAATGAAATCCAAAGAGCATGAAAATGCCGCGTTGCTCAAGATTTGTGATCACTAGTCATAGCTGGAAATAAAGGAGGATTTAATCAACAATTTTCGAATGAATACCATTAATTATTTCTGCCAGTCCTCGACTTGACGTATGTATATATTTGATCCTTATGTCAAAAAACACATCGTCAATTGAAAAATTTCTCATTCTAAAGAGAAACTCGTTAGGTGTCGCCTGCCCATAACACTTGGTGCATCCAACATACAATATAACTGATGTGTTTTTCTGATTGTCACTGAATTTCGGCAGGACCATTATTTACTATAGATTTTCTTTAACCGCTTATCTTAAAAATCACCATGATTTTGTTCAGGTAATGCCATGCTCGAAATAAACTTGCTGTCAATTTTTCCAAAAGCGATCTTTTGACCTTCTATGCAACATTTTTGCATCAGTTTTTTTCGTAGTTAAATATAATTTTTTCATTCAGATTTTGTCATTTTCAATATCTAGTGTACGTTAATGTTGAGCTATACCGAAGTCAACCTTTATATATATATAAACGATCTTAAGTCGTTAATTGTGACAAGCGATGACAAGTCTATTATATAGATAGGATGTACTCTTCAAGTGCTATCTATAATCATATTATTAAAACTGTATGCTCAACTATTATAGATTTGAGAGAAACAAACAAGTCGTATCATTTCTTCTGGGGAACTCGTTATAGTAGTTAGTCTATCTATAAAAAACTATTATGTAAATCCTAATTCACGTTAATATAGAAGTTATTTACCTGTAAAATAACGTAAAACAATTTTATCGTTAAAATTAAAGATTTTAAGTTTATTTAAATTAGGATAATCAGCAGCAAAAAGAATACGTTCCATAGATAATGAATTAAGAACCAGAGATTTAACATTATAATGAATTTTTGGCAATATATTTTTGTAAAATCGATCAATTATTGAATCAGAAATTGATAACACATCATCAGTTAATGTTATTAATACAAAATTAAGATTATTAGTAAAAGTATTTTCTTGTATTATTTTATCAAGTTGTTCATTATTAAGATCAAACAATGAGTAAAGTACATCCATATTATCAAGTTTTTTTAAAATAATAAGTAATATTTCATTAGGTAAATCAAAAAGATTAACCTTGTACTGATTCATATTGATTGTAACTCAATATGTTTTTCTTTTATGATATATATATATATACACCCCTGAGCANCACAGGATGAACACACGAAAATGCTATATAGCCAACAAATAACCTAAGCCTATGACAAATGGCCATTGTTAATCATGAAGAAAGCAATTATAAAAACTTTTGATTATAGAAAGTTGAAAAGTACCTTCAATTTTATCGAATTGAGTTCAAAAACAAAACAAATAAGCTTATTTTAGAACATGTTAGGGAGAGTACAAATTCTATGAGTATCATATATATTTCTCAAAGATTATAACCAGTATATGAACCCTCAATAGATCAAAATTTGAGGAAAACTTGATTCCTCATATATTATTCGATACAATGCAAATTTCTCTAGAAGACAACCTATATGATATGTTGATTTAAGATAAATAACCAAATCCGGTGAGGTCATTTCAAAAACAAAAAAGAAAAGAAAAAATACTGACTAGGAATTTCTGATCTTGTTGGTGGTAATGTTTCTAATTTAACAACACGAAGATTATCATCAATATCATCAAGTATTATTTTAATAATAATTGAATTATTATCATTAAAATCATCTGTTATTGATGTTAATATATCATTTGTTAAAACTAAATCTGTATCAAATAAAATTAAATTTGCTGTACATGGTGCTATTTGATTTGTAACTTCAATCAAATGAAAACAACCATCAGGCAAAAATAACTATTCGAAACAAAAAAAAATAAATCAGTTCAACAAAAACAAAGAAAATGTTTTTTTTTAATACTCGAAAAACACTTGCTAAAGCACGAATTAAATCTTTATTGTCAATTCTATTTGTATATTTAATAATTAAACGATTTCCAATAACCCAATTATGTAGAATGTATTGTAAATATTTAGTATTATTTAATTTTTTAATAAACAATTCAAATATTTGAAATGCTTCATGACTATTTGATGAAAATTGATACTGTAATGAATCAAAATCATCATCATCATGAAAAGCATTTATATTTGGCTGATAACCATCAGCAATTGAATAAAGTGATGTCGCTAAATAACTTTGATTATCAGAATTATTGGTTAATGTTGATGACATTATTAATGAATTTTGATTTCCATTTACTACAGATTTTGAAACAATTGTTGTTCGTCGACGTTTTGCCATTGTATTTGTTGAATCTTCATCCTCAAATACATCTAATAAGAAGAATATTGATGAAAATGAATGAATGTTTTCTTTTCTTTACCTTTTCGTTCTTGTTTTGTTGTTTGTTCTTCTGTTGGTAGAGCATCAAAAAGTGTTTCTTTTATTGCTGAATTAGCTATACGAAGTAACCAAACAAATAATGCATGTATACGAAATGTTAATTTTGAATCATGTACAATATCACTAAGCATTCGTTGTGATGGTACAGTTGGTGGTGGACGAAAGATATACGTAGCTATTGTTGATATTCCATTTAAATTTGTATTTACTTTAATACGTCCTTCTTGTTCATAAGTTTCATTAGCATCATATTGTAACCAATGAACAGCTTGTCTCAAACAGTCACTAACAAGTTTCATTAATGAAAGAAGATGATATTTATCGTTACATAAATAGCATAAAGAATAAAGACGTTGACTACCACGAGCATGAAAATCTTTACATGAAAATGCTAATGATAGACAATAACCATTTTCATCATCACCAAATAATATAGGAGCATCAACTTCAACTGATTTCTATAACAAAACAATATTTTAGATAGAATTTGTAACAGATTCTTGCATTTCATAAGAGAAAAATTATCCAAATTAAAATGAAAAATTTTTTAATTTTAATAAAAATAAAATTTGAAAAAAAGCAAAGCCAGAGGTATCAAATCTAAGTAAAATCTTAAGCACAATTTGGTTGTATGACTTGTATTAGATAAGATATTTCTTTGAAACGGCTTGTTAGTGCAACCTCTTTGAACCAAAAATACAGAACTTATATGTGCTCTTTAGTTTCATTATACTAATACAAAATAGAGTAAGTGAAAAATCTCTAACAAACTATAGTTATTCTCCAAGGATAATAGACTGTCACAGAAACAATTTTTCTTATTTAATATTATAGTTATTGTAACCATTGATTTTATCGACCAATAAGCCTGTTGTACATATCCATTATGTTTTCAGCAGGTCTTAAAACAGTATTATATATGTCGATATGCCTAGAAACAGTGATATTGACCGTCACCTATCCTTATTGGTATCTATTATATAATTTTTTTATCTATACAAAAATTAGTCTGAATTTTGTTGGCAATACTGTTCGACACTTGTTTCTGTAGCTAGGAAACTCTGGCAAAGAAGTCTATTGTTGATTGCCCTTGATTACTATGAACATGTACTCAATGCGACTATTGATCCCAGTTTCTGAGAAGATGTGAAGTGGGGAGAGCGACAAAACTTGAGCTTAAAACTTACACTTACTATTTTTCTTTGAGGAAAACATATGTGAGCTTCACAAAAACGACTATTGTTTATAATGAAGAATTTTCTTTATCGACGATTTTCATATAGTCAAACAAGAGAATTATCTTATTGTAATCAACCAACAGTGAAAAACAGTTAACTGATTGAACCTCTGTCTATTTCTTTTTCAAAACAGNTTGTTATTGGCAGCATTAATTTTGTTCAAAAAAAAATACATGTATTACTTGTTATCAGTTTTTTCTTATTTGAATCGATTGATGTGATATGATGTAAGATTGAATCCTGCAAAGCCATATAAGGAAACTATCAGCTGTTAATTATCATTTTTGGTATTTTCTATATCTCCCGAACGCCAGCGAAATTCGAAAAACGGATTCCAGATGTGCGCTCGTTACGATCTTAGGATCTTGTCAAGCTTTTTTACGACTAAAAACGATGCTTGGAAACTGAGAACGAGTGACTGACTTGAAACGTGACTCATGCGTCCTCCGGAAGGAGAAGAAGAAGTTGCTAGGCAACCAAGTGAGTGAAAAGCATTAAATAAGTCGACTGACTGCACAAAGTGCAGTCAGCCGACCTAAAAAATTCAAATGGCTGTATTTTCTTTTCCAAAAACAAAAGAAATTGGTTTAAAACAGAAAAATTTATCCATTTTGTAGATAATTCGATATGCTCTATAAACTAGGCTGATCAAGAATTAATTTCTATTAGTTTGCAAAACCGATTATCTCAAAAAGCAGTCCATGAAGGTTTACGAGAATCACTTATGTTCTAGTTGGTAATGAGCATGGTTGGTAACCTTTAATGCAGTCGCTTTCGTTCAATAATATAATTTATCACTTGAAGTGATTGTCTCGCTAGTTGCAAAGAATTTTGATTGAGTTAACCACTCCAATAATTCAAATCAATTAGGGCGCAAAAAAAAAAAAAAAAAAAACAGAACTATGAATTCACCAACAGAATTTGCCTGTGATAATAAAGAAAACCTATGCTATGAAATTGTATTAAATCTTTCAAATGTATCATATAATAATATTCCTTATAAAAATACTCATTTTCTTCGTTTATCACAAAATTCTTCATCATATTGGATAACAATTACAATTCTTTTCTTTTTTATTAGTTTTGATTTTATAATATTTATTTTAAAAAATATTCTTCATTGTGATAATTTAAATCGACAATATGTTGAAATAATTGATTTTACTGATGAAAATGAATATCGTTCACTACGTAATCAAGAATTTCAATTGCGTTATGGTCAACGATCACATATACATAATGAAAAACCTTATCATTTATATCGATGCTTCAGAGAATAATCGATAAAATAAATTTTTATGGTAATATAGGTTTATATATTAAATCACATTTTGCATCAACTGAATGTATTTTGATATTTGTTAAATTTGAACGAAAATCATTTGCAATTGATAAATGTGCTGATACAAATAATAAGGTTGTACATGGCATAGCTACAATAAACAATAAAAAGAAAAGACGATCAAGAACTAATGCTATTTGTTGCCATTCATGTAAACGTTGTTGATTATCAATTTTTAATAAATCATTTCCAATTTCATGTTCATTATATAATTGTAATGGTAATAACCATTGTGTATGTATATATGTTTTTATTTCTCGTAAACACTGAAGTATTTCAATAGCCTTTAAAAAAAAACTAGAAATATTTAATTTAATTTAATTTTGTTTTTTCTTTACCTGTTGATTAACTGTTCGAGTCGGAGGTATTACCGAAAAAATATGACATATATTTTTTTCAATACTACTTAAACGTCTTAGTTGATTTTCTTCGTAAAGTTTTTTCACTAATACTTGTTTCTTTCTATGCTTATTTATACTACAATAAACAAATGGACTTAAATAATCAAGAAAGATTATTTTCATATATGTTGGTACACATGCTATATGTGATGTTGATGGACGATGATATAAATATAGAACATAAACAGTCATAATACATGATAAAAAAACTAAAAAAAAATTTGCATTACAAAACAATGTTAATATTGGAGTTTCATCGTCAGATTTTGGTATATATTCACTAAGTAATTGTAAATAAATAACTAATGATAATAATATTGTAACATTTAATGTTAATTTTTCACCTGATTGCGGTGGTAATAAAAATGTAAATAATGTTACGAATGAAACAAGTGTAAATGGTAAAATAATTTTTATTAAATAATATAAATAATTACGTTTTAATATTAATGTAAAACGTACAAGACTATAATCAACCTCACCAAAATCCGACACACGTTCATCAGTTATTTCTGTATAAGAATGAATTAATTCCCATTCACCACGTATAAATGAACGACCTTGAATAGGGCGACGTTGTATAAATTTAATGGATTGACTATCATGTGAACCACTACGAATTATTATTGTACAATTTTGTTGATCAAATGGAAAATATGTTGAACGAACTTTACAGATTGTTTTCCATAAATCTTGAAACATAAATCGAACATAACCTGAAAAGAAAAGAGAACAATAGATATATATATATATTCATTTTGGATTTTTATACAAAATATATTGTTGTTCAAGAATAAGCAATCTTTTATCACGTCTTTAAAGAAATAGAATCTAAATTTACTATCTAATACTTCAATTTGTCTTGTGAATAAGAAGATTGTTCCAATACAAATATCTCAATAGCTATAGAAATCGAATTTCGATTCAAGATTGCTTTTTTTTACCACTTATAGAAAATTCTCATTGAATTTGAAAACAAACTATAAGTACATACCATCGTGTCGAAGAATAAGTGCATAATTTTCTCGATTTCGAGAATATTTTCCATCAGCTGAATTGACAACAACAACATCAGGTGTCCATAAATAACCTGAGCCAACTGAAAGTTCAGTTATATTAAAACGACTAACATTCCATGACATATATGGATCACACCATGCACATGTCAATTGAATATTACTTGTTACGACCTACACTTTCAAATCGAATGATTATTCATAAGTATCGAAAATAAAAATAAAAAGAAACCTGTGCTTTTTCATTAACACTTTCAATTTGAAGTAAAATTAAGTTCGTATGAACTTTAGTAACGCCTGCTTCGGGACAAACATATTGATCATATGCTCGTTTATGAAATAATAATCGTCGAAGTTCAACTTCATTTGTACTCACATGTAAAAATAATATATTAGTATATAGCAAGATTATAGATAATCCTCGTAGGACATTAAACGACTCAGTAGAATATGTCATAACGTTTTTCTTCCGATTTGGCTCAATCTACTAGACAAACATGATAAGAAAATGGCAAATGATAAAGAAACAAAACTAAATTCTTGAGAATTGATCATCTTTTTATGTAAATTGATCTCATATCGAAGTTGACAAGCAAAACCAGACGTCTTTGCATTTCTATAAATGCTCTCAATTTCTTTTTTTTTTCCTATCTTTCTTTTTCCAGTCGTAGTCGATTAGAAAACTCTATTAGTACGCATTGGTTGTGTCAATCCAGTCGACAGTAGCCGGAAGCTAAATATGAAATAAGAAAAAGGCAGAGCGAGAACATATCTGTATTGAACATGCATTTATTAGGAAAAAGTCGTTATCTTGTTTTTCTCGCACACATAATATGATGATTGATTCTCCGTTAGCTATTCATATATTTCAAAGGCTATTTCATTAATTGAAACTCATTGTTCTTTTTCTCTCTTTTTTCTCGTTTGTCATATTGAATCGCATCCGTTATTTTTGCGTCTTATTTCAGTAAAAAACAAATGTGTTACTCTATCATCAATTTAAAGTAGTTGATGTGGAGAAAGAAAAAGAGAAAATGAATGCAAACATACATATCAATGGTTTAATGTTTGGTTGTTATTTTCTTCATCACCTTTTACTAGTGGCCAACAGTAAAGAAAAAAAAACTTTTCTTTTTTAAAAATGCAGAATCATATGTATACATGCAATGTCGTAAACGATGTTGCTACGAGATGTTCGTAGGTAAGTAAACATCGAACTGTTTGAAAATAACAAACTTCTTGAATGCTCTTTAAAATTAAGTGTACCTTTTTTTTAAATCATTTAACAAGAAGAAAACGAAAGAAAGAAAAAAAAAGAACAAAATTGGATGAATGGTGACTTTTTTTATAAGATACATTTTTTCCCCTTTAAATCGAATGTGACACTAAAACGTGAACATAGCAATTAAATGTAAGTACGAATAAAGAAAGAGTATCTTGTCATTTGTATGATTCGTTCGTGTTCTTTTCGACACAAATACTTCGACATTTGAAAAACAAAGAAAGAAAAAGAATTAATGTATAGCTAGATACTTTTTGCTATTGTTTCAATTTTTTGATTCATTTTGTTGACACAAACACAAACGTAGTGTTCGAAAATAACATTTAAATCTGTACACATAGCTTTGTTTTATTAAAACAACAAACGGAATAGTGAGAAAAAAAAAGAAAAAGAAATACGTACATTCTCTGAATCGATTCAAATAAATAATAAGATATCTTCTAATTGACAAATAGTGAGTATATATGACTTTAGTATTATTTGAAATATCAAGAAATCTTTACTAATTTGATTATAATTAGAAAATTATGTCACTTTTTGAGCAAGCATCTTCACGTCCTGGTTCTCGTTTTGGAAAACTTTCATCAAATATGTTCTTTACTCGAAATACTGCTAAACCAAAGCGTGTGCGTCATATTGAAGGTATATTACATGATTATTTATCATAAGCCTTTTTTCTTCTAATTTATTGAAAATATTCTTTAAGGATTAAATGGAGCATTGATTTGTAATGTAAATGATGATCCATCGGTTATTCCTTCGACGCGTTCCAGTTCACTGAACTTTCATAGAACTAATTTACCTGCATTTGAAATCCCACGTCGTGCTGAACGACTAGTCCCTCCAATGGGTTTTTGGAATACTCATGGCGTTAGTAAGTTTTATTTTTTTTGTTTGATATATATATATATATAATACTCATTTCTTTTATAAAAATTTTGTTTTCGTCAAGTTCATGATACAGAACGTTGGAAACAAGAGTTGGCAGCTTTAGCTACAGCTAGTGGATTAGGATTAGAAAACGATGAGCATAAACATTCAAATAAACCACCAACAGCAACTGCTGATCAACAACATGCATCACGTTCCGGTGCTCATTATTCAACACGAACAGGTCGTTTCAATGAAGGAACTGCACTATCAAGAGGTCGTACAGGTTCTAAACATGGTACAGCATATTCAGATGTGTTATTTCATGTACCTGAAAACGAAAGAGAAATGTGGGTAAGAAAACAAAAATTATTGGCAAAGAATTAGTTTTTATTTATTATACGCTTCAATGCTGTATGTACAGATCTAAGAGACGAGAGGAAATATTTTACGATAAAATTCCTGTAAGAAAGATTTTATTGACATAACAAGAAAGTGTGATTAAGAAATCAAGTTCAAATAAATTTTACCTAAACAAATAAGTATTTTGAGATGTTGTTTAAAACAAAACAATTAAAATGATTGTTTAAGTAGTACAAAAACAAACAAAAATACACTGAATCTCTATTTGACGAAAGGCGACGACTTTGAAATATTTTTAGATACAACAACACATTAGGTTTTCAATATTTACCATGAATTTAATGATGAGTTTCGCCTGAAATTTTATATTTAAATCATATAGTGTGAAATGTAAGAAGACAATAACTACTAGAATAATCTGCTGCTTTTCTCTCCTTGTAACAGATGAACTACTATATATATAAGCAACAAGTGAAAAAAATCTATCAAATGGAAAATTCCATAGGTAATGATTCACGAGAAGGAAAATCACCTGTGAAATATCCAGAGAAAAGAAAACAATACATAGAATGAAGGAAAAGACAGAATAGAAGAACGGAAGGAAAAGTCCATCACACATCTCGAATAGTAACATAAATGACAATAGAATAGCACAAGAGATATATGAGATAACAAACTACTACCTAACATATAGGTAATCTATATTCACTTTGCAATTCAATGAAACAAAAGTGCATACGAATTGAAAAAAAAGAGTATTACTAGTGATTAGGAGATAAACTACTGCACAACGAGAAGTCATGGGTCTTTTCATGATTAGTTTTAATTTTTCAATATCTATAGAAAATCAAGATTTTTATCATTTAAAAAAACAAATCGAATTAATTACGTCATCTTTGATGTATTTACATTTTATACTTCATATCTTTTTATTCTTTATAAAGATTTTAAAATGCGCTATATTGTCCATTAATGACGATACGAGAAAAAAAACAATATGTTATGTCTTTGCTTAAGAATTTTCACTATGTTACTTAACATAAATGCCATCGATTTTTTAATAAATGAAGTATATCGATCTGGTATTGAAAGACACTTACAGTTTAATAAGAAAACTTTTAAGGTAGATTTACTTTCGATAAGCACTTAAAGAAAAGAAACTATAGTTGATCAAGTATTTCTGTAGAAGTACATTAAGATTACATACGTAACCTTTTCGATAAAATAGATGTTACAAGTTCTTTGTCAACTACTTGGTACGAGTCATTTGGAAGATGTTCAATCATGGCTTGTTTCGGCTTCACCAGCTGGTATATGTCATTTAAATGAATCTTTCATAAATACTTTTTTAAATTGTTTCTATAGAAAAAGAACAAGCTAGTACAATGATTAATTCTGCATTACGTGGATTGAAAGAATCTGAACGTACATCCTCCGAAACTCAACAATCTGTTGATCTTAATTCATTATCAAATTTTGTTGACAAGTAAAAAAGAAATCCAATAAATCATCTCTTCTGAATGAATAGTTCTTTTTTATTCTTTTTAATTTAGACAAAAAAATGAAGAAAAACATGCCTCTAAAAAATATATCCAAGATACTCTTAATCGATCTGTACCTATTTTACCATCTATTGATGAAGAACAACAAACTGATATTGGTTTAAATGATACATGGGACGGTGGAGAATATAATAATGATTATTCAAAATTATCACCACAAAATGCAACAACTTATAAACGTGCTTATCAAAATTATAATCAACGATCCTATACATCCTTTGATGGAACATCATCAAATAAGAAAAATGAATCATACCATGAAAATGAACAAAATCAACTACAAGATGAGAATGAAGAACTTATTGATACAATACAACTTGATGATGATCGACGACGACCTCGATCAGCATCATTAACAAAAACAAAAATACAATCGAAAAAGCCTCAATCACCTATCGAACAACCACCTTCAAGTCATAAACAAAGACATCGTGTTGAATCTATTCAATTCAATGATAATGATGATAATCATCATTTGAAAAATATAAATGAAAGTAAAATTAAATTTCATAATGAGGAACATGATGATGATGATGAACATCAACAACAAAAAGAAATATTTTCATCATCACATAAAATAAAGTCATCTGCAAATCAAGATGACCAAAGTAAATCACGTAAAATTCGTGAATTACAAAATAAATTATCTCGTCAAGAAGAAGAAGCAAAAAAGAAATTTAATGAATTACAATCCAAACAATCACGACTTGAAAATGCGATTAAATTACTTGTTAAACAAACTTCATCATATAAAAAACGTCGACAACAAACACATGATCATGTTGAAGGTATATCTTATAGTTTTTGTTCATTGAAACTCTTGTGTTTTTATTTTATTTTCATCTTTTTTAAAACAAAAAGATTTAGATGCACCTGTTGTCAATGTTATCATTCAATCACCAAGAGAAGCTGATCTTCATGATAAATCAAATGAAACAAAGTCATTTGGTAAACATCAGGAACTACCATCTGTTCATGCTAATGAAAAGATCAAGAAAAATCGAAATGGTAATAACAATACCAAAATTGGAGATTATACTATTCAAGATGTCAAAGTACAAATCAGTCTTTCTCGTCTAGATAATCATCAACCCGCCAAAGTCTATTCCGGTGTATGGAAACCCGACATATCGACACTTCATCGTCTTCAAGGGAATTAGAAGAAACAAAAATCAATATCAAGTTTTAATATCCATTAATATATATATAAATATAAATGAACATTGACAAAAAACTAGCGTGAAAAAACAATGAAATGAAAAGTAAAAGATGTTCTTTTTATAGTTTGTAAAATGATCTATTAAGTTGATTCTCTTTTTTTTAAAGAATATTCTTCTATTTACCCAAAAGCTTGAAAAAAAATGAAATATTGACAAAAAAAGTTCTTTTTTAACCTATCCGATTTCGATATGTAGAAATTAGATAAATGATTTGTGTAACTAATGTAAAACTTGATAATATTAATGCTACGATTTCTAAAGCACTTGACCAATCAAGACGAATGTCATAATTATTATCAACTTCCTTGGTGATATTGGTTTTAAGTTCTTCTGGTGAGGAACCTAAAAGAAAACAAAAGCAAATTTGTGACGTTCAAAATTTTAATCTATAAACAAACAATTAAGTAAACGAAGATCTAAATCATAACGATATTGATATAAATCATATCGCATTGTTGAACCAAATAAAATAAGTGTTATAAGAATAAATATGCATCCAACACATAATAAACATATAGTTATAACTGCTATATACATATGAATTTTGTATTTAAATTCATTAATCAGTATATGTGAAAAAACTAACAATAGCGATATACCAAGTGTACAAGCAGCAATTATTGTACCTGCAATAAGACCTTTGGCTATTGGTGAATAATCACAATTATATGGATTGTTGTTCGAATTACAGAGAAATTGGCTTTGAGGTCGTGGGTTTAATGTTAAATTTGTTAGGTTTCCACATTTTGCATTGTTGTTAAAATAATATTTATTATCATTACAAATTAGGTAACTTTTATTCAATATAGTGTTCAAGTCACTCCGATAATTTTCACAACGATCGAATATACCAACGAACATTGTTTTATCACTCATCTTACGATGTTCATATATTCTGTAAATTTAGTTTTGTTTTAAAATAAAGATTAAAAAAGAATCTGATATTAATTATTTAAAATAATTATTCATCCCAGTAATGACTTTCACAATAAGTTTTCTTTTGAATTTTACTATAAATGTTTCAATATCATATAAAAGATATAAGATTTAAAGATATAAATATCTTTTAAGAATCAATTCTGATCGATCGTTGTTTCAGTTGAAGAATATCGATTTTTTTCAAAAGAATAGCTTCACAATTGTAGTCTAACGAAATCTTACTTAAGATCATTTCTCTGAATACAAAATAAAAACTAGAGAATTCATATGACTTCATCAATTTTGAATTTTTGTACTTTTAAGAGTTTCAATTCTTTCAACTTGCTGTTTTCAAGCATATCTCACAACATATTAAACGGAGTGATGTCACGTAGGTACGCTTTCGTTACATTATAAAACTTTATTTATCGTTTATAAAATTATTCAAAAATCTTAATTGTCTTCGAGAAAAACAAATACATACTTCCATCGAGGATATATCATTGCCACAATATGAGCAATTAATGTAAGAGCCAGAAGAAATAAAGCAAAACTAGTGCAGACAAGAGTTGTTTTAATCATATCTATTTATTGATGACTGATTGATCAACGTAGTTCTATAAACAGTAGCTTGTGAGCAATAAATAAAACCAGCAATTTGATTCTTTCAATAAGTCATCGTACAACAAGAGTGATCAATTTTTATAATATTCATTCATTTTTTTTTTCGTACGTTGCCATCATCATATGACAAAGACAACGAAACCAGACACTTCAAAACCGTTTTATCATGTCTACTTAATATAATATGTCTGTTGTAGAAAAAACAACAAAAGTTTTTTCTTCCTTTTTTTCAAGATACATTTCATATTTGCACATTCCATGACTTAAATTTGTGATTGTCAGTATATGAAAAGAGTTGAAATCTTTTTCATTCAGTGACAAAATCATTTTCTACTCAGTTGTCAATTTATGAAAATAAGAACGAACGATATCATTGAAAAGAAGTATCAATTTGTATTACATATTTTGAAAAGAAATTTAATCCATTTCTTCTTTCGGACATACCCTTAATCCGTTCCTTGAAAAACTAAAGCGCAACTATTCGTCTGATTTGATCCATTGGATTTTTCTTCTTTCTCTTTTGAAATATAAAAGAACAAAGAAAAATACAAAACTAAATCAACACATATTAAGAAATAAATCCGAATTTATAAGCGGTTCTGTCCATTTTAAATCATATAATGATATACCACTATCAATAATGCGTGCAGCACCTAATACTTCATTTTCATCATAGAAAACTGCATACTAAAATAAAGAAATTTTAAAAAATTTAAGTTTTTTCAATTTTATTTAAATATTTTACTTGTCCAGGACATATAGAACGTATTGGAATAGGTAATGATACATGTAAAGTATTATTATTTGAAAGTGAAATAACAACAGGTAAAGGTCGATGTTTATGTTGAAAACGAAAATCACATTGATATTGCCCAGTTTCTTTTAATAATAATGGCATTTCATTAATCCAATGTGGAATACCTGTATAAAAAGATTTTGTAAATAATGCTGGATGATTTGTACCAGGTGCCTGAAATAAAAACAAAAGATATTCAGCCAATTGTATTTGAAATTTCATTTTTTACAGCATAAATTATGTTTTCAACTGGATCTTTTTTTGCAATAAACAATGGTTTCGATGATTTGTACTCTTTATTAATTGGTGTAATGCGTTGTCCTATTGTGTAGCAATGTAAACCATAATGTTCACCAATAATTTCATTTGTTTCAATTAATTTTATATAACCAATATTATCAGGAATAAATTGAGAAATAAAACGAGAAAATTTTCGTTTACCAACAAAGCATAAACCCATGCCTATTTGATAAAAAAAAATTAAATAAAGAAACAAAATAGAAAAGATTATTTTTTTCTTATAATTTACTTTCATGTTTTTGAGCAATTCTTTCAAGATTCATTTCATTTGCTAAACGTTTTACATCAGATTTCATCATATTGCCTACAGGAAATTCAATGAATGGTAATACGGTATTTTGAAGATGACATAAAAAGAATGATTGATCTTTTATTAAATCATAACCACGCATTAATTTATATTCTATAAAAAATAAAAAATAAAAAGATATTTTTTATTTTTATTTTCCTGTTTTTCTTCTATGAAAGCAATACTTAATTCCTCGTTCATCTTGTTTTATTTGTGCATAATGCCCTGTTGCTAAATATGTTGTATCGAAACGTTCTTGACAATATTTAAATAATGAATCAAATTTAATATATTTATTACAAAGTATATCAGGATTTGGTGTTAAACCATGTTGATAATCATCAAGAAATGGTTCAAATACTTTCGTCCAATATTCTTTTATAAAATCGACAATATGTAAACGAATATTTATTCGATTACTAACATAAATAGCATCTTCAAGATCTTTATCATTTGTACATTTTGTTTGACTATCATCATCTTCATGTTTTTCCCAATTCCGCATAAAACAACCGATGACTTCGTAACCTTGAAAACAAGAAATAAAGTCAAATTCAACTATTTTTAGATACAATAAGTAAAATAATAAACCTTTTCTCTTTAGTAGAGCTGCAGATACCGAACTATCAACACCACCGGACATAGCACAAACGATACGTTTTTTTAAATGTAAATTCATTATATCGATCTTCAATGAAAGAAAGAAACTTTGGAAAATTATTTTTCATGGTCAAAATAATAATATCATAGCTGATCAAATAAACCAATTTTAATTTTATTTATGAAATATCAATGTTATTTTAAAATTATTCCATTATTTGAGTGTATTATAATCAAACAGGAGAAAGTTGGAATTCCCTACTTCACTGTACTTCAAAGATATGTCATGACTATCCTCTAGAACTTCTTGGCTCATTCAAGTCTACTGTCAATGTAACTTCAAAGCAATATTAGTTTGACTTCGTTTTATATAAGTCTGTCTGGCAATAAAGTCAAAATACTTCATCATTGACGACGTGGACACCCGCTTCACTTTTAGAAAATTTCTAGTTTTATTCCAGACAAAATCGTATTTTTTTTTTAAAAAGGATCCTAAAATGAATTAAAAAAGAGAGTCCAGCAGCTCTTCACTTTTTGAAAAGTTGTACATGCACATTTTCAGTTCTCAAAAAAACTCCCTTACACTCCTCACTTTTTTCTCTTCCACATATCCCTTTTTATGATACATGTTGATAGTAGACTTGAAATACCAAGAAGTTCTAGAGGACAGCTTTGACTGAGAGGAAAGCAGCAGAGACTACAGTTTTTCTGAAATCTCATGGAATATTTAAGTCTACCGATTTTCATTCGGCTTTGTCATACCCTTGGAGTACGGTGAAGTATGGAATTTTTGTTTTTTCTCTTCTAATTATAAGAAATAAATATTTTATAAATGGTCAAAATTTCTACTAGAAATCTATTAAGCTACTTAATAATTATGCGAAATTCTCGCTGAGAACTAATTTTACAATAGAATGAATGGCTAAGCGTAGAATTACAATAACATCATACAGATTTTCATTAACAATGATTTTTTAACAATGTTTATTATAATATATTTTTTTTTCTTATTAATATATCTTTCTTTTTGATTGTCACTTAACATACAAGTATCTATTAGATGTAGTAGAACACAACATGAAGAAAAAATTTCTTTTTTTTTTCATGTTGAAGTAACCTGTAATAATATTTACTCAGTTAGATTTAATCAAGGGCAAACAACAACAGAAAAACACTTGGAAGAATTGAACATCTATTTTCATCTACTTATTACTATTCTAGTTTTTTTTTCTTTTGACGATAATAACGATGATGTAAATTGTTTAGTTTCATTCTATTCACTTTTTTCTCTTTTCTCGGTTTACTTGGTCTTATTTTCCATTTTATTCTTTTATACTAATAAATTTTTTAACATTTGTATTTTTTTCTCTTTACTCAAGTTAACAAATAAAACTTTTTTCCTTTTTTAGTTTTTTTCCTTCTCAGTATTCACAATGGATTCATCAACAGCACAAAATCGAAATTTTTTATCAACGTCTTATAATTCTGAACCAAGTTCACAACAACAAAAAAATGAAAGTTTTACAACTAAATTTCGACAAACAATAAAAAGCGCTGGAAAACATAAACAAGATTCTCATCAAATAAATACTTCTGAATCTGATTTAAATAATTTAAATCCAAAAAGTCAAGTAGGATAATACGAAAAACAAACATCATTTACAAGAAAACACTAATCTTTTTTTTAAATAGGAACTTATATTACGTGCAGTTGATAAAATAAGAAAAGATGATAGTCAACATGTTTTAAATACATTAGATGAAAGTCGAAATATATTAAGAAGTACATTGGAAGAATTTAAACGTGAACAAGATGAATGTCGAAGACAACTTGAAGAAATTTTAAAATATAAAGAAACAAGAAAAATCAGTAAAGGTAAATGTTATATGTTTCGTTTTTTTCTTTAATGAAAAATAATTTTATGTAAGAAAATGCAATTCCACTTTCAATATTTATGCGAAGAAAACGTGATATTGATGAAACTTTTGAAATACGTTCGAGTTCAACGACAAGTTCAACATATCAAGCATATTTTGAAGCACTTCTTTCAACGGATCAAAATAATGAACAACATCCAACAGATAAAGCTGCTGTTCTTAAATATCTTCGTCGACGTGAAAGACGAAAACGCGCAGAAGAAAATAAAAAAAACCATCAATTATCTGATGATATTCTTGAAAAAGTATTTCATTTAATAAAAATATTATAAAATCACTGATTTTTTCTTTTTGTTAATTTTAGCAAACAGCAGAACTTATACTAAAAATGGAAGGTGTAGATATTAAATTAGAACATGAAAGAGAACGACAAAATCAAATTTTACGTGCTCGTATGAATGAAAATAAAATAAAAACAAATAATATTATTCAAGCTAATGAAATTATCGATCAAGCAAATGAAGCTGCTTTAGCGTAAATAAAAAAAACATTATTTAAAAAAAAAAAACTTATTTCTTTCATTTTATAGTCGTCAACGTGTTGAAAAAACACATCGAGGAAAAATTGAAGCACGCCTATCAGCTGTACGTCATCTACAAAATCGTAATCCAAAACATATGATTCATGTTCAAAGTAATTTAAATGAAAATGATGATGAAAAATTAAATGAAGAACAAATTGAAACAACTAAAAAATCTCTTCAACTATTAAATAATAATATTGATGAACATCAACAAATACGTTCAACAACAAAATCAGTTTATGGAGGTGAAAATACAAAGGATAAAGTTGCAACTATTGACATTTAGTTAAACTTTCTATATATAACTAATAATTCTAATTTAAAATGATAACATTTTTCTATTTCACACCCAACATAAATGTCACATCAATTGCATCATAAATTTAGAACAAAAGAAAATATCGACCAATTCAATTGGAAATAATTAATCGATTGAAGAAGAAACATGACAACCTAGTAGCATCTAGGTTTATTATAGAGATGTGCAGGGTAAACTTTTTTTCGTACTCTGTATTCAAACGAAGAAACACTTTCTAACCCTTATCCTAACCTGTAGAACCTCTAACCTTACTTTACCCTACGAAGTTTTGATCTCATTCTTTCTTAATCCTATCCTAGTTAAAAGACTCCAAAAGTGATAAATAACAAAATAGTATCAAATAGAAATATATAGGATATTTTTTTTTATACTCTATACTCTGACTGAGAAAAATATTCTAATTTTTACCCTTCATAACTCTAATTTATTAAAGTAATGGAAATTATTTATTCTTTTTCACATAGGCGAATTTTCTTTTTATTTAATTATAATATGATTGAAAAAAAAAAAGAAAAGCCTTTTTTTCAGGCAGTGGATGCCAAAGAGGTATATAGATATTATTTTCTAGAAGGTTCTTTTTATACTTTACTAATATGATAAGTCATAAAGTATATCGAGTCGAAACAACTTTCAAACAAAAATAAATATCTACTGTACTTGGAATTATCGAAATACAGTTTAGACAAAATATAATTGATGATTCACATTATTAATTTATTTTCTTCTTTCATATGATTTTCATTCGAATTCAATGATTAATAATATCATCTGAATCATTATTTTTCTTATTATCTGCAGTTAAAGAAAAAAAGATTATATTAATAATCTGTATGTTGTTTAGTATTTTATTGCTGTTTGTCGTTTTTTCTTTTGTTAACATACACAAAGAAAAAGAAGAGAATATACAATGACTGAAGATACAGACAGAAAAAAACAAAGAAGAGTTTATTTAACCAGAAAGATCTTCAGCTTGATAAGCAGCTTGATCATATAATTCAGCTCTTACCATTCGACCACCAAACCATCGACCATTAAGTGATTCAGCCGATTTTTCTGCTTCTAAAATAATTTTTATTTTCTTTATATATGTCTCCATATTAATGTTAATAAATTATAATTTTACCTTTACTATTTTGAAATTCCACAAATATTTTCACGATTTGTTCTGCATTATCTTCTTCACCTTGTTTTTCAGTATAAATCACAACTCTATTAACTTCACCATATTTTGAACATTCATCTACAAAAAAGAGAAAACAAAAAGAAAGATGATAAAATCAAAAACACAAAACTAAAATGAAAATGTAACCTGTAATTTCTTGTTCTAAATCATCATCAACTTCTTCTGGACTAACCATATTTCTTAATACACATACACGTGAATCAAGTCGACGTTGATTTAATTTTTGCATTAATAAATGTCGTTGTTCACGACCTTATTTTTAAACAAACAAAAGAAAAGAATTTTTTATCTATTATAAAATTTATAAAATTTATTAAATATACCTTTAACACTAAGCTCTTCTTGTTGAGATAAACTAGCCAACGGATCATCAGTATTTTTTAAATCAGAAACAGTTTTTTGACTGTCGGTTACATCTAAATTACTTGATGATTGATTTCTTGGTAGAACAAGTGAAATTGATGGATATTGTTGTTGTTGCTGTTGTTGTTGTTGCTGTTGCTGTTGTTGTTGTTGCGGTGGTTGTTGTTGTTGGGATTGTAAATCAAATTTTAATCCAACAGGTATTGGTGGTTCTTCTAATAGAGTAGGTTGCGGAATCGATAATGATACTGGTGGTGGTGGAATAATTACTAGAATTATATTCATTTTTTAAATATAAATAAGTAAAAAAAAAAAACGTATACCTTGAGGAGGTGGAGGTGGTTTTAGCGCTTGTGGTGTTGGTGTAGAAGTAGGAAGACTACTAGCAAGTGGTGTAGCAAAACTAATCAAAAAGTTTTTGTAAAAAGATTAAAAATAACTAAAAACTAATGATCTACTTTGAAAGAATTCCAGGTGAGCCAATAATTGATGGTTGAGGAATTACATTTTGTATAGCATTAGTTGGATTGAGTATAGTAGAAATCACTAAAAATAAAATTGAACGAAAAATATAATTCATCAACAAAACAATAATGATTTTAATACTGGATGTTACAGCTGTTGCACCACCATAAGAAGCAGCAGAGAGCGCAGCTGCAACTGTTGTTGGTGCAATAGTACCACCAAGAAAACCAACTTGTGTTAACGAATTATTGATAATTTGTGAGGTAGTCTATAGAAAAAGAAAGAAATTAATTAAATTTTTTATTACATCGAAATTTATTCTACGACAATTGACTGTGAATTTGTTTCAACATCAGTTGCTTGTATTTGAGCTGTGATCGTAGCAGCAGCTAATGCCGAAGCTGTTGGCATTTGACTTGCTACTGGCTGAGTCGAAGCAAATAAACCTTCAGGTGGTGTTATCGCTTTTCCTACTCGAAGATATTGTCCTATAATAAATAAGAAAAAAAAATAACCATAAGAAATAAACGAAAATATTTCACAGTAAATATGAATCTCGGATTGTTGCTCGCAAACTGTGGTTGAAGAGAACACCCACATTTCACTCTTTAGAGCATTCACTTTTTTGGTTAATTATATATGAATAGATGATGTAATAAAGGTGCGTTTTAAGAGGTTTTTCATAACTGACATAATAGGTTTTTGTGAAGTCATTCTGTTAATCTGTATGTTTTATATGTATATGTGTTTACCATCGATTTGATAAATGCTAGAGTGATTGAATCAATCACTTTATTATCAGAGGTATAGAGTCTTCCACTAAAATAGAAAATTTCTTCCATCGAAGAGTAACTCTCCAAAAAAAATTTCCACCATCAAAATAAATCATTTCCTTTAAATTTACATATTGGAGAAAAACAATACTATTAGCACTAGAAATAACATTGTGTAAAAAATAAATTAGTTTTATTAATCATTGAATAATACTGGTAGTCTTGGTCCTTGGTCATTTCAGAGACGATTTATCAAAACTAAATCAAGGCTTAAAACTTTTCATGTTAAATACTGTTTACATAGCATTAGTTACCTGAAATCGTGGTGAAATCATCGAAGATAAGGATGAGAGCGATAGATTAGATTGAGGATTAATAGGATAACGAGGTTTTCTAATTTGTTAGTTTGTTATCAATGGTTCTGTTTCGGCTCGTGAAACATAGTTCGTTATGTGTATTAAAAAAAACAAAGATTAACTTAAACGTCTGTGCAAGTAGACAATATGCTTTAATACTGTTCACATTTAGAGAACATAACAAAGTAAAAAAGAAAAGTATGCAAGTTGAAGGAGAGACGTATTAAATGATGAAAGAAAGCAATTCCATTGTTCTCTATTGAGAAATCAATCATGCAATTTATGCATGAACTTCATATCCTGATTGCTGTGAAAGAATAACTTTATTAGTCAATTTTCTACATTATAAAGCTTTTAAGTAGACAATAATTTTCCTAAAATTTTTTCCTAAACACTTAAGCGCATGATGATGATCATTCTCTCAAAAGAAATTAATTTATAATCTTTCATGATTTTTTGTCAAAATTTTTGTAGAAATTTGCATAGCGATCAACAATCTGTTTCTTAATAAAATATAACCTACCGCCAAGATCAAATAAATTCATCGAATTAATTGCATCTTGTGCTGCTTGAACTGTTTCATATTCAATAAAACCATAACCTCTAAAATATTCATTAGTTAAAACTTCAATATTATAAACAAGAAAAAAAGATATGTACTTGTGTTTTCCTGTTGCTGTATCTTTTGATAATGAAGAACTTTTAATTTTTCCTTGAAAATAAAATAGAAAATAAAATTCTTTTATTGTAAAAAAATATATCTCCATTTTTTTAATTTACCAAAAGCTTCAAATACGCTTTGAATATCTGTTTCAGTTAAATCTGGATGAATAGAAGCAACATAAATTCGATTATAATTTTTTGCTTCTTCTGTTAATTGATCAATAATTGGTTGTGCTTGTGGCATATTCGATGGTCGACCAACCTATTTAAACAAAAGCAAATGAATTAATAAAGAACTTTTCCTTTACTTTTGATTTTCTCTTACTTTAATATTTCTTCCACCTAGAATAACTCCATTCATTTGTTCAATAGATAATTGTGCTGCTTCTGGTGTTTCATATTCAAGAAAAGCAAAACCTTTATGACGATTGGTTACTGGATCAAATGTTAATGAAACTGATTTAACTGGACCAAATGGTTGAAATGCTTGTTTAAGCATAGCTTCATTTAATTCGAAATTAATACTTCCAATATAAATTCTAAATGTTGACACAAAATGAATATCTATTTGAATTTTATATCATAATATAAAGAGATATTTACCGGCACATTAATAAAAGTGCTTGTTGTTTTTTTATTAAATCTAATTGTGCACGTTGTTGATGTTGTTGTTGTTTAACAAGAACATATTTAACACTTTGTTCCAAAGCAAATTTTTTTGCACGTTTAACACTATCATCATCAGTTGGTCGAACTTTATAACGTCCTGTATCACGTTTAGCTCCTGGTCCTTGAAATAATGGACCACGTTGATCAAATTCAATAACATTTATAAATGGGGCAAATGGAGAAAGTTCACGTGGTAAACGTGGTATCTCTTGAAGTGTAATCTTTTTTTCATTAGAATTTGTTGTTTGACCATTGTCTAGAAAAAAGATAATAAAATAAAAAATATAACAAATACAACCTCTTTTTAGAGAATAATTTTAGATGATCAGGCATATATGGACAGCATATTTGATTAATGTTGTCACTGAAACAGGGATAGAGAAAAGAAAGCGAAAAACAACAAAAATTTAATAAAAAAATAAGTTTCGTGATTTCTTTCTTTCATTTTTTTTGTTAATGATAAGTAGAATATTGTTGAATACCTAAAATAGGGAGATAAAAGAAGACGACAAAGTAAAACAAAAAGATATTTTCAAAAGTCTGTCTGAAGTTTTTTTCTTTTTTTGATGTTGATAATTGTCTGTAGATTGAAGATTTGTATGTCGAAACTTATTCATATTGATAAATGTTTTCTGCAACACGGAGAAGAAAAGAGAACAAAATACAAAACTGAGATTTTTCTTGAAAGATAATTGATAATTAATTTATATTAAAAGAAAGTCATGCATAACAAAAACTCTGTTTATATTTATAGACAAATGTAAAATTAAAATAAATACAAAACTCACCTGTTATTATTGTATTTGAATGTTCAGGAATCATGGTTTCTGTCATTATGAAAAAAAAATTATTATTTATCTGAAAATATTTCTATTGCAGTGAAGACTCCAAAAAAAAAGTAATGTTCGAACAATAAATCACAAAAGATATTATTCATTCTGTTCTTATATGTATATGTATATACAACAATAAAAAAAATATATATCTTGTTTATACTTTAAGGTACAATTAAATAGGGTTGACATGGAACAAATTTATTTTCATCATGACAATCTTGTAGCCAATCAAGTGAAAGAAATTTTATTTCGGGATTTGTTTTTGATATCTAAAAATATCAAAAAAAAATAAATGAATAATTTGATAAAAGTGAATGTTGTTCTTTGAATAGTTTTAAAGACTATACCATACAGATAGATAAGTTACTCAGATTGTAAGAGTATAAAACAAGCATATTTACTACTCAGAACTATTATTCAAAAATATATATGTCAACCAGAGAGCACGTATGATACTCACTAATTGAAACTTCATGAGATCATGCTTTCACCTAGAGTCTGTCGGATTCAGAATTTTCGGACCCAAACCGGATCGAACCGTACTTTGATACTCTCAATGAAATTTTCTAATCGGGATTGGATAGTTATTCCGTAGATAGGCAATACTTTTTGCCAGTTTTTTGTATTTGATGGCTAGCGCACCCTACAAATTCATCAGACGACTAGAACTCATCGGATTCGCGCTCAAGATATAGACGTACGAGACCACAAAATACAACTTTACTAGTGTCAGGGCTACGATAAAGAACTTCACCGGAAGTGGACCTTAAGGGAGCCCCCCCCCTCAGAAAATCCATTTTTTGGTAAAGTAATCGAAGTCGAATTTTTATCATAGCAAGATGCAGCGAAGTTTCCTCTTTCAGAATATATATAAATTTTTAAAAAAAGCTCAAATTTTTACAGACTTTCGTGGGAGATTTCCACCTCACTACCCGGTTTTCGGAGAGATTTTCGCGGTTTTTGTTATTTTTGGGAAGACTACTTTTTTACTTCTATCAACATGGAATAAACATTCTTATATCATATTGTACGACCTGTAGTGCTAGCTTACACCATCTATTGCGTGCTTTCAAAAATTCCACATAAATATTATCAATATACCATTATTTCCTGTATTTGACTGAAAAACTCTATTTCTAAAACTTCTTTAGCGGTTTTCTCAAAACATGGTTTCCAGACAGGAAAATTGAAATAANACGCGCGGCGAGGGGGGGGGGGGGGGGGGGGGGCTTAAGTTTATAGTAAAATATTCTATGGTTTCTAGCAAATTATCTTCAAACGAGTATTGAAGAATTATTTTAGATGTGATACGGATCAATTCTGGATTAAATTAATCTAGACTAGGACCTGAAAAACTACAATTTCTGCGACCGAGATTGAAAAACCTTGATACCGCATATCTGAGTCTAGAATTAACTTGATGGGCTTTACTCCTAACTAGAAACTAGTTTAAAGGATGGATGCAGACTTTTCGATGAAGAGAAGAACTCTAATTGTGTATACTCGATATAAAAATTTGTACAGAAAATACGTTTATACTTTTTCAAACTCTTGATTCCATGTTCGATTTGTAATAGCATATTGAACATCTGATTTAATTTGTTTTTCTAGTATTCCATCATAAGCATAAATAACTCGACGTATATCACGAAGTGTATTATCATCAAAATCATCACTGAATACATAAAAATGTTTTCCATGAAAAAAATTTGCTAAATCAAACGATTTTTTATTCGTTTCTGGTTCATCTTCATCAGTTTCGGCATTATAAACTGAAAATAAAATAAATAATAATATAATAAAATCCTAGTCGTCACAAGAAGCAACACAACATTGGGCATCAGATGAAGAAGTAAAATTGGCATTTTTATTGGTTTCAATAATGTAAAATGTGCCTGACCTCATGATCAATTAAATGAAACGTAAGAATTTTTTTCGTCTTTTTGAATTTGTAAATGTAATTCAGTTGTAAGAAACAGAACACCTTGCAGAGATATGAAAGAAAAAATTCGTTTTTTTTTTCACGAACGATAAACAAATTTTATAAATAAGCGATTTAGTTTGTGCACTATTGATCGGTATAAAAAGATATCTCTTAAAAAATACTTCTAATAAAAAAATAATAATAATTAGCATTGTTTACTCCGGTTAGATATTACAGATAGATGTGTTTAGTCAAGTGAATGCACACATGTTCACACAGATGAAATACCAATGAAATTTTGACACGACTGCAACGTATGCATAGATGGCTTCAGAACGAAGAGGCAGATTTGTTACATCATTTTTTTTTCGATTCAAAAGCACTGTTAATAAAAGCAACAATCGAGTCGAATTCAGTGCGAGAAACTGCATTGAATAGTTAATAGTTTGTTAGTTTTCGAAATTAGAAACTGGGGAAAACATAGAACAAGTGTTCTCTCAAGGATTTTTCCATGAAGCAAAAAAAAACAGCTTCTGTCGAATTTCAGTTTCTTCATCGATCATTCTTTTCGAAGTAGAAAAAACTAATACTTTTATGAAAAAATGCGGCTTTCACAGAAAGCAAATTATATCTATGTGCAGAATGGAAAATGTCTACTGTGCGTTATTGAATCGAACATATAGTATGATTAGATGAGATTTCATTGACTTAGCCTTTGTGCTCTGATTGTTGATTATCTATTCGAGTGACAGTTAGTGAAAGACAACTTCTTTTTTCAAGATTTGATAAAGATGACACGACTAGAGTATGGGTATCATCCATCTATTGATACAGAAGAAAGAAAGAACGAACGAAATAGCTTAAAGTCATTTCTGTGACAGACAGCGACAACAGAAAAAGAACTGATTCGTTCAAAATTTTGAAATCCAACGGATGACCCATAAACGAATGAAACACTTTGCTTGTCTTGTTTTTGAAGATACAAATATAGTTTAAAGACATCGTTCAAAATTGACAAATACTTAGTCGTTGAACTGCGACTACCAAACAACAAAACAATTATTAAAAATATGTTTAAATAACAGTTTCATCAAAATTCAAAATATACTGCATGATACACTGTGAAATACCACATTGCAATGTTTCGTAATTTTAGACAAAAAAGTTGAAAGAAGAATTTTTCAAGCAAAACTTAGAAAATGACGCAAAAATTTTCCTTCTAACAGCTCTATATCATTGAGAACAATCTAAAGATTTTCGTGGTTCAGTTTAAATGTTACATCATTTGGTTCAGACTTAAATTCTTCATTCAATGATATAATGATAAATCGGTCATAGAACATGCCAATTTTTGAAAAAACGAGTTTTGAAAGCAAATTCAAAACAACATATCACTAGATGTTAGTTTCAAGTCTTTTACATCTGAACAGCAACATTAGAAGCCTTAAGAAGATCTTGAGAGAGTATAGAGCATAAAATTCTCTATCTATTAATACTAAATCTTTTAAAATTAGCATCGAACTTGATGAAGAAATGCTTGAAGAAATCGTTAGATGTTCACAGAAAATAATAGAAGATCGCCATTGGACAGTGAAGCAACTGTCGATCTTTCCAGTGTTTAGAACGAAAAATTTTCTATCGAATGAGCTTAGAATGGCATCTTTGAACCATATTTTTGTTCTTTAAAAACAGAAAGTCAAACTGTCCCATTAGTTATGGGTCATGTATTAGTCAGAAATAATAAAATTTATATTACCATCATCATCATCGGAAACAATTGGTTTCTTGATAACATCTTTTGGAACTATACTTTCTTCATCATCATCGTCATCAAAAGTTGTCATTTTCTTTTTAGTTTGTGATTTTCGTATAACATGTTTTGAAGTTACAGGTTCTTCATCATCTTCATCATCATCATCATCGAATGTTGACATCTTTTTTTTAACTGGTGTTTTTTTTGTTACATCTTTTGATAATTGATATTCTTCCTCTTTTTCTTCTTGTTCATCATCATCATCAAAATTCGTTGTTTTTGTTTGTTTTTTTTCTGATATTCGATTTGGTTTATCTCTCTTTATAGTATTAGTATTATTATTTGATCCTTTTAATTCATAATTTTTCTCGGCTAATAATTGATTTTGTTTATAACAATCAAGTATCCATTGTTTATTAACAATAAATCCTTTTCCTGTTTCTAGAACTTGTGTATATTTTGGTGTATTTGGAAACGCACAACTAAAATTCAAAAAAGAATTTCAATATTTTATTTTATTTGAAAATTAATTTCATATAAGCATACATAAGATGTGTACATGCTTCATCCCAATCATCATTATAAATAGCACCCATTGCTGTTGCTTTATTACGTAATTCAGATCTTAATGGATTTTGAAAACCACTTAAAACAAAAACAATATTTTTCATTATCTTAGATTTATCTTGAGCTAGAATACAAATGAAAATTCTATTAATTAATAAAAAAAAATTATACATTTTTTCAAAATTACTTTTGCTGCGTTTAGTTTCATTCTCATTAATTGATGATTCTAATTCATCTGATATACGACGTTTTGACAAACGATTTGGAGTATTCTAAAGAAAAATCTATTTCTGTTTTTTTTTTTTCTTTTTGAAATTAAAGACACTGTTTCTTTACTTTAACATCCTTTTTTAATAATGTTTGAATTTCATTATCATTCATTGATTTTCTACTTAACAATTCATCGGCAACATTCGATAAAGCACGTATTTGATCACTAGCACTTGGTTCGGAAGTTTTTAAAGTTTTTTCAGCTTGTTTCTTAGCAAAAAATGAACCAATTTTACTTTGTTCTTTACCAGTTTCATCATCGTCATCATCATCATTACTAATAATAATAGAAGATTTATTTAACGATCCTGTTTGATTCGTTTCATCAGATGATGTTGATGGTGAATATAATTTAATAAAACATAAACCAAATTGATTTAAACGATTAAATTTTTGTTCACATATTATTTTTAATCGGTCCCATTTTTCATTTAAACATGCTTTATTTAAATCATATGATTTTAATAATTTAACTTGATTACGATTTGTATTTGAACGTGATTCACTTGGTGTCATAAGAAGTGTTGCTGGTAATAAAAGTGTCCAATCGTCTGTTTTTGATGATGATGATCGAGATACTAACAATTCAATAAATGCACTACCATCATTACCAATATCAATAGATGATATTAAACTAGATTTTTCAAATTCAAGAATACATGTTAAACGTTCATCACTACCTTTTGATGATAACCATTTTTTATATTGTTCAGGTTTTAATAAATTTTCGGCACAATGAATCTTAACAAAGAAAGTTATGTAATATACATATATTTGGTTTCTTAAGACTAACTCGATCTTCACTAGAACAAGAAAGAACATTTCGAAAATTAATTAATGGCATGGAAATTGTTTGGTTATCTGAAATAAAAAGAAAAGACTTAGTGAATTATGATAGAAGTAAAAAAAAACACCAAAAAAATCAATTCAAATGTAGAATGGAGCGATCAAGTCGTAAGAACATTTATGATTGGTAAAATAATCGATAATGTGAAGAAATTTACAACGTTTACATCAGAGGACGCTAATAAATTTTATATTATAGAGGACACTAAAATACGTCGATCATTTTCTTTTTTTTTTGTTTATCTTCGAGCAGAAGAGCTATATGTAGTACAGGTATAGTGTAAACCTATCGGCGAGCCACCGCCGCGACACAAAAATATATATTTGACTTTTAAAAATCTTCCAACGTCGCAAACCAATTTTTTAAGTTGATACCATCTAAATTTTTGTCAATAAATCCTCTACCATTTTTTTCTTTCCTTTTCATTTCAAAATTTTTTAAGAATTCATCGAAAAATTTCAGCCACTGTCGGTACTAATCAATGCATCGACTGATATCCTTATTTTCGATTTTTATTAGTGAACGTTGGTTTTCGAATAAATGCTATCTTCCTATATCCTACGTTTATTTACATTAACGACGGTCGGCCGACAATTTTTGGTCAGTTCGAATTACATTGATTATGAATATCACTACTAAATTTTATTCACAAATAGAAAATGAAAGAAAAAAAACCATAGAGATATATTGCTTAATGAAATATTTATTGTAAATGCTGACAAATCAGAAACAGAAAAATACATTAAATTACATTATAAAAACAGTGTGCTGTTCGAAACAACGACCCAATCAAAATTAGTTTTTATTTAATTAAGAAACTAGAGCTGTTGCTTCTAACTCAGATGTTGTAAGTGTAGTCTCTTGAAAAGAATTTTGTTCATCATTATTCATATTTGTTGAAGTAGTTATTGATTGTTGAGCTGCAGTAGCCAAAACACTAGGTGACATTGTTCGATAGGAGTCAGTTAAACTAACTATACGATATGGATCACCATCAGCAACCCATTCTTCAAGCATATACATTCTTGCACGAGCTATGTCATTCAACATAGTTTCATCAATTGAAAAAGTATTTATAGTTATATGCATGAGAGTAAAAAGTAAAGCAGCTGGAATAAATTGTAGTATACTTAAAATACAATCAATAACTTCACCATAATTGTGACCTTTATCAATCTGATAAAGAATACGTAAACGACGAAGCCATAATTCGACTTCAATGGTCGTAAATGGAATACAAATATTATGTGCATCATAAAAATTCGGTAATCGAGTTTTATCAAGAACAAGGACATAACGAGAATGACTATTTGATGGTGATCCATTTTTATCATTTGATTTTGAATAACTTAATGTAGATTTAGTTATATGATGACGAGAATTTGATGCTGGTTGACGTGATGAATTGATACGATTTATATTATTACGAATTATTGATTCATTTTCTTGCTGTTGAGTTGAATCAAGCATTGAATCATTAGCATGAAAACTTTTTGATTTCATTGATGACTAAAAAAATAAAAATAAATAAAATAAAATAAAAATTAATTCAATTTCAATAATCACTTGTTCAAATTTTTGTTGTATTGGAAGTGAAACAAATTTATAAGATTGAAGTTGTTTCATTAAAACATCTTTACATATTTGCTTAAGATAATCAATCATATATTCATCAGCTAATAAAAGAAAGTCTTCTATATTATCATTTGTAATTTGTCCATTAAATTGCGGATAAATATATTTTAATAATTCAAGTATACTTTCACTTGTTTTACCTTCTAATATAATTTCATGAGCATTATGTTCTTTAAATTCACCGCTAAACATTCGATTAAATACAGGTGATACTAATGATAATAATAAGCGATGACAATAAAATCTTTCTTTTTCAACAACTAAAACAACGTCAGATTTAAGAATTTTTGATGAATCAGTAAAATAATCATATGGTGAAGGTAATGTTGATGATAATCGAAGTAATTCTGATGTCCATGACGATAATGATGACATCATTTGGTATATGATCAGAGAATATCTGTTTGAATTATTTTCTTTTTCTATTCATTAGAAAAAATTGCAAAAGTCACACAATATACTATTGCTTCACCTTTTCGCTTTTCTTTTTCGCTTTTCTGTTCTTGTTTCACTAGATCATTGTGCATTATTGCACATGTGTTTCGTTTTGATCTATCAAGACGATTGAAGTAGACAGAAGAAGTAAAACGAAAAAAAAACGACAAATAACAGTTTTGACGGGCAGAACCGCTATATGTTGTTACATCAAAGTTTATGGAAGAAGCAAACAAAGAATGAGAAGAAAAAGGTCTATGAGTAAATGTGTACTTGTCTTTAGTAAAGAATGTAAGAAGGGCTTTACAATAGATAAAGGCAATTATTTGAAGAATAAAATGTAATACTACAATGAATAAAAACAAAGATTATGAATGTAAATGTCGACCTACTTATCAATCTTGTACAGATAAAAAAAAAAATTTTTGTATTACCAGTACTAAACAAAGGAATGACAAAATATTGAAAAAGAAAACAAATGGTTTTTTTTTTGTTTTGAAAAATATATGAAAATCTTAATCATTTAGAATTATTTAGTTTATTTGAAAATATTGATTTCAATTATCTTATAATTTATCGAGCATAGAATAGTTACTGGAATAGTGCTTATTTTCTATAGATCATATTGACAGGGATATGACATTGAAATTAATTATCAAGAAAAACACGTTAATTCGTACATATTTTGGTTTATTTTCTGTATTTCTATTTTTTCAGCATTATTATTTTCATCCCAATGAAACGATCAATTAGTATGTTATCATTAATAACTAAAAAACTTCAAGTTTATATTTTATGTAGTTTTTTGAATCATTGTTTCTTTGAATAAAATCACAGTAAATAATTTTCAAAACAATTAATGCAAAAATTCATTACTTTCATAAATTCTTCGCTGACATTTTGGAGAAACAGTGACTAATTCAAAATATTTAAAAACTTTGTATACGTCAGATTCATTTTCATCATATAATCTGTCTTATCGTAGACGAAAAAGTTGATAGATCTTCTGTACTTATGCAAGAGCTAATCATATTTTGTACTTTGTTGAGCCATATTTTTAATCTGATGTCAAGAAAAATTAAGACACGTTATCAATACTATATCGAATATATTAAATGTTTTCTAACAAGATTTTTTCTTTCTACTTTTGTTAACAGTTCAATCGCTTCAATACTGGTCGAACTTTAAAAATCGGCTCGGACGATTTACAAGACAAAAAACAAAATAATCGAAAATTTACTAATGAATATTGATGATTCATAACTAAATTATCAATAAAATACGTCTGAAATGTTAAGAGATATGGCACCAAAATATAACGGAAGATCTGTCTCTCGAATAGTTTCCATTGACAGAAATGATATATAATAGATAGATATATGCTTATGAAATATATTTTTACAAAAATTGCTTCATTACAGTAATATCATCAACAAGTGCATAATCCTCTTCTATCTATAACTGATCAAGATATTCATCATTTATTGACTCTTATAATATCGAATCATCGTTAATAGTAAATTAATCAATCATTAATTTATGTTAAAACTTTTACGTTGATCCATGGTCGATATTTTAATTCAGGACTTGAACAATTTACATATCCAATATTAGCTTTCTTTCTATTCATTCTACCATGAGATAATAATGATGATCTGATCTCATTGATTATTAGTATTTTAGTTTTTGTAGAATTATGTCAGTGACGACAAAAATTTTCGGACTGAAATTCCTTGTAGATCCAAGAATCATTGAAATATTGATACAGCAGTTTGCCTAGACTTTGACGCATTTGCAGTGTTCGATGTTATCGTTGTTGGTGTTTGCGTAAGTATGATCATGCATGGTATTATGAAGCAAAATATTGCTCCGCCTTGAAGAAATCTATGATATCAAATTACTCATTGTGTATTTCAATCATTCCACATTTCTATCAAACTTCATCAAATACTTTCTTCTTATGATTTTTATGCATACAAGTCTTTATTTTAAACTCGATTAGATTGAATTATTAGATTTTCTAACTTTTGTTTTTCGTTACTAAGTCATGCATATGTCTTATTCGATTTTTCTCTATCTACTTGTGTTGTAAAATAATCAACAAAAACTATTAAAAAAAACTTATTCTTTATATACCTTCATCTACTATCTGACTATACTTCATGACAACATAATTCTTTTTTTGTGAAACATGATGTACAAGGAGTATTGAAGTATATAGAATAGAAATTTACATGTTCCCTGTCCACAGATCGTGACAGGCGTTGTTCATATACGATCACAGGTCGTATATCAATAACGACTCGTTGCAATATATTAGCTATTTCCTTATTATATTTCTCGAGGATTAAAAAAAAAGGAGATTGAAGAAATGTGTCTTAAGATGAACACAATGAAACAATCTCTCTATGACTACCAACAGCAGCTACATTGTGTTTCACATTTTTATCTTGCAAGAATTGTGCTAACAGCTTTTTGTTGTTAAATGACATTGAACAATCATCACAAACATTGAAGATGTCGTCTAATTCTATTTATTTTCAATTTCAAATCAATTAAAATAAAATATGACTTACACCATAGCAAAATTAATTTATTCTAATTCGATTAATTATTATAGATTTTTTTAATGTACTAAACTGAAAATGAACAGGTATCATCAAAACAAAAAAGACATGCAGGATTAAATCTTCTTTTTTCGTTGATTATAACGAACAAACTTATTAACATAAGTCTTATCATCTTTCGCAAACCCCTCTTTAATACATCGCAACAATCTTTACTCTAAAAAACAACCTTTTTTTGTAAATAGAAATCTCTATTGAGACATTAAAATCTTTTCAACATTAAAATTTTTCGATTAATAATAATAATCATAATAAGAATGTGCATGGCATGCATATGATCAATAAACGAAAAAAAAAAAAAGAAACGGAAACGAAACGAAAAGAAAAAAAGAACGAAAAAAGAAGAGGACAATTAAAGAGACTGTAAAACAACAATCACTTAATATTTGTTCATTAGTTCTGTACAATTTTTAACTTTTGAACATATCTGCAAGTAATTTCGACATTGATGTATTTCCAACTGTACGTGCAAAATAAGTTTTTTCAATTAATAATGATGGAATACTTCGTAATAATGGTAATGTTAAAAGTAATCGACCAAAACTAGACAGAACTTCATTAAAATTATCAAACAAACAAAACAAATGAAATTCATTTACCGAGTTGGTTGTGTTGGATTATGAATTTGTGTAAATTGAGCCAATGTTATTTGTGCTTGATCTTGTAAATTTTCGACCATTTTTGATTCTCTTAATGATCGAATATCTAATTTAAAAGAGAATTTTTTTTTTATTTTTTTTTTTCTACAAAGAAAATTTTCATTTGCATACCGAAACGGAAAAGAACTATAGCTTTTAAACAAGCAAATTCAATTGGATCAAGTTTTAATTGTTTAAAACGATATAAAATATCATTTAATAAACGATAAATAGACTTTCCATTTTCATTATCTAATTGATAACGATTAAGAGCTGTTGTAAAAAGAGGTCCACCATTATCTAATGATGTTGAACATTGTATAGCCCAAAGAAGAAATAATTCTGACCAAGATTCTTCTAATAAAATCAACTAAAAAAAAAAGAAAGAAATTTATTTGACAGATGGAGAAAAAAAGTAATTTTTTTTTGTTCTTGAAGATTAACCATGATACTTCTAAATCTCTTCTACTTGACAATTTTTAGTTCATCTTATTATCACTCTTATGTTGATTGAATGTGAATTTATTTATTTCTTGATCCTTCTTTCATCATTTGATTATTTGAATAGACAACGATATGTATCGAGTTCATCAAAAGATGTTCACGTTTTCAAATGACATGATATTTCAGGATTAGAATATGTCAATAAAAAACATTATTTGAACTTGTTTCTTTTGATAGATATAGATATATATGTATATATAAATATAAATAATACCTGATCACGAAAAGGTAAACTTGAAAATGTTGGTAAATTACGAATCCATTTAACAATCATTAAAAGTATTTGTGCTGATGTTGCAGATATTTGATCATCTGTTTCATTAGGAAATACTTGTGATGTTGATAAATCACATTCATCTTAAAATAGAACGAAAAAAATTAACAAGTTTTGAAAGAAAAAAAAAGAAGATGTTTTGCTTTCTTATTTACCATCTTGTTTAATTGATGATGTACTACCTTCACCAGGTGATGAAGCTGGATTAGAATTTGTTGGTCGATGATGCATAACTGATACTGTTGTACCATTACCATCACAATTAAAATCAATTGAATCAGCACGAACTTGAGCACTATTACGTGGTTGACGTTCATTTTGTACAGCTTAAGACAAAAATTCATATAATTCTTTTTTTCATACATATAACAGTGACAGAGAGCCAGGGAGGCTCAATTCTTCCCACTGGCAAGACTTTTAAAATTTTTTTTTTTCGATTTGATTGAAAGTTATATTTTACTGTATTTTCTTTCCTTCAACAGCGCATCAGAGTTCCACAAAATCAGATATATGTGTTAAAATGTCTTATTGCAAAGTTCACAAATCTTTCTCGAGAAGGATAGCTAAGCCCAAAGTTTTGGATCCACCACTGACATATTAAGAGACTTTACCTTCTTTTATCATACCCATTTGTAAGCACTAAAAAGAAATACCAAAATTATTATATCAAAATATTATTGATTTACATTACCTTTTTAAGTCGACAAGCTTGACATTGATTACGATGTGCTTTATCAACAATACACATACCTGTGTTAGCTTGACATCTAAATAATGCAAATGAATATTTTCATAATATGCTAAATAAGAAAAAAAAACCAATCTAACCGATAGATTAATTTTCGTCTAACGCTTCTTTTAAAAAATCCACTACAACCATTGCACGCTAATATTCCATAATGTTTCCCACTTGAAATATCCCCACAAACAGCACAAATTAAATTATTTCCAACATTATGATTTGATGAAATTGTATTTGCTCCTACAACTCCAACAGCAGCCGCAGCGGCAGCAGCAGCTAATTTAGCAGCTTGTTGATTACGTTGTTGCTCAGCAACAACAGCCGCTGCAGCTGCTTCAGTATATTTAGCCATATTAGCAAAATAAGCATGAGGTGAGATTGGATATGGTTGTACAACTGCATAGCGATGATTTGTAAATGAATGAGGTCGAACCATTTTTGATGATGAGGATGATGATGGTAAACACATTGAAAGGATACCAAATGGATTTTCAGCATTTGAAGCTGTTTTAGGAGGTATTAAAGAATTATAATAATTTAAATTTGGTTCTTCTTTTGGTTGAACAAGTTGTTCTTGTTCATCATTATTGCTTTCATTAGTACTATGATTACTATTATCATCATCATTAATTGTTGGACTTGTTTCATTTGGTGATGAACAATCTAATCAAAGAATAAATATATACAAATCAAATTCATTCCGTATTTCTTTTTTTTGCTCATTCCGTTTTTTTTAGATTAAGATTTGCCGCTCACACTTCTCTTCTTTCTCATTCATCCTTATGAGAACAACAACACTACTCAAAATGATGATGATGATGTGTGTATGTGATTAATTTTATATAGAATCTGTGTACTGGTAGCTACATTGCTTGACAAGTTTAACGATGTTAATTTAGCCAGAGTGAACACATACTCAGCATGATGTCTTCAAATCATTGATCACTTGTGCGAAGGAAGAAGATGAAGAAAAAAAAGAGAGATCGATGTGATGTGCGTCTAATTTGTTCTACTTCGTCGCTGCATGATTATTATTATCATCATCATCATCGCCTTTATATATATATATATATATGAAATATTCGATCGAGCAAAAAGAAGATAAGTTTTTTAGACTTAATTGGATAACGTGCTGTCGTTGTCGTCAACTTCCAATTCTCAATTTCTAGAAAGAAATCTATTGAATTATCATCGTGCAAATAACAATTGAACAGGCAAAGTCTAATCGAAAAAAGAGAACATGTCATAGACAATAGGACGACAAGTGAATGTCTCAAGATAATCATTGTTCACTAGACAATTTACGGTTCGCAAGACTTACTCACGCATTTACATATCAATCGAAAAAAGTTTTAGGATATGTTTAATAGAAAAAAAAGTGAAAAGAAATAGGAAATAAACTATAACTCAAAAAGAGCAAAAAAAAAAGAATTTCGAAATGATACAAATATATATACATACCATCGTTGTTTGATGATTTATTATTATTATTATTATTATTATTTTCATTAATATCCATAATTAAAGAGACAATGAAAGAAAGAAAAAAAACACAAAAATTTGTCGTCTTGCACAAAAAAAACAAAAATGTCAAGTGTTTTAGGTGTAAATCAAGCGCGAGGCGTCGAGATCGAATGAAAGAGCACTACCAACCATCATCAGCGATCAACTTAATTTCGAGTGGTTGGAAAGAGAGAGAAAAAGAGCAAAAGAAAATCTTTCATTGGTTCATATCAGTTAAAGATTTGAGGAAAAAAGAAAAAAAAAATCTTCGTCTTTTTTTCTTCTTCTTCTTCTGTTTCTTTCAACGAATCAGCTTCTTCACAATTTTCTTCGTCTCCTTTTATGTGACATGTCAGAGAGCGGTATGGCATACAAAACGGAGACAGGGAGAGAGAGAGAGAGGGAAGAAAAAGAGATTTACTGCTATTGCACTGACTACCAATGTTGAAATTGGGGATTAATAAGAGGAACCATCGGATATGAAATATTTTTTTTCCTTCTCTTATACTAAGACTGAATCAGGCACGCATATTCAATGTTACAAAAAAGAAATCTTTGACATATATTTATCAAGTAAAGCAAAAAGAAAAACAGGAAGAAAATTGTTAGATTAACTATCGAAGAAAATAGTAAAATTAATTTGAATATGTAGATCAGTGAATTGGTGACAGAATTTATAATATGTAGATATTTTTATTTACTTATAGTCTTTTAAATAACAGAAAAACATCTTATCAAGTTTGTTTTTATTGACAGATGTATTGCCAACAAAAAACGAATGTCATTTTCTTTCTTTCTTTCTTTTTTTTCTCTTCATCAAATTGAATGAACAACGAATGCGTGTTAAAGGCTTATCATTTCAATTTATTTCAACAATATATTCCATCCTTACTAGTAAATCTAACATACACCTAGATATAGTTTTAAATCGTTGAATAAATAGAAAATGAATTTGATCATCAACATGTATAAAGACTATAGTAGGTATAATTGATGTGACACGTGTGAATTTAACCAAGCGAATAATGACTTTTTCTTCGATAGAAGACCAAGAAAAAAAGAAAAAGAAAAAAGTTATCTTTCACAAAAAATTCTATGACAGATGAATCGATTAGATTTCGCGTGTTCTTTGTTTTATGCATATTATATATGTGTTTTACACTTGAAATTTACCGTTTTTTCTTTTCTTCTTCGTTTTTTTTAACAATCTTTTCTTGCTTAATGAGACACGCAGCAAGTTATAACTATGCACTGTAAACGTCAATCATAATGTCGTCGGTCTGCCAACAACAAGTGGATTTGTCCTAACTTTGACGCGATTTGTCACACGCACATATTTCTAAACGTCATGCATGCTTTCGGAATGTCTCATTAGAGGAGTTGAACATTTTGTAATCTTTAGAATATAATAGAAAATTTCGTTTAATATACACACACACACACACACACACAGAGTTATCAAAAAAGAAAAAAATGACAAAAAAGGTAGTTCGTTCAATCACAGTGAATATGACAAGAGGATAAGAGAAAAAAAACTTTATGTATTCACACTCATAACTATAATAATAAAGGATGTTAGGGAGAAAATCAAAAATATGAAAGAACAGAACATTGATAAGGGCGTTTTTTTTCTTCGCTTTTAGCGTAATCCAAATCCTGCAGCATTATCAATAGCTATAGAAAGTTTTTCTCGTAATTTTTCAATTGATGAATAATCAGGAAGGAGAAGAGCATTGAAACATGTGTGTGCTGTTGGTAAACGATCAGTATCTGGACCATTACGAGATATAATTAATTTTAATCTAGCTAAACCACCAATACTAAAAATAGAAATCTTGATTGTTATTTTTTCATTAATTAAAAGATAAGAAATAACGTACGGAGCACGATCACTACCAGTAGTAAATCGTAAAAATTTTCGTTTTTGTTCATCAGTAAAAGTCATTAGGACAGACCAAAAGTTTCTAAATTAAAAATAAAAATGAATAATTTTATTCAACTATATTCTTTGAACATATAAAGAACTATTAATTATAAACAAACGAATTATACTCTTCAAAAGAGATCATTGGTGAATGATTAAAAAAAAGAAAAGATATGAAGGTCTATTTGTTACAATCAATAGATATATTAAATCCAACTAAGGACATTCGTAGTTAGAAACAAACAATAGTTTAATGTTACAATTTTTTTCTATTTATTCGATTGATATAATTAAATTTAATCTTGATTTCATACTGCTTGAACTATTTTAATTACTTGCAAATATACTCCTACAGCTGGTTTACTTTCACAAGCATCATCATCTTTAATTAGGTGAAGAATAACACTGCTAATAATTAAGATGTATTCATTCTTCCGATCTGAAAAAGAATAGAACTTTTTTTATTCTATTACATCAAAAGTAACTCGTCGTGTTAGATCAATAATGAACTCAGAGCAGCCAGGGATGTCTCGATACCGATCAGAAGATTCTTGATAAAATAACAAAACGCTGAAGCTCCACTGAAGAAAACGAAAATTCTGTAAGATGGGGGTGGAGTGAGGGAGAGATGCCAGCCCTGAGTTGTAACCGGCCGAGAATATTTGGATCAATCCTGTCAGACCAGTTTATTAGATTATTATTAATCGATTAATGGAAATGGCTTCAAAACAACATTCATTTTCCTTTTTGCGCTCAGATTTTTATAAATCTTCAGGAAAAGAAAAATTATATGATAGTTGTTTATATATGTTAAGTTTTCCAAAGATAAATGTGATATCTCTATATGTAGCGCGAAAAAAAGAGTCATTTACTCATCAACTAATTGTTAAACTGTAAATCTTGAATTTTCTCAAAAAGCTTTTTCGAATAAACCTAACGTTCCTCTACAAACAATGATCCAAATCTAAATTTGATCTTTACCAAAATAATATATATTATAAGTTGAAGTCTAGCAACATAGTTTTGATTGTATTTAAAAAAACAAATGAAATATACTTTGATTAAGGAAATAAACCAGTATGAACAAAGAGAAAAAAAAAATAAAACTGATAATTTTAGAAATAACACTGTTTGATTATGTTGATAAGAGTTAGCAAACTTGCTCTGAATAAGTTTTATCGGAGAAAAATGACATATCTGTAAAATATTTTTCAATCAATGAAGACCGATCGAATCTGTTATAACTTTTAGTCATCCCCCTTGAGTTTTATGAGTAAATCTTTAAGTACAATGGATGATCTTTTTTTCTTCAACTAATGATAAATAGATTACATTTTGTAAATGATAACCGAAAAAACCTACTTAATTGTGAGACTATCTTTTGTATAACCACCATCATAATCAGCAGCTGAAGCGAGTTGATTAAAATCAAGTACTTGACTACCAGCAACAAGTAAATCAATTTCATCTGCTCGAAATAATTTTCTTAACGAACTATCACGTGTTACCAATAAGAATCCATGATAAAACGGATGAAATTGTTTTTCAATACTTTTGTTTAACAAAAGATCGCTATAAAGACGTACAAATTCCTATAGAATAACAAGAAAATTCAGTGATTAGAATTATGAAGACGAAACAAGAAATTCATTTGATAACCTCTCGATTAGCATTTGTTACTGGAATTATTTCTCCATTTTCTTTTAAATCAAATAATAATCGTGAACCAATTGCATCAGTAATAGCAACTTGAAATGTTAAACCAAATGCATCTTCAATCGTGATACCTTCGTTTTCTTCATTAAATGTTAAAAGACTTTTTAAACTTCTATATATGGTCTAAAGAATAAAGATTTTTTCAATAAAAATTATTTATAAGGAAAGAAGAAAGAAATCTACCGGATGTGATGTTTCAAGATCTTCAAAAGTACCAATTTTAGCAATTAGTTTACGATAAATAACAGGTGGAAATTTAGTATCAAGAATAATTGAATTATATATAGCTAAACCTAATAACATGCCTATTAATGTATATTCACGATCGAGATCTTCAGCTGCTGATGGATTAAACCATAAACAACGTGTTTCTTCATTTGTCATAAACATACCTAAAATGACAAGAAGAATTGTTTTCGTTAAAAGATTTATACATAAAACTCTGCATTATATCTATATATCTATATATAAGAGATCAAGTTAATAATGAAATTGTTCGTCTTTTGAATACATTTTGTTAACGGTTTGTCTGAGTAATCCTGGTATCGAAAGAGTGAATTTGTTAGTATTCCAATGGATTTTATTTTTCTTATGAGTTTTGAACGGTTGACTAAGAAAAAATGAGCGACATCTTATGTTGTTATTTACACTATACTTGACAAAATGTGCTTTTCACTTTTTGTATTTAGCTCACACTTTTGTCTTTCGGAATAAACGTATGAAAGGCCTTAAAAACTTTTAATGACTCGAACTATACTTCAGATTTTTTGTTCAGATAGATAAAGTAGTAACCGAAGTACAACAAATGAAAAGTATTTTTTCTAGAACATAGTTTAAGGAACAAAATAAGATATGACACACATTTTCTTAGTCAATCGTTCAAAATTTGTGAGAAAAATAAAATGTATGGAACTGGTAAACACATTCACTGTTCTCCAGTAGCAGAAATAATCGAACAAGTCGTTTAAACTATTCGCATGAAAATAAACATCGAAAATATTAGAAAGAAATGGAAACAACTAACGTAATACATTTCATATTAACAATTGATACGCATTGGTTCTTCATTACTAATTAGTTGAACGTATTATCTGTTAATTAATTTTCGTCGACTAGATGCCTTATATCAATCTTTTCTTTACCAATATCCATAGGCGTGGATGTAGCTATCGATTGGTAAAAAAGATTAGTTTGCTTCATTGCTGTCTCTATAAAAACATGACTTGCAAAATCGATAGGATTAAAAGAATAGTCATTTTCAAAGAATTCTTTTTCATCTAGAGACAATATATATATATCTCGCGTACGTGTTGTATGATATATGTCGACGAAAATACTTTTTAATGGATCAAATGCGTTTCAAAAGCTTCCGAATAGTTTGACGAATCAGAGATGATAAAACATTAAATGAGCACTATGATAACCATCGAGAGGTAAACCGAAGAATGATGCATATCATGCAGAGTTTCTTTTAATAAATTTTATCATATTAGAATTTAAGTAAAATATTTATTGTCGATTCAATTCCTTCATTGATAATATTACTACTTTGAGACAAAAAAACATGTTTTAAAAGATGCGTATCTCAAATAATAATATCTGTTGTTGACAATATGTTTTCATATATTCAACTTTTCCTTTATTCTATCAGTCTAATTAACCCTATCCCAATAGACTGAAAAAAAGTAGAATATTTTAAGTTATTTCAACCTTTGCTTTTTTAATGCTCACCGTAATGATCAGATTATTCATTGAACAAGATAATGTGTCTGGTTCAATGACTCTTTCTGAAACTAACATAAGGAATGAAGTGAAGGATTAAATTGACTCTACAATTCTTCTATACGAATTAAGATCTCGAAAAAGAAACTTTTCATTTAAAATCAAATATGCTCGAATTATTTTTCAGCTGTTACTATGAATGTTGACTAAACGTCATTACCTTCAAGAAATTATATTCAACGTAAAATAAAAAGAAAAATTTATAAAATTAAATTCGCTACCAAAACAGAATTAATTTTAAGCAACGAACCGTATTCTGGATTAAAAATTTGCTCAGTAATAAGTTGAAAAAATTCTTTTGATAATCCCCCTAGAAACAAATAATAATAATAATAATAATAATAATTAATAAAATACAGAAAAAAAAACGAAATTTCAAAGTAATATTCAATACCTTCATCATGACCTTGTTCACCGTCGAATTCGACAAAGAATTGTTTTTTAAGTTCCTCAGGATGTTCAATACCTTGATATTCGAGCTAGACAAAATAAATTGTCTTCTATGGAAAGAAAATTTGTGTGAGGAAACACAGATGATTTTCACATACCGAAATAAGAGCATCTTCAATTAAATGATTACGTCGAACATGTATTTTAAAAAATGGATTTAGACGAATTGAACTAAATATATTATGAACAAATATTGAACGTCGTTGAAGATACATTCGTGCTTTACTTTCAATATTAAGTAAGGCTTTAAAAAAATGGAAACAAAATAGTTTATGAAAATAAAATTTATATTTAAATTACCTATTTTATTTATCGTTGATAAAAAAAATGGATAAAAAATAAATGAAAATTGAATAAAACTAGTTGGTTGTTGAATAAAATTTAGATATTCTTTTCTAATGTCGATTTTTTCATTAGCACATTCATTAACAAATATATCAAATGGATATTGACCCTGTCGATACTCATTTGGTTTAAGACTAAGTTTTATTTGTAAAGGGTTTTCATATGGAGATTCGAGGTCATCTACTTCATTGGTTGATTTACGTGTTGTTGTTGTTGCTGCTGCTGCTGCTGTTGAAGATGTCGAAGTTGCGGAAGTATTTTCACCACTGGATGGTTTTTGTTCATTTTTATGTTGTTCTTCATTATCACTAGCATCATCATTATGTCGTTGACGACGTTTAACTAATTCGATTTCCATTGTTTCATAATTTTTGCGTTCAGTTTCTATAATTTCTAATGAATCACGTTGACTACTAAGAAGATTCGCATAGAATAGTAGACGTAACGCATTGACACCTTCTTTCATTCCTAATAAAATAAAGAAAAATAAATACTTAAAAACCATGGTATGTAAATTGGTGATGAATTGTCAAGAAAAAGCAATTCTATAAATAATCGTAAAAGGTTTCGTCTTTCAATTTTATCTATTGATTAACAGTATTTTGATAAGCTAATCATTGACTAATAACTGTTGTTCTTCGACAACTGATTCTATAGATTAGTTCTTGTCGCATGTAATCATTGCATATAAAAATCTTCTAATGAGTAATATGCTCGAGATTTGTTCAACCCAAATTACGTAAATCTTTAGTCTGTCAATGAATGATTAAGCCTATGTAACATGAGTTCTGTCATTTTAAAATCTATATGACGGTCATGAGAACAGTACTTTTGTTGAATTCACATAGAGCTAAGTAACAGTGCAATCAAGTTTTCGACACATTAAAGAAGTATAAAGATTTTGACATCATATAAAAGATCATTTTTTTGGAAATTTTCTCTTGCGAGTAAACGACGAAGAGTAGACCAGAAGAGCAAATCATTCTATTTTGTTTTTATTTTCTCACGTTCGACCAAAATCAACAAAACTTTAATCCTTTAATGACAGACTCATCTTTTATAAAAGAAATTAAATGTTTATGGCAAGATTCGTTGTAACTTGCAATCACAATTGTTATACTTATACTTATTTTAAACTATATACCTAGTGAAGTTTGAGATAGAAAAATAATAAAACTAAGTAGATAAAAAAAATCTCTCGTCATATACTTCGAAGGTTCTTCTTTTTTTTAAATATAAAAAGTGGGCTTCTTGTAAACCACGCGATCACAACATCCACAATCATCCAAAGAAAGCGTGAAGCCATAGATAATCAAGATCAATCAACAAAAGTGAAATCTATATTTAAAAAATCACTTCATATATAATCAGATGCAGATTTAAACAGTTTAACGAATATTCAATCATCTACAACAACCTAAATACTCACACTTTACAAAATAATAAGGATCTAACAATGGCCATATATCTGATTTATAATCGATCTAAACACATTTCAGATCGGTGGATTTATATAGTGACGACATTTAGCTGACAATATTTTAGTATTTTCTTTTTTTTTGGATGATCATAATTATCCATTAGGTGTTCGTGCTTTCTCTGGATGATTATCAATGATCACATGGTTTATAAGAGTTCTTGAAACTGAAAAATAAACAAGTGTCAACTTTGAATAATTCATCACCTGGTTCACTTGATAGAAGTTCGTCATTATCAGATGTAATTTGTACATGATTACACCAACGTAAAGTGTGCAGAGTTATATATTGTTGTACATGTGAAATATAATCATTTAAATTGTTTGTATGTTTTGATACAATACGTACAAATTTTGCTTGTGCATCAATAGATAAATTTGTTAAAATAGAATAAAATAAACGAGCAATATCAAAAAGAAAAGATGGATCAGAAAGATATGGTAATTCAAATATGATAAAGAATAAATTAAAAAAATTTGCGTCCGTTTCAAGTTCATGTTGTTTTGATTTTAATTCATATTGTAATTGATTTAATAATGAATCTAATGATTTATGAATTGTTAAAGATAAATGATCTTCATAAGAACTTAATAATTTTATTGAACGTTTCATAACATCAATATCTAATGTTATTTCATCATTATCAAGTGTTATACGAGGATCGTGTACGAAAAAACCTAAAATTTATTTCAACAAAAATAAATTGTTTTAAGAAGAACAAATGAATATTTTACTCTTTGGTGTAGCACTTGCTGTTGATAAAAATTCTGCATTCATTAAAATATTATTTGAAAAATCTTCTTTTAAAAAATTATTTAATAAATTTAAACGCTTTGAAAAAATATCTTCTAATGATTTATTTAATAAATTCCAATTATTCATTTTTTTACAATAATTAATCAATTCTTGAAGATTATTTTCTGTTAAATTATTTATTTTAAGTTTTTCTTCATGTTCTTTTATAATATTTTCATCAACACATAATGGTACATGTTCCAAACTCAGTCGAATAGCTTCAGCAGCTACTTCATTTCGATCGTCTGCAATTGTTTTAATGTATTTAAATAATGAACTTGATCGACAATACATATTTGAGCATTGAGTATTTCCTATCGATTAAAAAAACGAACTTTAATGAAAACTAATGTGAATTAAATTTTTTTATATACCACAGCCATGAATTAATTGATGAAAATAGCGATGAATAATTTTTCCTGCTAGATAAAGGTAAAAAATTTATCGGAGAAAAAAAAAACATTAGTATTCAAATTAATACCGGCTGACATTGAATTTGTTTGAATATATATAGATCTTAATGCCTTTTACTTTCTAGAATATGAAATTTTTATTTTGGAAAAATATTCTACTAAATACTTATGTGATATTAAATCTTAGTTTTTGTTTTTTTCAAGTGCTTCCTCAGATTTATACTACAAAGATATTTTAAGTATTTGTTTGCCACTATTTTACCACAGCTACGAAGTATATATGCCAATAGAACGTTGATGAAACTAGGAAGAAAACAATGTTAAGGGAAAATTCTACAGAGGGCGTTTGTAGAGTTATTTATTATATTGAAAAAAAAAAGCGGGAATAGATATTTTGATTAATCATTGAACAATGAATACATCTAAAAATGTAAGTAATACAATTAGTTATCTTTTTAATATATCACATAGAACATTTATAGAAAGCAACTCGTCAATTAAATATTGATGACGATCAAAATACAATGGCTGATTTTGTTACTGAGTTTACTAGTAGGTTCAGAAATATCATTAATAGATCGGAGTGATGAAACAAACTTTAATTTATTTTTATTTACTTAGCTTATCCAGAGATTTCTTTGTTTTTGATTATTTTTTACAAAGTAATAGATTGTAGTGATGAGAATCTGTGTCACTTTAATAAACCATTGTCGAATAGAATGATATTAATAAAACCTCTATAGTTTTATCATTAATAATTCGAGTTTTTCTTCATCAATTTCCTCATGTTGATATTCAAATCAAAAGTAGTTGAATTTATTTGATTTATTTTATAGCATATGAAGCATTTCTCGATAGTCAAATATCAGAAATTGATCAAAATTATTTACAGGCAAGATTTCTTTTTATTGCAAAAAGAAAATAACAAAAGCTAATCGCTCTCTGGTGGTTTTTTTTTCAATGTTAAGGATAGTGATATAGCACGTGAATTTGTTGAATTAGGCTATCGAGGTATTGGTCATACTATATCTCGAAAAGATTTTCAAGAACGTAAACATCGTGCTGAACTTATTCTCCAGTCTCGTCGACAAGGTCCAATACCAATAATAAGTGATTCATTAACTGTTATGGAACCATTTGCTAAAGCACTTGCTTCACGTGAAGAAGCTAATCGAACAACACGTTTGTTAACAATCATATTTATACGTGATCGAAATAATATTGGTCATGAAATATCAGCATATATTGATTATGCATATCGATTAAAATTTGAAGATTTTACACAATTTTTTATTGGACAAAATAAACTTGTACCATCAACAACAGATTTAAGCTTTTATAATTGGGATACACATATGTGTACATCAAATGATACGAATAATTTTCATTTATTACCTGATGTTAATGGAATACGATTTCGATGTGAACATGATAGAAAAATTGTTTATGTTGATCCAGAATCAAAGCATTATGGAGATGGAACAACACGAACAAGTATAAATTCAATTGGATATCTACAAATTATTGTCTATGTAAATGTTGAAAGTCTTTTTCTTCTTTTTTTTTTTGAAATACTTACAAAATCATTATTTTGTTTTTTTTTCGAAACAAATAACGATATACATATTAACTCTTTAGAAATCGAGTTCATGAATCTGACTAAGAGAAAAAATCTTTCAATACAGTAAAAATAAGATTTTTAATATAGATTCTATTCCAATATACATACTAACACATACAGACGTTATAAAATAGTCTAGGTATAATATACGTATATTTAGCTCAGTATAGTTTATCATCGTTCATGGCGTATTTGTTTTATAAAGTTAATACCGGAAAGAAATTTAAATTTATAGATTATCGTTTACAGCTGATTCGTGAAATCTTAATAACTTAGAGTGCTTCGAAATCTACAAGCAGTCTTTCTGTATTGACTCATTAACCAAACAAGACACTTTGGGTCTTTTATACTTCAAACAGCACACAGAAAAAAGCTACTAAAACAATTTGTGTTGTATGTACACACACAAGTCGAATATCTAGAAAGATAACTGATTCGTGCTATATTGATAAAGATTGTAATGAAGGTCTTTGTGTTGTTGATATTTTCCAGGGATCTCATACTTTATTACATATTTAGGTTCTTTTTTTGCATTAACTTCCCTTTTCATATGTGTTATGGAATTGTTGTCTGCCATACTGCTTGGACATAGGTTTTGTTCCTTTCGTTTAAAAATAAACCTCGTAAATCTTTTATATTAAGTCTGGATGAAAAAATTATCAATAACAATTTTCAACTACAGTCGTCGACAAAAGTTGTTGTCACCAATAAAATATTATTATTCTTGATGACAGTGAATTGATATTAAGAATATATGCGGACGACAATAAACCGTGATCATATGCACTAACACTCCCTTGATCAGTTCACGTCTACTACGATTATGATTCAAACAATATCTTTCAACTGTGAAAAACATATTCACCGGAAATATACAATCAAAAAGTTTTTGTTTGTCAATTTGCTGTTTCACAGGCTACTACTGATTTTTCTGGTGTTGAAAGTAGTCTCATATGTCTGCTTTATTATCATCAAAGCCCGTAATATATAGTGAAGATCTTAATAATTAGCATAGTCTGAGATAGTAAACCCATATCGTAGCACTAACTCGACTTGATTCAGTGCTGCAACTCAAACACTTTCAGTATTGATTCGTCGTCTCATGGAACAGATCTATCTTACTAAAAAAAAACAGGATTTGTTTTTCAGTAGATATTCTTAATGAGCAAACAATATCTCAGTTATTTTAATGTTATTTCTAACAAAATTCAAACAAAAATTAGCTACTGCATTGATCGCTTGAATGACAGCCCATGTAAGAAAATGACTCAAAATTAGATCAAAATCGATTATTTTCGAATTAATAATCTGTTATCATGGCACTATTTTAATCTGATTAAAATCAAATTTTTCCACATTAAAAGAAAAAATAATTTTAATTTTAATCGATTAAATAATTTAACCATCAGTGTTAATGGATTAAATTTTGGTAATCGAAAAAAATAGATTAAAAAAGATTAAAATCAATATAATTTTTTCTTTTAATGCTAAAAAATCTGATTTTTAGGCGTCTTTTTCTTACATGGGAGGTTGGACAAAAATATTTTTCTCAACATAATTCAGATAAGGTGATAACAAGAGAAAGGCGACGTATGAGTCATAGATCCAGTAGTAACTGTGAATTGATGCAATATGAATTGCTATTTGTGATTAGAGTATATTGTTACATGCATGTGCCTATAATATCAGCTCAATATCATACAGAATAGTATCACTTCATTAGGGACAGCTGCGTTTATTCAGGACTGCATAATTGATTTCGTGAATGAAAATTCAAATTCTTTTTCTCTGCAAAAACACCGACCGGTTCTCTCCAAGGGTTTTAACTATTCTTCGAACTATGCTGTGTTTTTTATTTTATTTCAGGATCATTATTTACGTCGAAAAAAATTTTAAATCAAAACTAAAAAATCAATAATGTTTTTTGTTTTGTTCACATTTGAACTATGTGATCGGATGGTTATATATTTTCTTTTTTATGTCTGATTTAAACAACCGGCTGACTCACACAGTAATTATACAAAAAAAAGAGCACACATACACATTAATAGCAAAAACAAGAGGAAAAAAAGAGCAAATACAATTGATGACATATATATCAAACAACAACAAAAACGAGAAACAAAATGAAATAAATCAGATATTGTGTGTTTTTCAAAAACATCTTATGTCTGGATACATGTAAATTGAATAGTTTCATGTACAACACAAAGAGACAAACAAAACAGAATGAATAAATATTATTATTTTTTTTGTTTGCTTTCAGCACGATATGCATCAAGTTCAGCATCAAGATCTTCAGCTGTAACGTCTTCTTTTTTTCTGCTCGTGCCATTTTGTTGTTGTTGTCTACCACCACGTGTTCGATTACCTCGAACATTATTTTGTTGATTAATATTACGAGTACGAGGTTGTTGTGCTCTATTGTTACCTACATTAGCTAATGAAAAACGATTTGATTGTGGTTTTGATCCATCATTGATACTACCGACAAGTCTGATGTCCATTGGACGACCTAAACATAAAACAACGAAATAACGTTAAGAATATTATTTTTTTGTTTTCAATAATATACCATCAAGATTAAGAGTATTATATTTTTGTTGAGCAGTAACAGCATCAGCACGGCGTTCATATATAACTTCAGCTGTGCCTAAAGATCGACCACTTTCATCAAAATGTACACGAGCTGCACGTACAGCTCCTACATCTTCAAATAATTCCTTAAAAATAAGAATAAAAAGATATATATTTCAAGTTGTTATAGAAAAATAAAATAAATTCTTACTGTAATATCATTTGTAGTTACACCGAACTCAAGATTTGAAATAAGTAATTTTGTTGTACTATTCACACCCGGATTTCGTTGTATTTCTCGATTTCGATTTGTATTATCATCATAAAGATCATGTTTCCAACGACCTGTTGCTGATGGATTTGATGTTCGAGGCTAAATAAAAACGAATAAAATAATAAACAAAAAATAAACATACAAAAAAAATTCTTACTATTCCACCATCACCACGAGCTATAAATCCATTAGCACCTCCTCGACCAGTACGTCCTCGAAATCCTCGATTTCCACCACCACGGCCACCACCACCACGTCGATGTGTTGTACGATCTAATCGAATGATATCGTCAAGTCCAAGACCAAGTTTATCCGAATCGGCCATTTCGATATATTGTTATTAATATTAAATACGATAATAAAATGGCGTTAATCTAAAAACTTCATGCGGTTTTTTTTTGTATGGTACATTTCGCTGTTGACATAAATTTATTTTCAACTGGATTAAAATCACAAGTTCAATAAGAACAATCTGGATGTATTTGTTTTTCTTTCTTTTTTGCCTGTAAGAAGATAGACTCCGTCTGAACATACACATTCGGCATATTCGTCGAACGAATAAGCGAATTACATACACAATACAATACTATTCATATTCTTGGTATTTTCTTTTTTTTATGTTTCATTTCCTAAATTTTCATATTTGTCATACAAATGAGAACAACTCGAGATGTTAATTATAAACAAAAGTAAAGAAATCATAATGCCAAAAGAGAAGAAAAAAAATAAATATTGATGGGTAAATTGTCGTCTATAAAAAAAATACAACAACGAAATAATGTGTATCTATAATAGATGATGTTTTACTAACCATATTGAATATAGATGTAGATGGACCTCGATTGTTTTATTTCTAACGAATAAGAATCGATTTGAGAATAAGAAAAGTAACATGAGAAATTGTTTTAAAAGAATTTTTTACTATTAGAAAAAAAAAGAATTTTATTAAAATAAAATATTGAAATTAACAAAAAAATTAGCACTTTTTTTCTGATTGGTTGATGAAAAATGTCATCGTGAACAAGGAGTTACCTTTTTATGCTATTGCTCTGATATGTAGAGCTCATTGAGTCCTAAGATTTCTGGATCCGGATTCGGACCTGGACCTGATTGATTACAATTCTTTTGGACCCGAACCCTACGGCAAATACAGGATGTTCCAAAAGTTCATTGGCAAACTTAACGTAAATGTCTCTTATACAATCCAATGGATTTAATTAATTTTTTTTATAATACGTATGTTTTTTTAAATTTTGTTCTGTATATTTTCAGATAAATGTCTGTGCCTACAAATATTAGAATAAAAATATTCTCACAAATAGCTAAATTTGAGCTACCTATGGTTTTGAAACGCAAACTGCAAGTGAAATTCAGCAAAAACCCGCCGTATGATAATTCCATAAAAGTTATATTTCAATGCTTTTTTGAAACTAGTACAGTAGAAGATCGTCAAAAATTACAGAAAAATCGACAAAATTCATGCTGTTAATGAAAAATGAACCACAATCAAGTATTCGAACTGTCATGAAGGTCTACTTCATTCCACTAACAACACCGAACTGAATTATAACTGAATACCTGTCATTGACTGTATACAAGGTGCAATTTGTTCATGAAATGGAGAAAACTTTTGCGAGAACTTGAATACTTGATTATGGTTCATTTTCCACGAACATCATGAACTTCGTCCACTTTTGCTTTTGTAATTTTTGATGATCTTTCATTGTACCAGTTTTACAGCAGCTTTCAAACGTAACTTTAAGGCAGTCTTAATTTGGTGAAGTTTTACTGAATTTGACTTGCAGTTTTCATTTCGCACCCATAGAAGTGGCTCAATTTCGGTCATTTATAAAATTATTTGTATCCTAATGTCTATAGTCACAAAAATTTATCGGAAAATATGCAGAACAAAACTTTAAAGAACATATTTACCTAGTATTAAAAAATCAATTGAATTTCTTCAACAGTATAAGAGATATTTACGTTAACATTTCCGATGTGCTTTTGGGATATTGTAAATTTAGATATTACAGTCAAGGAATTTTATTGTTTTATTGTGTTCTTATAAATAAATTAAAGATTTTTTCAATAAAACGAATAAAAGTTTAAAGAAATTAAAAAAATATTATTATATGCATCAAAATTTTATTTCGATCCGAATCCAATCAGTAACAATTTTTAGACCTGAATTTGATGGGCTTTACTAATGTGGCTTAAGTGCATTATATTTCATTAATATCGCTACATTCGGTTGTTTTTTTTTCATATGAATATTTGTTGTTTCTGTATGAAACATGTCATTATTTTTGGCTCTTAATAAACTGTTTCTTTGTACAATTATTCAAATAACTTGAACAATAAAGTAATAAACCATCTGAATTGTTATATGAAAAAAAAGAAATATTATTAGATCTTAAATTAATTCTGATATATGTTAAAATTAATAAAATTTTTCTGGATTAATATAATAAGCTGCTTTATTTAATTAATAAATTTAATCAAATATTGAAACCATTTGCAACAAATGAATCATATTTAAAAAAGTATTTATTCGTAGAACAAGTGTGTTAAATATTCTTGGATAAATGGAGTTATTTTATGTTAAATTTAAATCAATTTTTGTTTACATCTTACTCACTTATTTAATAATTATTAATATTAGACAGAAATTCATCAAATAATTATTATAATTTAACAACCACACAAAATATGTTACTCATCTTTTTATGTTTTATAAATAAGCAGATATATTTGAGTACTTGATATAAATGAATGTTCGATCTGTATGCAGTATCCATTAAATTTCGTTTTATTTTGTACGCATAAACTATGTCATATAAATATTTTGAAAGATGATTTCTTGGAGTGTTATGCTTTGTTTTAATTTAAAAACAGTATATCTGAATTAAACTTAATGAAATATCGACTATGTCAAACATGTCTGATATGTTTTAATGATATAACCGTTGATCCTAGTTTTATGCTTACTAATGTATCAAAATCAAATAGTATGAAGAAGATATTTATGAAATTAATAATTTTGCTACTTATTGATTATGAAAACCATAAAAAAGGCTAAATAATGTTTTTATGTCTTTCATTTCATTTTATTTTATTTTTATATGAGTAAAAACAATATAAACGTTTTTTAAAAATATCTATATCATTATCCTAATTTGAATTTGTTTAAAATGACACTAATTATATATATATAAGAAGATATTTCTTTTGTTCAAAAATTAAAATAAAATATCGTATTTGGTTTCAGTTTTAGATTATTTAAGAAGTTGATAATGGATTTTACTAATTATTTAATTTATGCAAAATCTCAGCTGGTAGGTCATAAACTTATATGTGTCTCTGTAGTTTGATCAAGATTTTTAATGCATAACATATGGATATATATATATTTAATCGATATAGGATGAAAAGAAATTTTGATCAATTATTATCTAAAAAAATTAACTCCTAGAATTATTTTTCTTTGTAAATATAAGACCAATTTGGTACAATTTCATCTCATTCGTATTGTTTTGGGTAATGAAGCTTGTGATCTTGATTCAGCTATAAGTGCATGTGTTTATGCATATTTTCTTCATAGCGTACGTTAATGAAGTCAAACAAATCGGTTTTAGTTCTTTTATTTTTCGGTTTTTTTTCTTTTTGATAATTTTAGACATGTCAATCAAAAGATAAAATCCTTCATATACCTGTTTTAAATACACAATCATCAATATTTCGCCTGCGTACTGAAATACATTGGTTTTTAAAAGAAAATCAGTCGAATATGATTTTTATTGATGACATTAATTTAAATGATTTACATGATAAAAACAAACTTGACATAATTCTTGTTGATCATCATTGTTTAATTTCGAAATTCAATGAAATTGTAACAGAAATAATTGATCATCATCTTGTAAAAAAGGATTCAATTATGTTAAAAGAGTATAATTAATAAATATTGTTCTTTTGAGTTTCTTGTTTATTTTTAAATCTTCTTTTATAGTTCATCAAAAATTAAAATTGAACTTGTTGGTTCGTGTTGTACATTAATAGCTGAAAAAATCCTTACATCTAAAGCAACTTTTCAAATGACAGACGAAATTGCTTATTTGTTAACTGGTAAGCAAATAGAAAACGAAAGTGAAAAAGAATAAAGAGCAAAAAGATAAAAATGCGATAAAAAAATATTATCATTGATTCATTCAAGGACCTATTTTATTCGACACACTCAATTTTTCACCAAGCGCTGGTAAAGCAACAGAAAAAGATAAGCAAATATACAAACAGCTTTTAACTTACCGAACTTCAATAATTGACGATTCAAAGTTACATAAAGATTTGAGACAGAAAGCTGCTGCTGCTGAAGGTTATTATTTGAACTCTTTTTATTGTTTTGTTTTTCGTCTGATTCAATATAGCGATTCATTTATTAATTATTAGGAATGTCAATTCAAGATTTATTACAAAAAGATGTTAAACAGGTCATTGGACCTAATATTCGTCTTGCTATTTCTAGTCTACCATCGGAATGTACAGTCGAAGTAAAAAAGCAATATTCAATATTGTTTCTTTTCTTGAATTATTTTTTTCTTTATAGAAACTTATCGGACAATTAAAAACAATGAAAGATATAGATGAATTTTTATCTAACAATGATAATGCTGATGGTGTAATTATTCTTTCACTTGAAACAAATAATGATGAAACAAAACGTCAATTAGGTTTTTATGTTAAGAAATATGAACATATGCCTCCAATAAATGAATATATACAACGTGATGAGCATAATCTTAATTTACGTGAACGTGGTATACCAATAAATCAAGCACGTATTAAATTATTTGAACAAAAAAATGTTCAAGCATCTCGTAAACAAATTTTACCATTAATTGAACATTTTGCAAAAGATTTTGTACCACAAAATTCATCCTAAAACAATTTATTTTTTAATTCTACTCAAGAAAATGAATTAGTTTTTTCTTTATTTTCTTCATTATCATCATCATCAATTGGATTAATTTCTCCACGTTTAAATTGATCAGCTATTGATTTTGCATATGTTGCATTAAATAAATCACGTGCTAAAAATTGACCTTGTTTGATTTCTGTTACATTATATGAAACATATGGTTTTAACTAAAGAAATATTTTCAAAAAACAAAAAAAAAACAATAAAATCAGATTCGTTTTAAAAATTTACTTTAAAATCAGTTAAATCAGGTACAACTAATTCAGGTTCCATTTCTTCAACATAAACAAATTTACCAGTTTGATGATCATAATAACCAGGCATTTGTACACCACGATCTAAAATTTCGAATATTGAAAGATGATAAAACATTGACAAGACTATTTTTTACTGTAGTAAATGAAAATCAATTTATAATGATGAAGAATGCATATCTGACATCCTTTGCTCAAAAAAAGAAACTGATCGTTGAAATATCTTGATTTTGCTGTTCAAGTCATAGAATAATTATTATTAAATCGCTTTGATTTATACACATTACTGACATGTGATATTTCAGTGAAAAATAGATTGAATGTCAAACATTGTATAGAAGTAATAAACTCATATTCCTGGCATTACTCATCTTTGATCAAGTTAGGAATCAGTAGTTATCTCTGATATTCACATTTGCTTTTTCGTCAAATGTTGAGACTTATTATATTAATTGATTTTATCTTTTTGAAAAGACTTATCAATATTGAACTGTTGATAAACTTATTGTAAATCTTATAATCATAAGCCGATGCATTGATGGGCAGCAATCCATGGAAGTTTTCGATGACTCTTTAAATTTTCTTTATTTCAAAAGATTTTAAAATGGAAAAAAGATAGAAAATGATGGTAGAGAACTAACTGGTAATTCAAAAATCGAGTATATATCTTTTTACTATGACGGCGACGACTCAGCCGATCGGCTTAACAACTTTAGTTACATATATATGTAAAGAGCAAAGTCGAAATTCTCTTTCGATACTTTACCGATTTTTTCATAAAATAGTTCTCAATACTATAATTTATCGGTTATTCAGGAAACTTATTTCTTTTTTAATTTTAAAACTACATCAAATGAGAAAATCTATGGTCAATTAACTTACGAGCCATATACATTGCATGCCAAAGTTTATGACCACCAGGTTTATGTTCACTAGCCATTTTTGTTGTTAATTGTAATCGACTATCGAATGAAAATTTTGACATGTCAGTAAACAATAAAAAAAAATTGAACTTATAATATTCACCTCCAAACAGGTACCCGATCTCTATGTGGAACTGGATTAGCACTATCATATTTTTGATATGGAAAAAATTGATATGTTGGATGTTTAATACGTCTTCGAAAATGAATGGATGAAAGAGCAAATGTACGTTGAATATTAATTGTATGATTACTATTCAATAAACATTTCAATAATAAATCTTTTGATATAAACATTTTAACAATAGTGTTTTTTTCTTAAAAAAGCAAAAGAAAACATTTTTCAAAAGAATTGTTTTTTTCTGTCATTGTTTCTTAATTCAATAATAATAATAATAGACAAAGAAAAAAAGAAAATCATTTACAATAAATAAAATAAATATAGAAAAGAAAAGCAAAATGTATGCAAAAAAAAACGTTTTCGTTCTATCTAGGTGATGTAACTGTTGGAGACGATGAAGATGGTATTGCATTCGATGTTGTCATATCGTCAGGTAATTGACTCGTTATCCAAGTTAAACCTTAGATTAAAAAAAAATTATTTTTTACAAAAAAATTGTCATATGACTTACCCCATTTTAAATTAGTTAACATATACTTTAATGCTTTTGTCCACTCTTCTTGTGAACTATCTTGATAACTAATCAAAATATTGCAATGATAATAATATTTTCTTTTTTTTTGAAAGGACTCTATCGGTAAGATGATCATCCTTCATTTGAAAAATCACATATATCGTTTTGCAGAACCACTCGTGATGCAAAGAAAATTCCTTTTTCATCAAGTTTTAAGATTCTAAAAAACCATGTACCAGTTAATGGATATAATAGCAATTATAGGTGATACGACTAAATATTATAGCTGAGTACATCTCCAAACTTACCTTTATTAAATTTAGTTTAAAGTTACTTCAATAGAGTTTTGTTTCATCTTCAGTCTTGTATCTCATATAAAGTATATGAATTTTACGATGAACATTTTTTGAATGGAAAAGGTTCTATTAATAATTTTATGATGCCCTATCATTGAACAAATATAGGTATTTTGAAAATGCAAAAAACTTTTTCGCTTTCGGACACGTGGAGAAATGTGCGGAAACATGCAAATTTTTTAAATCTTATAAGAGACCAAACATGGATTGAATCTAATAGAACTCCATATTCTAATCACACTCAACTGCTCAGTATCTAAATCTGTAAGAAAAAAACAAAAATAAAAACTAATCTTTGTAATAGTCCATTCCTCTACCCCATCCAGAGTCCGAAAGCAAGATATTTTTTTCTGCTTCCGAACAATCGATATATGTCGAATGATGATAGAGCACGATGAACTTATTATTACTAGATAGAACACCCATTAACTGGTACATGGTTTTTCAGAATATTAAAACTTGATGAAAAAGCCATTTTTTCGCATCACTCGATGTATCACGAGTTGCTCTGCAAAACGATAGATGCGACTTTTCTAATGAAGGGTGTTCATCTTATCTGATAGAGTTCTTTAAATACCTGACATGAAATTGATATCCATTACTATCAGTAATAACACCTTTCTTTTTTTCGTTCATTTTATATGGTAAACAAAAACGTTGATTCTTGGATTCAATTGCTAATTTAAACTAGATTAAAACACAAGAAGTTATTGATCATAATTAAAAAGAAAATCTATTTTTTATACTTGATTAACACAATCAAGAAATGCAATCAATGCTTTATTAAATCTAAATTTTACGCAAATCAAAATATGGATATGAATGTTAGAAAAAAAATCTAATCTTACTGATTATCCCAAGTAAGATGTCGTCGACCTGTATAAAGTGGTAATTGTACAAATTTTCCGTTTTTGCGTTCATTTAAATCTTCTATATAAGAATGACTTCCTAATGGAACAATTGTATATCTATTAATATGAATAGAAATATTTTAAATAGATAAATAAATCATTTTTACTTGGCAAATTGGAGATCAATTCGTTTAGCTAACGAATTAAGTAATAAAGCAGCTTGGCCAAGACCAGCATTGATTTCTGACCATTCAACCTATTTCATTTAAAAATAAAATAAAAGACATGAATGTATTGGAGAAAAAAAATTTTTACAGTAATGCTAGGTAAACGACCAAGTCGAAAACCATTTATTGTGCCGAAATGTTCTTGGTGCCTATTTATTTATAATCGAATACAAAAGAGAAATAATAAAAGAACAAAGAAATATCTTTCTAATAGACCATATATGAAATGCAGCGTTGAAAGCATTTGTTTTACTCAATTTTTCGTATTGAGCACGAGCATGTTTTGTTTGATTATCAATACTAAAAAATAATTCAAATAACTGTATTGAACATCCTATTTTTTAATGTTTACCTTTTCTGTTCATCTTCAGCTTCGAATAATAAACGTTTTTGTTCATTATAATCACGTAAATATCTTAAGGAAAAAGAAATACAAATTTATGATAAATTGTTATACATATTAGAATGTCATCACCTAAGAATTTTCTGAAAGAGTTCACGAAAAAGAATATTATCAGTAATATGGAAATTAGAAGAAAATTAATTAGTGGCTTTACAAACGAATATACTTAAATATGCAACAAGATGTGACGCACCTTTTGGTCGTAAGGAGATCTCGATGATGTATAGAAAAACTGAAAAGAATTCATTTTCTTAGACTTTTATTGACGAAATATTGAATTTTTTCGAACAATATTTTCAGCAAAGTCGTATTTTTGAAGTTTTCACTTGAAACTTCCTTCTACAATTTCAAACATTCATATTCCAGATCAGAACTCAAAAATATGAAGTTCTATGAAGGATATTACTTTAAAAATTTCATATTTCGCAAACAAAAATGTGAGGAAACAGATCTTTGTTGAAATCAAAACGGCTTGAATATCTGAACATCTTTACTACTTAAATTTCAGCAGAATAGAATTTTTTAATATTGAAAAAGTCTAGACAAGACAAAGTTTCGAAAAGTATTTGCGCATTTCTGAAAAGAGTACAAATTGAACAAAAGATCCTAAACTTGAGTTCAATTATCACAATGATTGCGTCAACTCTAGAGGCCGTCGGGTTGTTCTGGGTCTGAAAATTTTGTACTCAATGGACTTTGATGATCTGAGAAAATGTATAGGGTGCGTAAAACCTGAAAAAATATCTCTTGTCTTTTAGGGCGACTATCCAATTCCGATTACAAAATTTCATTGAGAGTATCAATGTACGATTCGGCCTGGTGTGAATTCAAAATATTTGGACCCAACAGGATCTAGATAACGCTGACGAAAACATCAGTGCAGATGATTGTATGATGAACGTAGAGTGATGATCAATTTCTTTTATACCACTAATCACCTTTATCATGAAAGTCTATGAATTAAGTTTAAAAAAATGCTAATTATTCAAACAATTTTATCGATGTATGTCTGTTTCTTCTTGACTCAGTACTTAAATTATTTATTTGTTTAATTTAAATAGAAATAATCAATTTGTATATTGAATAGGAAAATTTCTACCGTTGAAACAATCTAGATATTTCACTTATGTATATATACATACCTAGTTTCTTCTTCTTCTAATGATTGTTCTTCTTTTTTTAACTGTGCTGATTCATTTTGTAATCGTTCATTTTCTTGTTCCAATTTTAATAATTCATCTTTTATTCGTTTTTCTTCTTCATCTAACTATAACACAAACAAAAAAACATAATCAAATAAGATTTTATTAAAAATTTTACTCGATTTTTTTATTTACTTCAATTAATTCTTGCTTTAATTTTTCATAATTTTCTTGTGGAACATTTGTTGATGAATTAAGTTGTTCAAGTAATTTTCTACGAAACAAAAACAAAAATTAGTTTTTTGAATAAGAAACTTTTTCTCTATTCCTATTTTACTTATAACTTGTTAATTCATGTGTTGCCATTTGTAAATCAACATCAAGTTTATCCAAAAGTGTGTCTGTACATTCCTAATTTTATTTATGAAAAATAAATAAATGAATAAATACTAATTGTTTTTCAAAATCTTTCATACTTGACATAGAGGATGATCAAATGTATATTGTTCAGAAAGAAAATCATATAATCTTTCATGTATCTATTATGAAAAACAAACAAAAAAAAAAAGATGATTTCAAGAAAAAAGAAAATCTTATTACATTAATATCATTTCGATATTCACGCATAGATTTTTGTTCTAAATCTTTATTTAAATCATGAGCAACAAATGCAAAACCATTTGTACTATCAAGACTACTCTGCGATCTAACAATATAGAAAAAAGAAGAAAAAGAAATTAGATATTTTTAAGTGATATCGAACATACAATCGTTTTCGACCTAATGTTTTACGAATAACGATAGTACCATCGGACTAAAATAAATATAAAAATTTAGAAGAAGATTATCTATAAGATTGTGCATACACCGCCTTGTTGTAGTTCATTATAAGATTCATCACAAATTGTTGTACTAGATGCTAAAATAAAGAAAATATCAAATTAAAATCGAAAAATTCATGTTTTTTTTATTACCAATTGGTTTAGTCATTTGGTCATCGATTGTGTCTAATGATGAATCTTGTTGTAGAAAATTACCACATACTTGACAAACAAATTGTGGTAAAGGAGATTTGGAAGCATTTGTCGTCATTTTTATCTAAAACGAACTTATTTTTTTACGCTTCAACTTCTATTTCGATAAATACATATGTAATATGTTATGTGCCGCGTGCTTGTTGTCTTTTCGTGTAACTCATGTATGACTCATTCAATATCTCTGATTGGTTATTTGGAGAACAATTTATGATAGAATATGAGACCTCTGTATTTCTTATCAGATATTGCACAAATGATTTTGATGAAAGAAAAAATTACGTTTATGCTTTTGCTTTCAAACATTGATTTAATAAACTTATGATAAATGATTACTACTGTGACATACATAAATGCTTTTTATTGTACGAGACGATGTCAAATTTTTGTCAAGAGAATGAAAGACAAATGTTCGATTTCGTTGGGAAAAAATAAACATTTTTTATGATTAGAGGATTGTTACACTCTTTCACTCCTCGTCCGATTGAGTTAACTCTGATAATAGCCTTCTCATTCTACGAGTTCATACATGACAATTGAATTGATCGGAAAATTATACATTTGCAACTATTTCACCATATAAAACTACCAACTAAAATTAATATTCTAATTCTCAATAAGCATGGTTAGAATGAACGATAACATTAATATTGTTGTGATATCATGTGAATATCTGTTGGGTAAAATTGTATTTAGATTTCTTTAATCAACAAAAAATAAACTATTCTTGAAGATGTTATGCAAAATTCAATAGACTATATTTTATTAAATTACAAGGCAAATGATGAGAGACTAATCCTGAGCTTTCTTCAATCATAAATCTCTATTCTATAAAAACTCATCAAACATTATCAATGTCCATCAATATTTCTGTCTATATGTCACATATTCTATTTACACAAAATATTCAAGTGCGACTATAAATTAAAAATGCAATGACATATTGAAATCAATTTAATCGTTTATTATTGAATATTTCTTTTCAACGGACTCGAGTATCTTCATTTAAATAAAATCATATGATCTGAATAATAATAGTTTACTGATGTAATAACTATCAAGATTCTATGCAGGAATATTGTTTATCTCAGTTCGTTTACCAATATAAATTAAAAATGTCATCGCTAATAACCAATTGCATTTATTTTTTTTTCTATTATTTGTATAATTTTCTCCAAAAATTGACGTAAATTGATATATAAATAATAAAACGTCAAGTATGAGATTGAATAAACTCAGCCACATATGACGTCTATTCAAATTTTGAGAAATACAATAGGGAAGCACAAAAAAAGTGAAGTGGCACTTGAATAGATTCCGTTCTTATTTTAATATTTAACATTAACTTTTTCTGATCAATATAATATTTCTTTTAATTTTATGAACTAGATTTCCTAAAAGCTTTTTATAATCCACATTTCCAAATTCAAGAATATTTCTCCAACAGTATATTTTAATGTGAAATTTTATATAAGTGTCTATTCAGATCTTCATAGTTCTTATATTCACAAATATTCATAATCTGATCAGTAGTTTTCTTGATAAAATTCTAACAACTTTTCATATAGAGAAATACATGACAATACCCTTGACGAAAATACCAAATCACTTTTAATAAAAACAACATAAAAGGAATCATAAAAAGACAATAACAAAAGAAAAAAACTTAATCATACAGAATAAAAGTCATTTAAAAAAAATCTATTTTAAAATAAAGTTGTTTTAACTTTTATTCTTATAAACCATCGGACGTAGGTGCATAACGATATCTTTGTCTTTTCGAATCTATATGTTTGTTTTGTATAGATAAATAATATTGTTGTAATTCATCAAAATGAATATTTTTTCTCGGATCATTTATTGTTTCGTTTTCTTTGGTATTTATTGATAGACTAGAAAAACAAAAAAAAATTCAAGTAATTTTGTTTATTTTGCAGAACTAAAATCATACTTAGCAAGACGTTTATCAACTGATGTAAATTTATCAATAAAATTTGGTACACATTCAAGACGTCTTCTTAATATATGAAATGCATCTGTTTTACCTGGTAATAACATCAATAAACCACATAATGCACGAATTAATGTTTGATTATTTTCTACATCAAGAAGTGCTAAGCGAAGATCTAAAAGTATGAAATTAACATTCACCATAAGAAAAACAAAACTTTTAATATATAGACTTGAACAAAAGTAGCTGCTCTCCACGATGTGCTACTATTCTTGATGAGATTCAGTTCCTAGTTTGGATACATGCATGTGGCAATAAATTCTCATCGCAAGCACCTCTTCACCCTCCACCAGTGCACATTTACTCAATCCATGGTTCATTCATTATCTTTCTCTTGTGAATTGAGCTATTGTCTTCTGATTGATGTTGTCTGTGGAAAAGCAAAGACTGGTTGTTTTTAATAAGATGGATCTTTTCTACGATGACTCTGACCAATTCATTTGAAAATTTTAGTGAAAAGTTTTCATGAGACGCTGAGTCTCCTCTGAAAGCTTTAGAACTGCAACAGTGAATCAAGTCAAGTTAACACTAGGACAAGGATTTACTGTCTCAAGGCGTCATAATTACTAAAATCTTAACTATATGCTACGAGCTTTGATGATAATAAAGTTAACACACAAGATTGCATTTAGCACTGGAAAAGAGAGTAGTAGCTTGTGGGATAGCAAAATGACAAACAACAACTTTTTAAGTGTATATTTCCGCTGAATATGTTTTTCACAAGAGGAAAATAATGTTTGAATCATAACTCCAGTACATGTGAACCGATCGAGGATGAGTTCGTGCTTACAATTAGAGTTTATTGTCGTACATATGACCAAAAATACCAGTTCAATGTTATCCGGAATAGTGGAACTTTAAGGAAAGTAGCTACTTTAGTCTAGAATTGTAAAAATATATCTTTTCTTCTTACATGTAAAAATAGGTGATTCCAGCAGTTGAACAAGTTTATCAATTTCAATTAAAAAATCAACAGTTACTTCAATTTCTGCACTATAAAAGAAAAAGAAAAGTAAACGAGTTTATTCAAATCTATCTAAATAAATATATATAGATATATTAATAAATCATTTACAATAATTGAACCAGTGTACAAGCATGATCATAATTTTGTGATAAAAAACATAATGCAACTAATGCTATTGGATTATGACACCATGTTTTATAAAGACATACTAATAAATCAGCACTTTCTATTGTTTGTAAATTTTTTAATTTAACTCTTAAATCATGTAATTCTGTTGATGTTAATAATATTGAACTAAGAATTTTAACCATTATTGAAGCAAAATTAGTATCAGGCTCATTAGCTAATGTTTCAGATAATGTTTTATATATATCTTCAGGTGAAAGAAGCATACATAATTGCCTAAATAAAAACAAAAATATAACATATTCGAGGAATCTATGAAAATATTTTCATGTTTTAACAGTTATTCAATTATATCTGACTTTATTAATGATTTGTTTAATTACATTCAATACAATATTAAAACAGGAAGTATTGTAAAAGAATATCTCGAATATATCAACGATTAAGATGATTAATAGAAGCCATGCTTTATAAAGCGCTAGTGTCGAGGAGCGACAGATCTCCGAAGAACGCTTTGGCCCTTTCGGAGTTTGTGCCTTTTGCGACACATATAAGAATGTGCGGTTTCAATTTACTGATCATCAACATCACTGACTCAGTGCCTCTCTGTTGCAGCGAACACGGATGTCAATACTTCTGTGGACATCGATGACTCAATTTACGAATCTGTACTTCCAAAAATAGGTATTTACCCATGCGAAAGAGCAGATCTGGATAAAAAACTGAATAGAAGTTCGATGAAAGTCAAATGATTAACTTTTTAGCAATAGAAAAAGCTTTAATACAATCCATAAAGAGTAAAATGTAAAATTGGAAGGTCCTACTTTTTTTCGAAACGGTATAGTCTAAGCAATTATTCTCGAAACTATCACAAATGTAGAAAAATGACAATGTGAAAGATGATCTCATCTATTGAGAAAATGAGAAAACCATCTGTTACGTCGTTATGCATTCGTTATATTCTCGATTTCATTAATATCACTATAGACTTCAAAACAGTGACTGATAATCATATCATTACAAAAAAAGAATAAAACAAATTTTTCCATTATATTTTTGTATCCTGATCTCTATGATAGAGTTAGTCTCGCTTTCTCATTACAGACTTAACTATTCATTAATAATATTATTTTACAAAAAAGAAAACATGTAGATTAGATACGAAGATTAAAACAAAAACAAATATATTACATGATAATACATGAAAAACGTTAAATATAATCTACAAACCGAATAATAAATGATCCTCGAGCTTCTAAAAGTGGTCGATCTGTGCGAAATAAATCCATAAGTACAATAACAAATTTTGTAAAATAATCATTATAATTTCTATCTGTATTTGTTCGATTTGATGTTGAGATTAATGCAAAAACTTGTAAAACCAAAAGTACAGCCTTAAATATATATAAATATAAACTTATTTCAGATTGTTTTTCTACAGAAAAGAAAATCAAACAATAATTAAACGAGCGAGAATCATAGAAGCAGATCAATTGAAAATATAATATTATTATGTATATGTCTAATTATAAAAAAATCCGATCCCATATAAAAAAAAACAAGAGCGTATATGAAGATTAAGACATTTCGTTTTTTTAGTTCTTTTACATCTTCTTACTTCTGTCGTATATTGATGTTGCTGTTTATTAGATTTTTTTCGTAATGATAATGGTGAATATGTAGTAGTTACTGATGTTGGAGACTGCGTGCAAAGAAGGAGAAAATTAGAACTTTTAGTGCTTTAGCAATTATGAAACTATATGATTTAAATGTAACTTTAAAATGTGTGTGCGTTTATTTATTATTTATAATTATTCATGCGAATCATGGGAATTTATAAGTTACCTTGGTATGATAACTGCCCGTCTGGAAAATAGCTTGCTTAGATTATAGAAAATGATAAACTATAATTTTTTCATATTTACCTCATCAGATGGATCGCTTAGTACACGAAATAATGTTGGAAATAAAACATCGATATGTGAAGCCATCTATAAAATGATAAAAGAGAAAATATTTATTGCTTAAACAAAATATATTTTAAAGATTATAGTTAAAAGATCAATTAGTTTCAGTATACAATTGAAACTAATAAAAAAAGGATTCAATTAATCATTATTCTTTTCAGTTTCAGATTTAATTCTGTTCGAAATCAATATTCTTTTGGTTCAAATGTTATAGAGAAAAAAATTTAAAAGCCCATGAGATGGTAAATTTTTATTTCCAGGAAATTGAAATGAAATGACCATGAGAAAAATTTTGATGGAAATTTAATTCAGTTCTTTGAGAAATAAGCGTAGAAAATTTACTTTAATATGGACAGTATATAGAAATGAAGTGTATATCTTTGGGATTGGGTTCAGTCAGAAAATTCACTTTGTTACTATTAATTATTCTCAAATGCCTCATTAAGTAACTTGAATATTAACATAAAGGGTTAGCTTCTCTTCGACTTCTAAATCATATTTAAGATTAAACGTTAGTCAGCTCACAATCATGCAAACGAAAAAAGGATTAAATTGATATACGGATGTTGGTGTGATTCTTGTCTTCACCCACACATGTCTCACTTTCACATCTCTTTTAATTCAATTAACTCCTAAAAATATAGACATGATTTCTATAGACTTTTCATTTTAATATAAGTTTCGTGATCCATCCTAACATCAGACTATGAGTTGTATCTCTTCAATTGAATGTATAAAAATCAATTTTAATTATACATCTTAGACATTTAATCTAGATCCTTGCAGCAAGGTTCATTAGGTTGTATAATTCCTTGGATAATGATGTGCAGAAATTTGATTTTCCTAGAAATAGGAATTTACCATATCTTTCAACATCTCTCTCTATCTATGTGCACTGATTTTCCAGTCATTTATGTTCATAATATCAGCTCTCAGCAAATTACCTGATCTTGAAGACATTCAAATAGATGATGAACCCAACCTAATGCAGTAATACGTGATGGTGAAGCACCCGATTGTATTTGAGTTTTAAGTACTTCAACCATTTTTGTTATAGTCAAATCTGGTAAACTGAAAAAAATATAACGTTCTATAGAATAGTAATACTGCTTTTTCTTAAAATATTACTTATGAATGACATTGTTTTCATTGCTTTTGCTAGTACTTTCATTTTTAATTAATTGCCGTAAAATTGAATTGATCTCTTTGGCTGTCTCTCGAATGTGTGTAGATGATGGTTAAGAAAAATATTTAAAAAAAGTAGAAAGTTATTGTGAAGAAAAAAAAGCAAAAGAAACAAAAGAAAAGGATATTTTGACGACTATCATCATCGTATGAAAAACATGGAAGTACAGCCGATAATAATCCTGCTGAATGAGGTAAAAGTACTTGATGACATTTTGACATATTAAGAAATTCTCGTAGCCAATATAATGCTGTATATTGAATTAAGTCATCTAAAACAAACCAATCAATTACAAAAATAGAAATCTTAGTAAAGATATTATTTTTTGTTTTCTCTTCTAAATGCGCACCCAGAAGATACTGAATAATCGTATTTTCAAAGAAGAAGTAGTTGTAAAATATAAACATAATTTCAATGCATTTCTATTAAAGCGTTAATTATTTATAAAGTAACTGATGACTAAGGATATGAAGAATATGTTTTATTGTTTACCGCCTGGTTTGATAGTTGTAAAAAGTGGTATGGATACTCCTAATGAATGTTTAACTCAATTTTATTAATCATTATTTTTTTTTCTTTATTTCAATCGGATAAAACTAGATTCGAATTTAATTACCTGATGATTGACTATTTTGTATTAGAATTCGAGTCATATCTTCAAACATATCCGGTTGAACTTGAGATGTTTTTAGAATAGATAAAAATTCACTAAATAATATCTCACAACTAAAAAAATTTTCAATCAAAACAAAATTTATGCATTAATTAATAAAAAAATCTTACGATTTACGAATCTCAGGATTAGGATCACCTAAAATATGAAATAAACCATCCATAATTTCTGGTAAATATTGCACCATATCAAATTCCGGTACAGATGTAAGTAAAGATACCTTAATAATGAAAACAAAAATCAAATATGAATATATTGATTAATTTTTCGTTTATATTTTCATACCCAAGAAACAATAAATTGTCGAGTAAATGCATTACGAACATAAATTCGTTCACGTAGAAGTGGAATAAAAGCAATAACTTCAAATTGAGTACATGTTTCAATTACAATATCTTTCAATAAACGATCACTAAAAAAACAAATAGTCATTGCAATTAACCGAGATTTCGAAGCTATAGTATTATCAGCTTTTTAAATGATATTACAACGATTCAAACATGCTGATGAGGGAATCACACGAGCTGATATTAGCTGTTTGAACTCAAATTAAACCTACAAGAAAGGCTTGCTGAATTTTAAAAGTGTTCATTCCCATCGACCTACGAAGCTGAGTTATCATCATTTCACTGAATTTCGACCTGAAATATCGATGATACAATGAGTCCAAAAATTATTTGCTCACCCCTTCATCATCACTTTGTTTTTGCTTATGTATTCAAACCAAATGAGCTAGATAGCTCCAACATAAGCCACAATACGGCTTGTTACTAGCGGTGCGTATACTCTTATTTTCAAGTTTTTCTGTCTCGTCTTTCTTATTTGACTTGGGCAATAATAGACATGTCGAGATTTTTTGCGCCTAAAAAATGTTCGTCCAGTTTCTCCAAAGATCTCTTTTTCTAACTGATGAACATTGCTAGAGAAGGCTTTTGCTTTCATCCACTGCTCTAAGTTTTAAGGAATACATATCAGTTGAAATGACCCGGAGAAATCATTTAAAAACGACTTTTTCTAATGAAAAAAGGTATCGTGACTGGAACCTCCAATATATTGAACAGACGAAAAGATTTTCCAAAGTTAAATTGGTTTTCCAGTAAAAAGTCGAAATAAGAATTGAAAAGACTGATCATTCTGAGTATAAATATAACCTTTTGAATAGTTTATGAACATACTTCGGTATATATAGAGATTAAAAACAATGAAGTGTCCTGTTCTTTCAGTTGCGATCGTATTCGAAAAAACTCCACTGTAATACCAAGTTCTGAAGCAATATAGACACGAATTCCATAGTCGAAAAAAGCACATTTAATTACACTAGATGTCATCAAAGAACTTAAATTAGGAAGCATTTGAATGGGTTCATATAGGTTAGAAAGCTAATCATGATAAGCAGACATGCATATGACAACAGCGTCGAAGGAAAAATACTCGCTAAATCTAACTGAAAATGTTATTTTATCTCATATACATTCTATACGTTCAGTACAGCTAGTTTATTTATTATTGCATCGGTAATCGTCCTGTGAAAACCAATTCTTCAGTTTTGGCGGGTACTTTTAATCTTTTGCTTTATTCATGCACTTAACTGTCTCTAATAATTACTCTTCTAACTTATATAAACTCATTCAAATGCTTCCTGATTTAGGTTCTTTGATGACATCTAGTGTAACTAAATGTGCTTTTTTCGACTATGGAATTCGTGTCTATATTGCTTCAGAACTTGGTAGTACACTGGAGTTTTTTTGAATACGATCGTAACTGATGGAGCAGGACACTTCATTATTTTTTATCTCTATATATACCGAAGTATGTTCATATACTATTCAAAAGGTTATATTGATACTCAGAATGATCAGTCTTTCCAATTCTTATTTCGATTTTTACTGGAAAACCAATTTAACTTTGGAAAATCTTTTCGCCTGTTCAAAATACTGAAGGTTCCAGTCATGATACCCTTTTTCATTACAAAAAGTCGTTTTTAAATGATATCTCCGAATCGTTTCAACTAATATCTATTCCTTAAAACTTAGAGCAGTGGACGAAAGCAAAAGCCTTCTCTAGCAATGTTCATTAGTTAGAAAAGGAGTTCTTTGAAGAAACTGGACGAATATTTTTTAGGCGCAAAAAATCTCGACATGTCTATTATTGCCCAAGTCAAATAGGAAAGACAAGAAAGAAAAACTTGAAAATAAAAGTATATGCATCGCTAGTAACAAGCTACATTGTGGCTTATGTTGAAGCTATCTTGCTCATTTGGTTTGAATACATAAGCAAAAACAAAGTGATGATGAAGGGGTGGGCAAATCATTTTCGGACCCACTGTAAATAAGTCTAACGACTCTGAGAATATCCTGAAAGTTTCAGCCGAAAAAAAAAAAGTTCTTCTGTTAAGATATTGAAGTTTTAAATAAACTTGATTTTTATATAATATACATAGCTAGTGAGTATTTTTTTAAAAATTCCACATGTCAATAAAAGAAGAGTCATTAGATCTATCTATGAACAAAATTTTAGGTCGAAAATTCATTAAAACCATCATAACTCAGTATGAAAAACCTATGGGAATGCACTCTTTTCAACTTTTTCTAGTGTCACCAAGGCGTCATTGTAAGACTAATATGAGCTTAAATGGCAGGTATCAGTTTGGGTGGTTTCGTGATGAAATTTTACTTATTGTTCTCATCAATAATGATTATATTTTATTAATCAATTTATGATTTTTCCATTTTATTTGTTGCTCACGGTTGTATAGAAATAGATGGTCGTTTTCTCTTAAGTTATAAGTGAACCATACCATCTATCGAATGAATAGCGGCTAACTATTATTACTTGAAACACAACTTAATTCGAGGACATTAGATTTTCTCATAGGAATTATAACAGTTTCGATAAGATACTAAAATTACCATAACTTTAGAAGTAAATTCAAAGAGTCCTCATTATCTCCGAATATTTATATTAATCTAAATCTCAATGCTGCATCAATCTGATTTTTTCAAATAAAAAAAAAAATTTACCAAAGTTCAGCTCCACTTTTTACTGTTGGTTCAAGATCGCATACAAGCTAAGAACGAAAAATAAAAGCAAAACCAAATAAATCATCACTTCTCACATATATCTTACTTTCGAAAGACAATCAAATATTTCATTAAAATAAGAAAGTGTTACTGTTCGAAGAACTTTTGCTATATTATACAATGATTCACATGCATAATATCGAACTTTTGGATCATTATCAAGAAAACATTGTAATACAGGTGGTACAAGATACGATTTAAATCTTTGTGCTTCCTAATGAAAAATTTTGTAGACAAGAATATAAAATCAAAAGAAAATATTCTGATACAACTTTGCCACATGCTATTGCTAATGCTGCAATACCAATTAAACCACCACGACGAAAATTTCCATTTTGTGATAAAACAAAATGTTCACTGAGTATTTTACAAATCCGTTCAATTTGTTCATAATTTTGGACAGCTATTAATTCTCGTACCATTCTGAATAAATATATATAATTATATGAAATAAATATTTAACTCGTTTGTATGTTTGGTTTTTGTTTTCTTCTTACTTTTCAATCTCAAGTGCCGCAGTTTTACGTTTTTCATATAATTTGTCAGTTAATGTTTTAACTAATGTTGCTGATAAAGGTAAATAATCTCTATCACTCATTTTTATATTGTCGTTTTAATCTAGAATATAAAAAAAAAACAAGTCAATCAAATTAATCCATTTCACAGTACGTTTGTAGTTGTTTTATTGAGTTACACACACGCACGCACGCACACACAAACATATACCGAAAAAAAGAAAAACAAAGAAGAAAATCGAACAAATACAAGAGACAAAGAAAACAATATTAAGCACATTTGCTTTCTCAATAATGAAACCGTCAATTTGGAGAAATTCTATTGTTTATTATTTCTCCAAAACAAAAAATCTACTTCTGACAAACAGCCCTGAAAAAAAACAAGAAGACAAACAAACAATCAAACATAAAGACTAATCTATTATAACGCGAGAATTTTTATACAAAATAGAACATTTGCTTGTTTTATTTATGATTATTCATCGCACTATAGCTGTTTGTTGTTGTTTTGATTCATTAATATTCTTCTTTAAAAGATGTGAATGCGTTGTTATGACATGTTGTGAAAAACGACCTCGTCCTTCAAGAATTTCACCACATATTTTACAACGAACTCGAACATGCTGATCATCAGTCGGAGACTAAAATAAAAAATAATAAAAAATATTAATGAATATTATAATCGAGATTATTATTCTTATCTGTCTTTGAAATATACAGTCCGTAATGAAAATCTTTGATATTGAAGTATTTAAATACAAGCAAAAGAATAACAATTTTATAAACTACCATAGATGGTGAAACGTTTTGAATCTAGAGTAGACTCAGAAATCTGTATAAGATCTCTCCGGGAAGTTAAGAATAGCAAGAACGACTCGGATAAATGCGCAATTCGTGTCAAACAACATACACTTAAAAAAACATGCCTACATTTGTTTTATTTTCTTTTCCACTAACGAAAAAAAGAATTCTCGATCTACTTTACTCAAGAAGATGATAATGATGAAGCAGCAGTGTGCACAAGAAAAAAGGAATCGCATTATGGGTTTATTAAATGTTTCTTAGGCATGTAAGCTTAGCCACTGAAGACGAAAAAAAAAAGTTCGGCAGTTTTTAATTTATCTAACTCGAGTTTTCTATGTACAGTTCCTTTTCACTACAAAGGAAGGAGTACTAGTTCACGTCATTGGCTTTGTAGGATACAATATTAAGTCATGTAAAATTGAATGTTTCTTCAAAAATGTTGCTTAAGTCTGCTTCACTGCAATAGCATTACTATTTGCCACCGAAGCCGATGGAAAATGCTGACATTTGCATAAATCTATCAATTTAATGAAATAAGAAATAGCTATTTGAACCGATGTTAGCCTACGATACTTGAATTCAGGGTAGGCAGTAGCCCACTCAAATCTCGTAGCTCCGCCGTTTATGTAAACTACTATCACAAATAATTCAGATATTATTTTTGAGAAATACTCTCAAATGACAGAAAACATCATAGAACATTGACAACTAATAATTTTCTTGATTACAAACAAGACAGAAAGATTCATTCATTTTTCAATTTCTCTAAAGAACTTTTCTTGCTTGTCATTATAGAATTACTGGATTGTTCTAGATCCAATCCCCGATGGTCTAAAGTTTGGTGAGTCCGGATTTATATCCAGATTTAATTTCAGACCTGATTTGTATTCAGCTTGAAATTTGACCAGAGAAGAGCTGATAACCAACCTGCCCAAGTGCAATGTTTCGGCTATGCGTCAAATTAAGATGAAATCTTGATCCTTCATGTGGCCAATATATACAGAAGATGCCAAATATTGGTAAAAAGAAACTCCGATATAGACCCGACTGGATCTGTCGGATTGATAAAAAATGTTGGATTTGCAGTTTTCTACTCTTCATAGACTAGTCAACAAAATACATATTCGAATTCTCCTTTCGAAATCATGTAACTCATAGTTATAATTGTCACATTAAAATATACAAATCTCATTTATTAACATTATGAGAAAAAAAGCAAGGTATCAACAATGTACTTTGCTTTCATGTTTATACTTCAAAAGATTTTTAAGATACAAAAGTACAACATGTTCTCGTTTGTCGAAGTGCAAAGTGAAACTGAAAATGTGAAATATAAGTTAAATTATAAAAAACTAGAGAGTTAATTTCAATCATAATAATGGGTCTATGAAAAACCAATCTATGTCGTGAATATTACCTGTTGAATATTTGATTTTCTTGTACCATTTCCATTTATAGATGTTTTTGAAGAATTTTTATTCGACGAAGATATAACTCTTCTAACAGATGGTGGTGATCGGCATATAATAATTTCTTCATCATTAATTTTCGATTTCGATTTCGATTTTATATTTTCAATATTATTTAATGATGATGATGTTGATTGTTGATCATTATTTAATGTTTGAACATATTCAATTGAACTACCTGATGTATGTCGTTGTTTAATTTGACGTTGTTGCTTTGGTTGTTCGAATTCTATAGGTACTACATCATCATCATCGTTATCATTATTATCATCATTATCGTCATCATCGTTTTCTTGTTCCATATTATTTTCATTATCATCAATTCTTATAACTATAGCAGATGATGATGATGCGATATTTTGTCTTTGTTTACGTGTTTGATGACGTTTTTGTGAAGGTTTTTCTAATGAAATAGTTATTGATGGTGATAGACTACGTTTTGATGCACGTTGTGAGGATATTGTTGCTTGTTGAGTTAAATTTGTTGATGATGAAGATGATTTTGTTGTTAATGAACGAGTCGATGTTGATGAATTACTTGACATTGATGATGAACGCACTAAAATGAAAGAAACAATCAATTTTAAGATATAGAGAAGAATCTTTGTTCAAATTTGCAATCTACTATTTCTTAGAATTCGAACAAGATCATTTCTTCTATTATTTCACATAGTAAAAAATCTTTCTGTCAGATTATCAACAATTGTTTCATTCTTGGCAAACGACGAACTTTGTTTTGAGTATGATAAGATAAGAAGAAAATGAAATATTAAAATTCATATTATAAAAAGAACTACATGAAGAAATAGATAATATGAAATGAACAATCGAGAAACATGAAATTAGAAAAAAAAAATATTATTTATAAATACGAAAAGAAACAATGATCATTTTACAAAAAGTCGTGAGAACAAGAGAATATCTTTTTTGAGATTTCGACAGTTATTTGTATAGTCTAATATTTTGAAAAGAATGCTCCCAAAAAATATAACTTGACAGAATTACCTATACTTCATAATTCTCTTTTAATCTAATAAATAAAATCATTTCAATGAAATCCTATAAACTGAATTGTTGAGCATATCAATAAACCAATTTAGGTATATATTAAGAATCTTTCAAAGTTCTTCATATATTCGATACTATCATTATCAGTTTTGACATTTCACATATAAGGCAAGCACAAAAGAAAAACTAATTGCAATACAGTAAAACCATCTATCGCTTATTAAGTTAACCGATACCACATACCAAAGTTTCCTATTCTTTTTTATACAATAGAAAACAATGAAAATCATAATTTTTAGATTTCATTCTAATTTACATTGGCGAAAAGATATAAATATGGTATATTTTAAGAAGAGTAGATAGAACTTGTCTCAGTCTGATTCTGAGCATTTTGGACTCGATGAACTCTACTTGAAGTGCACTATTACTTTCATGAATTTCCTTGATCGACAAGAAAACTAACTTAAAAAAGCAATAATTTGATCATGAAACGGATCTTCTTTTTATTCAGACATATATAATCGAGATAAAAAAAAATTTCATTTCGTTTTCTAATCATTGTTTTTTCACTTACTATAATTATCTTTTGGTAATATTTTTCTCGGTAAACTTGATGCTGATGTAACAGCTAAAGCAAATGAAGGTTGTTCAAGTGAAACAGATTTTGTTTCATTTGTCTAAAAATTAAGAATAATTTATTTAAGGAATCCAAACATACATCTTATACTTTTGTTGTTTGTTCAATTTGTTGTTTAACATTTAATTTATTATTTGAATTAATTCGATTTGTTTTTGAATTTGTTATTGTAACATTTGAAAATATTTTTTTCTTTACTGGTGATGATGATGATGTTGAACTATCTGTATGTTTAATACTTTTACGTTTTTGACGTCCATTTGATAAATCATTTGACGAATTTGAATCATTTGTAGACAATGAATCATTTGAATAGATAATATTTATTGATGATGGTTTTGATACAATCGAACCTTGACTGAATGCACTTCCTTTAGGTAATTTTGGAATTGTATATGGATAATTTTCTATAAGCTTACTATATGATGAAAGATTTTCTAAACATAAATTAGCACATGTACGATTTTTATGTTGACATTTCGGATAAATAAAATGATTTTGTTCAATTTTAATTGAACGAAATTTTTTTGATAATTGTTTATCAATAAGACCAAAATATGATGCTTGTTTAGCTAAAATTAATTTTATTGCTTCAATATTATTATTATCATCATTGTCATCATCATCAATATTATCATTTACTGTTCGTAAATTAAATTCAACTTGTAAAATTAAATTTGAAAGCATTTTTTCACAAGTTTTATATTCATATTGTTCATGTTTATTTAATAAATGATATTTTAATGTACGTAAACATGGAAATGATACTAAACATAAATGGCATTGATATAATTTTGATGATAAATAACCTAATGGTAAACGTTGTTGTTCACATGCAATTTTTGCAATTATTGGAAATTGTTTTGATGAAAATGCTGATACCAGATATGATGATATATAACTATAATTTGGTAATGTTAAATGTTTTGAATTTAATTTTGTATGTATAGATGAATGACGTCGTTGTTGATGAGTTTTAAGTGAACGATGTGAGTGAAATGTTATTTGACAATGTGAACATAATATCGATTGGTTTGGGTGATACATATTAATATGATGATTAACACCGTATTCACTAGCAAATAATTTTGAACATGTATTACATTCGTGACATAATCCTTGATTATCGTCTATATCGTCTTCGTCTTCTTCAAGTAATTCAATTAAATTTGGTGTTAACTAGAAAAAATATTGAAAAAAAAACATAAAAATCATAATGTAGGCAAAAAAAAACAATTGGCGCGAAAATGATTTATTTACTTGAAATAATCGACGACGATTATCAACTGTTGATGATTTATTTTCGTTAAATGATGAATATCGATTTAATGTTGTTATTGTTAGACGTTTGCGTTTTAAACGTTCATTTTTATTAATAAATGAAGTTGATGATGAACGTAATGTGAAACTCATGATAATAAAAATATTTATGACGATCGACCATTTGAGAAAGGAACAAAATCAATGGGGATAAAAAAACGAGGGAGATTTTCTTTGATACTTATATAGAATGTGAAAGTTCAAGGACAATCTTGAATCTCACTATATCGTTTTTAACCAATGAACATGGTTTTGTTTTCTATTATTATTATTAATACAATCTGTAATATAGACAAATGAAATAATAAAGAAATATAATTTGAATGAAAGCTATAAAAATCAGTTGTTAAAACAAAACAAACTTTTCGAAAACAATAATGATTCTTGTTCACTGCGATCTTTTTTTGCGTACCCTTTTTATTTTATTCTGCAGACTTAATGACGACATCTGCAGTCGACCTCGGTTGTTATTATAGTTTATATTCGAAAGAAAACGACGAAAAAGATAAAAAGAAAGTCTATCTCAAATACGGATATAGGAAAGAAATATGAATCAAATCAAAAACTTTTTAATTATTCACTTAAATAAAAACAAAAAAAATAGGAAACTTTTAAATTGAACATAACAACAAGTCTAATGTATACGTGTAAAAATTAAGATGGGAAGAAATGAAAAGATAAGTTAAGAAAACTAAAAAATGAATCTATGAATGACACACAACATATTCAATATTCTAGAAATCATTCAAATGCGTGTACACAAATGCATTCTTTCATCCAATGAATGATGATGATGATGATTTGTGTACGTGTGTATTCGACTGATTAGAATGTTAAATATGATGTACCTAAGTTTATTTTTCTAATCTAATACTAACACACAATAAAATTTTTAAGTTAAAATAATTAAAATGAAGATATAAAGTTATATATATGATTGAATAAGTAAATTTATGTCTATCTGTTTCATCAATAATCACAATTGTCTCAGTCGCCATTTTGGTTTTTTTAGACATCATGCCTCAATAATGATGCATCCTGTCTAACAGAGCAGCCAGGTACGAAGCAGTCTTCATATATTAGGCAAATACTATTTTTTGTATGCTTAAAATAAATATTCGTTCTTGTGAAAAATTTAGACTATAGATTATCAGTAAAACATATTGTAATTTGAATTAAGCGAATGATGCTTGTAGAAAAATTGCACATCTATGTTTTGTTTTTGAAACGATTTTAATTAGTCGATTCAGAAAAAAATATCAATTATGATTGATTTTAAAAAAACAGAATTTTTTAAAATAATGTTTATTTTCATATGTTACAAAGGAGTTTTTTGAATGGTTCGGACGATAGATTCTAGCTTTTAATAGACATGAATATTTAAAAATCATTCTCTATTTTATCAATTACTATATTCTTAATACTTAATTCAGATGACTTTGTGGACTAGAATGCCATATGTAGATAAAATAAAAAAGATTTCATTATTTTATACATATATGTTTTGAATTGAATAATGAAGTAAACAGATGTTCGAAATATTGAAAATATTTTCTTGATAAAATTGTTTCATTTTTATCTCATTAAATAAAATTTATTTTGATGATTTAAACGATGTCCTATAGAATCAAAATTAGTCATGTAATTCTGCTGAGTTGATATTGCAAATAAATTTATTATTAGAACTCTCTTCATTGTAGTGTTTTTTCTAGATTTTCACTTTCAGAACGATGACTTAAAACTTCGAGAGGATAAATACCTGTTTTGGGAAGTGCAGACATGAAGTATGTGGTACAATAATCACAAATTACGCGAGAGCCAACCCAATGTTCGGACGAGCGTGGTCCTTAACGTTAGATAAAATACTGCTTTATTGAAAATACATCAATATATGTCTATATTAATCATGTGAGTTTTATGTATTACTAAGACTCAACAACATTGGATTTCTTTTCTTTTCTTTTATTATTTTTTTCTATGGCATATTAATAAAAAAACAACCGTATACATCAAGATTCAACAAGAAATAATGTTGTTCATTAATAATATTTAAAAAATATTTTGTAGAATCTCGTGTAAAATACTCGTTCTTTGTCAATACCAAGTTAATTATTCCAAAGTTGAAGAAACATTTGATTGATTTTATTTTTATTTTTCTAAGAATTCAACTAGATTTTTTTTTTCTTTTGTTTCTTTCAACACTTTACATAAAATCATTATCTTCATCATATTCTTCATTTATGTCAACATTATTGATACCTTCACTAACAAATGATTCCATTTCATTTCGTAGATCTGCTACTAATTGTGGTTTAACTGTTTTTTTTGCTTTAGGTTTTAATTTTTTTTCACGTTCCTCATTTTGTTTACGTAATGATATAGCTTGTAATGTTGCTTGCATGTGTTTAACACCATCAAGTGATATCGGTTTTGTTAATCCATTAACTAAATCATCAAGAAATTCTTTATAAAATTCTGATTTTGATAAAAGTTCAAGACGATTATATAAACGAAAACTATAATCAAGAAATTCATCTTTTGTTACTAAATTAACATTATCTAATGAATGGAGTTCACCACCTGTACCAATAAAATCTGTTGCCATTTTTAATTTAACTTCTTCTTTTTGTAATTCAGCACGTTTTCTTAATTCATCAAGTTCTTCAGGTGTATATTGTCGATCAGGTTCTTTTAAAGATTCAAGAAATTCGTCATCACTTGTACGCTCATCACCAGTATATTTCTTTTTAATTTGTTTATTTTTTGTTGTTGATGGTGCTTTTACAGGTGCTTTTGGTTTTTCTTCTACGTCGGATTTTTTAGGCTAGAGAAAATGGAAAAATTTATGAATAATAACAACAAAAAGATGATCAACAAACTTTTTCTTCTAATTTATCTTCCCAAGCATCAGGAACATCATCATCATTATCATCACGTATTAGAATATTTGATACGCTACTATCTTGCCATTGATCGGCCATTTTGGAGATGGATGGAAAGTAAATCTAGAATAATAATTATAGGGTTCTTTTTGAATATATAAAACCATGTTCCAACAGTGTTTGGATTCTTACAAAAGGAAATCTCAAGCATTTATGTTCTAAATTAATCAGTACTCTCGAAAATTATGTAGTTTCTGAAAATTTCGTAATTCTTTATTTACCGAAATTCCTAAAATTCCTAAAATTTGCAATATTTCTAAAAAGTTTTGATTTACACTACTATGTGATTATTCAGCTGATGAAAATTTCTGAAATTTTGGTAATTTTCTTTTTCGAAAATCTAAACATGTCTCTCATGTTTTGGCATTTCGTACAAACAAAAAAACAAACTATAGGTGTTTTGCTTTAAATTTATTTATAGAAACTTAAGATTGGTTGATAACTAATATCTATTAACTAGAATGATGGGTTTGATGTCGCTGTACATCAGATAGAAATTACATAGAAGAAAAAATTATAAATAGAAATGTTTGGATTTTCAAGTATTTCAAATTATGTCATAGAAATGTTCTTGTACTTTGCAATTATCAATACATGTCGCTAGTTGACGATTGCCGATGAATTTATCAGATAAATACATATTAGATACAAGATATTCTAGTTAATATCATAGTTCAGATATTGCTTTTTTTCAAAATCAAGTATAATAAGGGAAAATTTATCTAGCATACTTTTCTTTGTGATTTTGACTCTGTTTGCCTCTTGGAACACAATGACTTTTTCAGAATTATTCTTAAGATGACTTGAACTATTCTGCAAAAGACATAGCAGTTATATTTTATATAAGAATCGAATATCGTGTTAGGCAATTGTATTTTCTTTAATATAAAGATTTCATTATTTAATTCATATACTCTACATTAACTAAATAGTGAAAAAGAAATACTATGTAAGTGTTATACAAATGGAAAACATGCGTTATTTTTACACAAGCATAAGCTTGAGAAAACAAAATCAATATTGTTCACCGATATTAACATGTGAATAAAACCATCTGTTGATAAGACCACATAGCTTAATCTATAGACCTTGTATATATTTAACTGGTTAAAAGTGTCTTTCTTTTAATCCGTAATTTGGACTAGGTAAGAAAATAGCGAAGAAACAAAAGCAACTATTATCTTAAGCAACTATTATTTAGAATACAAATATGAAATCTCTTGTCTGCTTACTTGTTACTCTTGGTGTTGCATACGGTGTCTCTTTGCGTAAGTTGAGAATATAGAATATCAATCAAAACTATTGAAGAACGTTATATTTTTGAATAGCGTTCAGACCAAATTGCATGTTTGTTGCTTGCACTATGAACCTCTTAATATGTCCAGACGGCACATCTGCTCCAGTTCCTGTTGGAGGTTGCTGTCCATCATTAAGTGCTTGTAGAAATACTGCAATCATTCCAATTCAACGTAATGAGATCAGTCGGATTTGAGTTTCTTTAAAACTAACTGATATCAATTTTATCTTGCAGCAATCGTTGATTGTACTTTTGCTATATGCACAATGGATCTTAAGGTCTGTCCCGATGGTACACCTGCTCCAGTTCCTATTGGTGAATGTTGTCCAAGCTTGAAAGCTTGTTCTATAAATTGTGAGCTGTCTTTTTCTTGTTGCTTTCTTTATAAAAAATATAACAAATTCAATATTGATGTGTTTTCGTAGTTTCCAACGCCCGAAACAATCCATTAGGTTCACTTGGTTCCCTTCTGTCTGGTAGCAATCTTTTACAATCATTGACTACAGCTACACATGGTACAAATTTGGGAACAGCTATATCAATTTTAAACTTACTTAATAATGTTCATCAATTATCAAGCGACGTAGGTTTATATACTCGAAATGAAATAATAATAAAAAATATATTTCGTAGATTCATCACATTCCTCTTTTGATCAATCAAACACTTGTTAGCATTCTCAATGGAACAGGTCAAGCTGGTCAAGTCATCATTGATCAATTGATTGGTGCTGTTAACAGTGCTACTCATCAAAGTAAAATTACTTATTCTATTTTGATTATTTAATTATCAAACTTTTTATTTACTTAAAAATAATAGCTGCTACTAGCCGAAATCTTTTGGATGCTCTTGGTCAAAGTGGTAACTTACTGTCAAGTATCACTCATTTGTTACCACAAGGTACATCAATCTCAAGCATTCTTTCAATCCTTAACTTATTGAACAATGTTCATCAATTGAATACTGATATTCATCAAATTCCTGCTTTACTCAATCAAACTTTATCTAACATTGTTGGTGGAGCTGGACAAGCTGGTCAAGTTGTCGTCCAACAATTACTTGGTCTTCTCGGATCACACAGTACGTTTTACACAGAGATCTTAGAAACAATATTCATTAATCTGTTCATTTTTGTTCTTTTTTCTAGCCACTACAAGCCGCAATCTTTTAGATGCTCTTGGTCAAAATGGTAACTTACTGTCAAGTATTAGTCATTTGTTACCACAAGGTACATCAATCTCAAGCATTCTTTCAATTCTTAACTTGTTGAACAATGTTCATCAATTGAATAACGATATTCATCAAATTCCTACGTTACTCAATCAAACTTTATCTGGTATTGTTAGTGGAGCTGGACAAGCTGGTCAAGCAATAGTTCAACAATTACTTAATCTTGCTGGAATTCAATCTCAAAGTATTTCTGTATCTTTCATAATAATAAGTTTCATTTATATATTAATTGTGTTTAGGTGCTAGCCGTAATCTTTTAGATACTCTTGGTCACAATACTAACTTAATTTCAGCAGTATCGCATCTTTTACCACAAGGTACATCGATTTCAACTATTGTTGCATTATTGAATTTATTGACCAATGTTAACGCTCTTAACAATGATCTTCATCAAATTCCTGCTGCTCTTCAAGAAACATTACAAACTGTCCTCAGTGGTATTCAAAATCTTTTACCACCAGTAGTTCAACCAATACAAGGATCATCATAAAAGAAATATATATATATTTTCTTTTTGATATTTATTCGAAATAAATTTCAATGCAGAACATTTCTTTTCCTTTTTTAATCGCTTTTAAGATGTAATAAATATTTAAGGCATCAATACATTAAAGATAGGATAGGATCCAAAAGTCTTGGGCCCTCTCAGAAAAATTGTTCGTTCTCCCTTATAGTAAATTCAAAAATGCTCAAACTCTGGTATCTTATCCCTTGTAAGTAGACGAATATTATCCCAAAGTTTCATGTCTCTATTCCTTATTATAAAGGAGATATATAGGCTAACATTCTAGAAAGCTTATTTTTCCATGTCCTAAAAATAATGGTTGGCGCATAATATATGGGCCACTTTTGCGTTTCATTTTTCCACCACTTGATACGTTCTATTAAGAAAACAAAATATACCACAAGATGCAGCGTGAAAAGCTCTACAATCTACACAGTAAAGCGCATTTTAATTATGTAATATTATTGTTTTCAAAAAAAGCAAAACTCTGTACGATTAATTTTGC